GCAAGAAAAGAAATGATCGAACCAAGTCGTGGTGGATGGTTGTGTTACATGTCATACACATGCATTTCATGCATGTGTCTAAAAATTGAAGAGCTAGGGAGTCGTCTTCGAACGCTTCTTTCACTGCCAATATGCGGCTGGTGGTGGTGGAGGAGAAGGAGGTGGTGGTGGTGGTGGTGGTGGAGGAGGAGGAGGATACATATATCAATATATCAGCGGAAGTTCCCATTGCGGCTCTGTCGAGAGCTCAAGAGATCACGTTTTAGCCACAGTGGATGATAATGCTTAAACGCCGAAGCGCGCAAACTGACTGAGAAAAGGCTGTATAGAAAAGGGTTGGTCTGGAGATTGTAAAGCAGCAAATGATACCTGATATAGGAAAGCCAGAAGGTGTCTCTGGCGGTTTGCTTTACGAAACTTCTCAGAGCTGTCCTCCTTTACAGAGAGTTGAACACTTAAAAAAACTTGAATTTCCGGAACTGTCGATGTTAAAAAAAAATCGGAAATGTTGGATTCCCTATGAGGATGGGTGGATGGGGTGCATCAAGTAGGGCAGGAATTTTCTACATTGAAGTGCTGGGAAATAGGCGCCTTCTGGTAATTGATTTTGTAGATGTACGGATACGAGTATTGCAAGATCCCTGAAGCAATAAGCGAAGGGTTCTGGAGAGGATACCCTAAATTCACGGTTTTGGCTGGTCTGCATAGATAGAAGTTAGACGGGAGAAATTCGATGGCATTATTCCACATTTTAAAAATAGGTCATATGTTCCAGAAAATAACCATTTGGGTTAGTATTTCGTGGAATGAACGATCTGGTCTCGTAAGAGCAAAACCAAAAGCTGATTGTAATTTGAAACAAAAGCCATAGAAAGCAGAGACAGAACAGGGAGTGGGAATTCAGCACCAGTAAATATCATCTTCATAATGATGTAGAAATGAGGAAAGATATTTTTAACAGTATGTATCGAAAGATCTCCAAAAAGTTAAATCAGCAGTCAATCAAATTTGAGACGCGGTAAATCGTCTTACGCCCAGGACCACGGTCCCCTAAAACCCCAGACATTGAACGCCAAAGAAAATTTAGTCCTCGTTACAATATCCGGTTTCGGTACACGCGAGACGCCGTCATATATTTGATCCATTGGCAAAGCATTCAAATATGGTGGAGAAAAGCTCATTTTAACCCATTCGCGACTAATTACATCGTCTCTATCGGGACCTCCGACATCAGCTTCGATGAGGAGTTTCCCTCCGCCAGAAGCACTCAGCGGGATAGTTTTGGGAACAGTTTCATCCAGCACTTTCTCGATGGATTTAATGTAATTAGTCACTAAATCCATATCCACGGCAGTCGTAATATTGTTGTCGAGAAGGACAATATGGTCACAGTGGACGTGGGCTGGCTTTTCGGATTCGGGGACTGGGTTTTGCGGATTATATTGGACAAACCCGGCTTCTGGTGGGAAGGTGACTGACGGCGGCATGGCTACTGGAGGGCCAGGGAAAGGGCCATTACTTCGAGTTGGTGTTGAGTGCCCAAACTCTAGAATAAAATGTAGTCCAGATGGTAGAGCAATGTTTGTGGACGTCGACTGTTCGATGTGCTGGCGTAAGCTCGCCCATGTAGGATTTGTTATCATGACTTTCGAGGCGATTTAGAAATTAGTTTGAAGGCAGGTGTTAAAAAGACATCCTACCATGCTCAAGTGGTTGTAGGTAAACTGGAGGGTTGGGCAAGCTTACATATAAAGCCATCTTCCACCATTTTAAGCTCATTCATCTCCTGACATGGACAAAATGCGAAATAGTTCAGATTCATACAGGCATTTGATGTCCCCGCAGCGTATCCCCTGGGCTCCGTATCGGTATTGCTCCATAGAAGGCCAGAGTCCGCGTCCTTGTGAGGCGTCGAATCTAGCGCGAATACATGCTCGAGTTGGAACTGCGCCAATGCCTCTTTAAGATAAAGAGCACATCCTTGGGGAACATGGAGGACAATGTCCATGCCCCTTTTCAATGCGCTAACGCCCCTGACAATGACAAGTGGCAGTGACTCTTTCATAGTTCCCACCATGTTCGCCATAGTGATGCATGGTTGGCGATCACGATCTATCCATGGTGGAAATGGGAACCAACGTTCCTGGGCACCTAGATGTCCAAGAGCCCTCATAATTCCATATCTTTGGGCCACTTCTGCCTCCGGAGCAATAAGGGGGATAACTTGAAGCCATTCGAGAGGGAAATACGAAGCCGGAATATCGGCGATAGGGTGCGCAGGGCAGTAAACGATCCATTTGAAATCGGGCCTATCGAGAAACGACGGAGAATGAAACTCCGTACGCTGAAATTCTTCAACTGTCTGCCCATTTTTCGCCGCAGAATAAACGAATTTGATCCATTGGAAGGGAGCAGATGGCAGGTTATCCTCCAGTTCATTGGCTCGGCGTCGGATGGTGAAAACGATCTCCTTTTGGCCCACTTGAGCCAGCCCTTTAGATATGTAAGTCCAGCAGTTAACTTCACCGCTAACCGCGGACTTGATCGTATGATAGAATATCAGGGCTTGGACGTTCTCCTCAGGCAAAACGGGATGAGTAAGTGGCCAAGCTATTGCCTTTGTTGTTTGGCCCGCAGCCTGTTGCAAAGCAGGCGGAGGATTGTCTGCGACAGCTGGATGAGGAACATTATTCGGATATGGAGAAACGTTCTGCTGAATGGCATCCCTGGGTGATGAGGGTCCAGAATAACTCGCAGAAGCCTGTGAAGCTGGTTTCTTCTTACCAAGGCCGGAAAGGCGCTTCTTCCATCTATCAAAGCCCATGACCGTGGTTGATAGACGCAGCGATTGGGGAAAATGGAGGGGGCATCAATGGTTGGGAAGAGGTAGAATTCGATTCCGCACTTAGCATTACATTTCGGGAAATAGTTGTCGATATATATATATATATATATATATAACCGTTGACCGGCACTGTTGAGATGTTGAACGTTCTCGGCTGCCACAATTCATCCAAACACAGCCCTCCTCCACATTCCGTCAACGCGCCGTCAACGTGTCAATACGAGAGATCATTGTGGCGTTACACTCCAAGAACCCCATACATGGGACCAGCCAACGCTGATTGTTACCTGAAGCCCTTGGAGACAATGTGGTGGCTTTTGTCAATTGGAGCATGGCTGGTGGCTAGAAAATGCAGTCGAAGGTTTGGGGGCAGTAGGCCTCCAAGTTGCCCACGGGTTATAGTTTTGCTAGTGTGCTAAGCTTGCAGGTTTAGGGCCCCAGCAACCCTAAGTTTCACTAAGCTATTGTTAAAGCCTGGCCCAGAGGGTCTGACCGTCAAAAATCAGGTGACCACTAACCGCCTCGGAGCTAACCTTGGAAGCAACCTGGGAAAGTTGCGACTTCAATAAGGACGATAGTGCTCAGACTTTACGTTCCCTCCGACAACACTATTGTGAAAAGTTTTCCGGGTTTGCCCAATGCACGGAGATACTCAAAAGGAAAATGTCTTTAGGCAAGTATCCATTTTATATTGCTGTTGTCTGGTTCCCCACCCCGATTCAGTTTGCAAGCCAGCCATCTCATCTCGCGGCGTCAATATCCAGAATTGCGAAGCTTGGGCCAAGAGCTAACACGACCGTTGACTATAGATGAGGAAGTGCTGGAGCTTGTCGCTAAAGATGGAACTATGGATTAGTATGTTGGCGCATATCTTTAAGCTCGTCTATGCGTCACTTCGTTGACATGTTGTGATGCTTGATATAGTCAGAAATGGCCCAACTTGCTGGACCCTTTAATCGAACGACTAGAACATGTGCGTCTTCCTTCACAAATTCTTAGCTTTGTGCGAAGTTCAGACGGAGTGATAATAGAAAAATCCCTAGTGGAAGCTGACAGTTCGTGTAGATCATTCACAATGACTTCCCGATGCCCACTATCGCTCCAACTTGGAGCCCAACTGTTGATACCCCAAGTCTTATCCCCTCCTCCTATTCTACCCAAGAAATAAACTCGCAAGCAAATAGCAATAAAGAGAATGCTCCCCCACCACCACTACAAACCCCGCCCCGCCGACCACCAGTTCCGGCCTTTTCATCCTCCGCCTCCAATGAACGCATTCCTGATTCGCAGCCGCAGTCTGCTCCGACGGACGACGCCCTCCCTCCACCCCTCGTCGCAATCCTCTTGTCAATCAAATCCACTCTAAAGACCTATTTCTCCACAAACCCACCACACACAATCCAGCGCCTAGCAGAGTTGATACTACACCCGACCCGTTACTACCGCACGTTGCCTGCGTATCTCCGTGCAGTAGACAGGGTAGTGTCTGTCTCCAGCGGCGCTGATATTTTCCCATTGCCGCGCTCCATGCCTTTACCCGGCGGCATTATCGATACCAATCTCGCCAACGGCGTCAATGGGACAGGGAGCTATAATTTCATGCTTAGCGATAGCGATCTGCTGGGAAGCGATGAGTCTCTTGGAGGTGCTCTTCTCACGCCGATCCCGTGGCTGAACAACAACTTTACTCTTCCCGGAGGTAACGACGATGGTGACTTTGTGGAACGCGGTTCTAGTCCAAATTCGAGCCCAGGTGCCAGCTCGCCCGGTAGCAGCAGCGCGTCGTTGTCCGCTGTTCCGCCGCTGGAATCCGGCGCCGTGGCCGAGGGCGAACTCATTCGACAGGGGCAAGAGACTGGTGCTGTTCCTACAACAATACACCATGAGAATGCGCGACAGCACCAGACGGCTTCGTCTCTGATGGGTGAGGGAGCTGAGGGAGAAGCACAAGGGGAAGAATTCGAGGAAGTGCCTCATGCGAGAGGTCCTAATATCCTGGGCGTAGAAGATATGGGATTGCAGAATGGGAAGGGAGTGGTGATGTCACTGTCGGCCAGTCCCCCTCGCACTGATGTCTCTCGTGGCGGTGGTGGTTCGGCGGCCGATTCAAATGACGCCCTGCGAGAATCAACGGGTAATGATGAGTTAAGTGATGATATGAAGGGTGATACAGATAGAGATGCAGATGGAGACATTGTCATTGGTGATACACCTGAGAAGCCTGTTGGGGCGCCGAAGGAAGACCAGCCAGGGCCTGTTTCAATGGTGCAATCTGAAGAGCCGAAGCAAGAAAATGGCGTGCTGACAGCGTCAGCGATGGAAACAGATGAAGGACCAAATGAGAGCAAAACGGAAGAATCCAGCGGCGGCAGTCGGATGGACACATGAAACAATACCGTACTGTTTTCCTTTTTTCTCTGTTTCTTGACCGAATAGGCGTTCCTGGCTTTTCCCAAGCTCCGAGTTTATATGGAGATGGCTACCGAGGGGTTTCACAGAATTGAGAAATAAGGTGCTCGTTAGCATGTCTTGCTCGCATTGTATTGCTTTCCTGAGTGCTCCATTTCCAGAGCATATTGAAGCATATCGAAACTGAGAGTTCATGATCTCGATGTAAGAATCTCATTGACGAATTTAATTTCATGTTTCCCAAAGAAAGGAACACCCTTTCTCCCTCTATATAAGGAGTTATGTACACCAATAGAAAGTAAATAGTCATAAATCATAGGTGATGTATTACACATTAAATATCCGAAGAACATGGGGATACCAGGGGAATATGGATTGAAAGAAAAAGTCAAACATATTGATGCCCAGAACAATGGGGATTTGATATCAATCCATCATCACAAGAAATAATAAAAAAAAGATTAATGGGGCCCTTCATACCAGTTAGAAAACTGCCCGAATCATAACTTACAGTTTCCGATCTCCCTCTGATGTAGTGCCCGTTTCTTGCTGGCACTTTTTCACCAGCTTTGCCCAGCGCACTTCAATGATAGACGTCAGATCGACACATACAAAGATCCTCATAAACGTAGCATAACTCGGAAAGAAAAAGCCACTCACGTCCACAAGCATTACAGAGCGTCTTCTTCCCGCTCGGGCCCTTCCGCCACTCAGGCGACGAGAAGGTCCCGCAATCGGTGCAGGAATTCGTTTCCGCAGGCCTAATCCTGCGTTTCCTTTCAGTGTTGGCCTTAGCGCCCTTAATACCATCCCTGCGGCTCCCCGTGAAAGCAGTCGCCGGAAGCCCGTCACTCTGGAAAATAGTGCCCTCAGGGTCACCGGTACTTATCCCCCGCGCGCGTTCGCCAGCCCCATAGCGCAGGCCAGTCATGAGCTCGATATCGTCTAGATATGTGCTACCTTCGAAGCCAATGGGATGGGAAATGTTATGACGGGGTAGGGATGCCGTCACATTGGGCAGCATTGGAGGATTGGGCGGTGGTACAGTAGCAAGTCCGAATTGAAATTCACTGGTAGGAGGAGGGTGGAAGGCTGGGCTGCTGGTTAAATCGCGATGGGTTTGTGATGGCATGGAGCGGACTTGCTCGCTGTCTGGTTTAATCTCATGGCCGTAAAGCTGAAATTCCCCTTCCCGTTTCAGTTCTGCGATGCGTCTGGTCAGTCGTTCGTTCTCCAGTTTATGTTCTAGAAAGGAGTCGAGAAGCTGTCTTTGTTTAGTCAGGTAGGGGCGGGCGATTATTGAGAACTCCATGCTTGTCGCAGAGTCGATGTCCCCATGGGCATCCAATAGTAGATAAGTCCCATCATGCTTCTTAAAACGGTAGTAGCACTGGAATGGAGTTTTTGTGTTTATTGAACTAGCAAACTCTTTGACGACCATTGAGCGGTCATCTGGATGGATAAACTCAAACAAGACATTGCCTATTAAATCCTCCGATTCGTACCCTGTCAGTGCCTTGCAGCAAGGGGACACAGATAGCAGTATCCCGGACAAATCTAAAATCTGTATCAGGTCTCTTAATCCCGCTAGGATGATACTCATGTGATTTTCCGCCTGTATGGACTCAACACCATGTTCGCCGCCGGTGCCCGCAGGACTCATAACTGGATGTGAAGCTGTAGTAGGAGGCGCGCAGGGGATGTCCTCTGCCAGTTTGTTTTGTTCCCATATTAAGGATTCAGCAGGGATATTTGGAGGAAATAAGGTAGCTGTTTCAAAGGCCTGGATATTTCTAAACGCGGCATCGGGAGCACCGAAACCGGGACTGCAATGTGGTTCCGCATCATTGAAGTTTCCCGTAAATGATCCTCGTGCATTTAACCCTGGGACAGGGATCTTTCGTTATTTATTAGTTAGAATATAGTTATACCATGGTAGAAGGGCTGCTGCTGCTGTTGAGTGGTTGGTGGTATCATACATACCTCTGTAGAATAATCTGGAATTCCTTGAGCGAATCGGTGATCATATCCTGACATGGGGAAAGCCCGAGGTGGCCTGTTAAGGAATCGAAGCGACCTGATGAGAGGCACAGTTTGGAAAGCTAGTTTGCGACTGAGAGCGAGGTATATCTACGGTATCACTAAAATACCAGGTTGTTGTGATGAGGAAACATATTTTAATCTCTCTCGCTCGTGCTCTCACACCGTTTTATCACACGCGCGTCATGGCTGCTTCCTTGTTTCTGCTTTAGGTATGCACTGTACAGGAGTGTCGACATGTACATGTACATACATACAGTGCTCTACGGAGCAGCACATGCACAGGCGCAGCGAGCTTGTCGGCCTCTCACAGCGGCTTCGGGATCCCCCGCACCCCGGCCATCTGGCCCCCGTAGCGCCGGGTCTGGAGCTTTTCGGGCCGTGTCTGCACCCGATCAGCGCCTATCTGATCGGAAGTCTACTTAGCACTCTCTGCACAACGGCAACGAATTTATGGAGGTTTCCATCACAATACACCATCGGTCAGCTATCCAGCGCAGGGGCCCCCGTGGATGGGTTACCCATTAGACGAAGAGTCTAGGCAGTACTGTGGACTGGTATAGGCCAGAGAGTTCAGGACGGCTCGGTCACGTGCTGTCGTGCCTAACCCAGAAGGTCCCGCGTTGAACAACGCGCAGGCAGCATCACCTCCAATTTTCCAGGATCGCCCTCTGGAAAGCAAAAACCAACTGGCAGCCGTTTCCCCACAACGCCCAACACCAATACCTGGCTTGGGTAGGAGTGGATTCGAAAAACAAACCTGGCAAGATGTATGTGCCATCTCCAGCTACATCTGTATGCTTTTTTTGTCTTTTAACTAACCGGCTATTCAGGTGTAAGTCACCTACTGGAGGACCGTTTTTCGGAGAGCTAACAGCTGTCAAGCGAAAATCGACAAGTTATCCATTCTTGGGTAAGCACGCTCATGATATATATATATATATATATATATATACCTCTTCCATAGCTATGAGCATATCACTAATGTTTGCTGGTCCTTTTCACCTAATAGTGTTCGGTCGTTTGACAACAGCCGCAGCGAAACTATCCAGTTTCATACCCCTTTGACCCTCATTGTCGGATACAATGGTTCTGGGAAGACGGTATTCCACATCTCGGATATATCTAATTTTTTTTAGGTATTTAACTAATTGAGCCATAGACCATCATTGAGTGTCTCAAATATGCTACGACAGGAGATCTTCCCCCCAATAGCAAAGGTGGTGCTTTTATTCACGATCCAAAGGTTTGTCTACGGATATACGTGTTCGATTGAAGATAAGAGCTAAAAGCAAATCACAGTTATGTGGCGAAAAAGAGGTACTGGCTCAAGTAAAGCTCTCGTTCAAGTCTGTATCGGGAGCGAGGATGGTAGCAACTCGCAGTCTACAGCTTACTGTGAAGAAAACTACGAGACAGCAGAAAACCTTGGAAGGCCAGCTTCTAATGGTTAAGGACGGCGAACGAACGTCTATCTCTTCGAGAGTGGCGGAACTTGACCAGATTATGCCTCAATATCTCGGTGTTTCAAAGGCCATCCTTGATTCTGTTATTTTCTGCCATCAGGATGAGAGCCTGTGGCCAATGAGTGAGCCCTCCGTTCTAAAAAAGAAGTTCGACGAGATATTTGAAGCCTTGAAATACACGAAGGCTATCGATAACATCAAAGCACTGCGAAAAAAGCAAAATGAAGAACTCTCTAAATTCAAAATCATGGAACAGCATGCCAAAGAAAATAAAGATAAAGCTGACCGTGTAGGTATTCATTCTCCAAAGTGTATTTCTCAGTAGATTCTAGCTGACCCTTTTAGGCTGAAAAAAGATCAATCAAATTACAAGACGAAATCGAGGCGCTGCGTGCTGAGAGCCATGAACTTTCACAGCAGATGAGACGAGCTGCCGAACTGGCAGATAAGGCCTGGAAGGAGTCAGAGAGTTATGCACAAATTCTTGGTACTTTGGAAGGGAAGCGGATAGAGGCTAAGAGCATCCAGTCCAGCATCACCAACCTGCAAGAACATCTTGTCGAAGTCGATGAGTCTGATGAATGGCTTGAAAGGACTCTGGAGCAGTTTGAGTCACAACAAACTCAATATCGAGAACAAGAAGTATCATTGAAGGAAAAATATGTAGAGCTCAAACAAGTAATTGAAGACAATCGAACGAGGCTAGGGCTCAAACAAGCTGAATATGGCAAACACGAAAATGACAAAGCTCAGTTCGAACGACAGCTGGGAAGACGCGAAAAATTGATCAAAGAAATTGCTAGGCAGAATAATATTCGTGGTTTCGACGATGACCTTGATGACATGCAAGTCAACGAATTCATGCAGAGAATTCGAAAGTTATCTAAAGATCAAAACCAAGCTTTAGAGAGAGCACGACAGGAGGCCCAGATGGAATTACGTGAAGCGCAGAGCCTTCTAAACCAACTCAGCCAACGGAAATCAGCCCTACAGGAAGTGAAAAACGCTGCGAGAAAGCAGATATCATCCAATGATATCGAAGCAGATTCGTACCAAAGACGTCTTGATGGGATTGACATAGATGAAGGTAGTAAAGCTGTTTTGGAGTCAAGAATTGAAGAGACCGAACGTTCCTTAAATGAGGCGAAGGAGAAAGCGAAGGCCGCATCCTGGGATAGCACAATCCAAAGCAAAACCGCAGAAATTCGATTGTTGGAAGATGAGAGCTCGAAATTGAATGCAGAGCTGATCGAAGGGACCAAAAGAGCGGGTGACCTTGCTCGATTAGACCATTTCAAGAAGGAGCTTAAGGACCGCGAACGCAGCCTCGAAACCATGGAAGGAGCACACAGTGACAGGATCAAGAAATTTTTAACTCCGGAATGGAACCCCTCTACACTCGATCAGGAATATCAAAGAGCCTTACAGGAAGCTACCAACGCCTTGACGCGCGTTGAGCGTGATAGGGACGGTGTAAGCAGGCAATTAGAGCATGCCGAGTTCAAGCTAAAGACGACTCGAAAGGATCTTCTGCAGCGGCGAAATGAATTGAAACAATGCATTCAAAAAATACGAGACGCTGTTGACGACGAACCCGCTGAATATCCCGACATTCTGAAGCAGCGACAAGTGCAGCTTGACATGGCTAAGAAAGATGCCGACCAGTATGCCGGACTGGGAGAGTACCTCAGCAAGTGCATGGACGCGGCTAGGCAAAAGAAGGTCTGCCGAATGTGTTCCAGACCCTTCAAAACTGAAGGTGAATTCCAAAATTTCCTGAATAAACTCGATGCTCTGGTAAAAAGAGCTACCCAGGATGCTATCGATGAAAGCATGCAGCAGCTGGAGGAAGACCTAGAAGCGGCTCAAAGTGTTTCTACCTTCTATGATACTTGGGTTCGGCTTTCGAGTACTGAAATTCCAGCTCTTGAAAAGGAGGAATCCCAACTAGAGTCCCAACGAGAGGATTTACTCTCCCAGGTCGAGGACCATGACAAGATTGTTAGCGAGCGTGTGGAATCAAAAAAGAACGTGGAATCGCTATCGAAAACAGTTGCGACGATTTCAAAATACGATAGCGAAATCAAAACCCTTCGATCGCAGATCCAGAACCTTTTGGCAAACCAACAAGATGTGGGCGGCACACGGACATTAGAAGACATCCAGGAGCAGATTTCCGCGATTGGGGAAAGGTCGCGTGAGTTCCAGAAAGTCATTTCCAAGTTGAATAACGAGAAGGATCAGTCGCGAACTGAGATTACAGCCCTCGAGTTGAAACTTCGAGATGTGCGAAGTAACCTGGACAATGCCAACTATCAACTGGAGAAAAAAGCGAGCCTTGCTGCCCGTGTTGAAGAATACCGTAACCTAAACGCCAAGCAACGAGAAGCCATTGAACAAGCTGACCAAGATATTGAGAGTCTTGCTCCTGAGGTTTCGAAGGCACAAGCCCTGTATGACGACATTAGCTCCCGGGCTGGAGCTAGAGAAAGGGAGCTACAACAAGAAGCGTCCCAACTGTCCGACAGTTTGCATCAACTTAGCCTGACGAACGAAGAGGTCATGTCTTACAATGACCGAGGCGGTCCGGCACTGCTGGCCAAGTGCGAAAAGGAAGTACGCAATATAGAAACCGAAATTGCAAGCCTGGAAAGAGAACAAGGGTCAATAACGAAGGACATCAATGCGATTTCAGCCCGGCTTAAGGATAGCGAAAATACAAAGCGACAGTACGCTGATAATTTGCGATACCGGCGGGAAACAGCAGCGCTTGAAGATGTCAACGCAACCATTGAAGAGTTGGCTGCGCAGAATGCGGAAGTGGACCGAAGCCGCTTTAGAGAAGAGTCAGAACGACGAACACGAGAACACAACGCCCTATCAGCGCGGCAGGCAAGCAAGATGGGAGAAATGAAATCAAAGGATGATCAACTCATGCAGTTACTGGCTGATTGGAATACTGACTACAAAGACGCTGCGGTTAAGTTCAAAGAGGCCCATATCAAGGTGGAAACAACAAAAGCTGCGGTTGATGATCTTGGTCGCTATGGCAGTGCGCTTGACAAAGCCATCATGAAATACCACAGCTTGAAAATGGAAGAGATTAACCGTATCATCGAAGAACTTTGGCAAAAAACATACAGGGGAACGGACGTGGACACTATCTTAATCCGCTCTGATAACGAGAACGCCAAGGGAAACCGATCCTACAACTATCGCGTGTGCATGGTCAAACAGGACGCAGAGATGGATATGCGCGGCCGATGTAGTGCTGGCCAAAAGGTCCTGGCTAGCATCATCATCCGTCTAGCACTTGCGGAATGCTTCGGTGTCAATTGCGGCCTGATCGCCCTCGACGAGCCGACAACGAATCTTGACAGAGATAATATTCGATCCCTGGCAGAATCGTTGCATGATATCATCAAGTCACGCCAGCAACAGTCTAATTTCCAGCTCATTGTCATTACTCACGATGAGGAATTCTTGCGACATATGCAATGTGGCGATTTTAGTGATTACTACTATCGTGTCTCGAGGAATGAAAGGCAAAAGTCTATTATTGAGAGGCAATCTATTGCGGCCGTAAGTATTTCTCCTAGGACACTCCATTTTCTCCATCAAATGGGACGTATCTATTTCAAATACTGATAAATTTTAAATAGGTCATGTGAAATCGGAAGCCATATTTCGTAGAGTTAATTTTATCTGAAACTAGCTGTCCGATTTGATCTATTCCTACCTGTAGCCACCCTCCTTTTGAAATCTGTAACGCTGCTTCTTAGCGGGAAGGTCATTGAAATTCAATGCGAAACTTTTTCTGCCTTTTACACATTGGGTTTCATAGGTGTAGGGGAAGGATTTAATACTTCGACCACAAGGAGGCGTAACATACAAATCAGCGGCACGAATGAGCGTATCAAAAGTATGTGCTTAAATGGAAAACATGAACGTAAAATAAATACTTCCTGTGTCTCAATCGTCACCAGTACCATCCCTTTCACCCTCATCCTCATTCTCGTCATCGTCATCGACCAACGGCACAAATCGAAAATCCACAAAACCAGCGTTTCCCATCTTACTTGCCATAGGCTGTTGAGCTCCACCTCTACCATCTAGGCCATCACCCTCCCCGAAATCTATCATGAACTGTAAACTCAAAACACCCTGCCTATCAATGCGAATACTGACTTTGCTCGAAACAGCCATTGCACGCAGCGCTTTATGGATAAGTGCAAATCTATACCTCTGACGAACCCTAGATCTGGATGGTGAATTGACAAGGAAAGTTTCCGTGACAGTTGGCGCAAGTTTGCCACGCCGTGCTTGTTGTTGTCTTGAAGAAGTGCTTCCGTCATCGCCTCCAAGTGTCTTGTACACAGGTTCATTCACAGCTCCTGCTGCGGCGGGGTCTTTGTCGATTGAGAACTCCACGGTGGATTCGCTGAATGGGCCGCCAGAGGCGGTAAGGGCAAAATACGGTGCTTTGGTTGCGGATACGCTGAATGATAATACGGTTGGGTTCGTGGAATCCAGTTCCATGATGGCGTTATGGAGCCACATTGAACGCATGATGGACTTGAATACAATGGCGTCACGTTGCAATGGGATATCACGATCTCCAGCTGAAAAATCCATATCTAGGTCGTCCGGTTCGTATGTAGTCAGTTCGCAAGTGGTAGTCACGCCAGCCTCTGATAAAGTGATAGTCAGTGGTGATCCTTGTTTGATGTAGCTGATGTTGCAAATGCGGTTTAGGAGTAACGCTGGTCCTGAAAATGCGTTTAAAGTTGTTGAAGTGGGCGCATTCGTTGTAGAATTGGAATTTGATGAGGCATCATTAAGACCAAAGATCTGGAGTGTCTCGATCAGGGCAGACAGAGAAATCAAAAACAGCGGTGAGGCAGTACTTTCGAAGCCACCTCCACCTTCCTCATCGTCTGAAATGGTAGAATTGTTGGAGTCCTCGGACGGTGGATTGAATATATAATTGGTAAAAAGTCTTCTGTCAAGAAATGCGACCCCTTGCATTACTCGCCCATCTTCAGCAGAGAACCGAATGCCCTGCGAAGTTATTTGAACTGAAGCTTTCTGAGAGAATCCAATGCACCGCAAGAGAATATGTAACTGGTGAACAGAGCTAGAGACAGCTGAGAAAACTGGACCCTCAGGCTGCGACATAGTGATTACGAGTTGTAAAAAAGAGTTTAGATGAAAAGGCTGTGGAGTGGCTAGTTTGAGTGATATCAAAAGGTATCTAGAAATAAAGATCCCTGCGTAACTCCGATTTGTTGTACATAGTCAAATAGCAAAAATGGCGCAAGTTTTTGATAGACGTTCAACTTAGACGTAAACTCCAACAGCACATATCATAAACACAGCACCAAATCTGGTACAAATTAGTTTTGTGATACAAGATGAAATGAATGAAAATGACAAAATATGCTTACCCAAATGCCAATGAAGCTGGCACTCCAAGTAACGGAAGATTGAGAAGGGACCGATCTTAAAGTCGAAATAATCAGCACCTAATTCGGCCATATCTCCAACGACAACTACTCACTAATCCCGAAGAAGCCAACAAGAATGACAGCTGACGTGAATAGTTAGCCAATTGAATATATTCTAGGCAGGTCCACCAGACAGATCAAACTTACAGGTTACTAGAAGGGTAGAAGCAATGAACAAATGACTATTCTTCGAGACTAAGGGATAGAATGGGTTTCCACCAGCAGAATCCCATATCTCGTTCAGGGACATCGGTGCAATTGAACCACGTTGTACGGACAGTAAAGTGGAAATAAAAAGTAAACAATTCTGGGCGCACGGAAACTCGGTCACAAACTAAAAGCTGGTCCGCGAGATATCAGTTCTGGAGAAGAGAAGTAGGTAGTTGGAAGCTAATGGACACATCTCGTGATTTGTCGGATATACATATTTCCGATCAAGTACATAGTGCTCAAGGTTTATCACGTTTGGTACGGACGTGGAGACTTCTCAGCCAGTTGTTAACCAGAATCGAGGATTTACTATCAGATATGATGACGCCAATGACTCTTGACCGTGAGCTGCCTGACATGTTTAATTGCTTCCTGCTACATGGAGTTTCCTAACAAATGTCTTGCAGGTGGCAAGCGCAAGGCTTCTGAGGAATGGGTTTCGGCGGTTGATCCCCCCCATCCGATGAAAAAGGCGAAAACGGAGTCTCCCAGCAAGGAAGATGAGGTTTGATTCCCTGTGATACCTTGAAAAATTTAATGTCATACTGAATAACTGATAGCATGCTTGCAGGAGGACGAGCAGCAGGTTCTCAAACTCGTGCCGTACCCGGAAAAGGTCCGTCCCTTTTGTCACCTTTTTGCCCCGTTTGAAGTCTTTGGACTCGTGTTAATTCAAATATGGCACAGCCTGCTGTTATAGAAGAACGGGATGGAACAATCGAATTCCGGGTTGTTAACAATGATGGCGAGCGGGAAAGCTTTATCATTCTCACCGGTCTCAAATGCATATTTCAGAAGCAGTTACCAAAGATGCCGAAAGATTATATCGCCAGGCTAGTGTATGATAGGACTCATTTATCGATTGCCCTTGTAAAACACCCCTTAGAGGTAGTAGGGTATGTTACCATTTGTGTAGCTCCGTTTCAGTTGTGTTCAGGCTAACAGGAAATTAGAGGCATAACTTATCGACCTTTTAAAGGAAGGAAATTCGCAGAGATTGTGTTTTGTGCCATATCCTCCGACCAACAGGTCAAGGGCTATGGAGCCCACCTAATGTCACATTTAAAGGTATGCATACTCGCTCGCTAAGAAACGACAACAGTACAGACACTGATGCGTATGTATAGGACTATGTGAAAGCTACTTCGGATGTTATGCATTTCCTCACATACGCAGATAACTACGCTACTGGATATTTTAAGAAACAGGGATTCACGAAAGATATCTCACTCGAGAAATCCATTTGGATGGGCTATATCAAAGACTATGAGGGAGGCACAATTATGCAATGCACAATGCTCCCGAAGATCCGGTATCTTGAAGCCGGGCGGATGCTCATAAAACAAAAGGAAGCTGTCCATGCAAAAATCCGAGCCTTTAGCAAATCGCATGTTGTCCATGCACCACCCAAGGAATGGAAAAATGGTGCCTATAAAATCGACCCTCTAAGTATCCCCGCGATTAAGGAATCTGGATGGTCGCCGGATATGGATGAGTTAGCCCGTCAGCCCCGCCATGGTCCGAACTATAACCAACTACTTCGCCTCCTCAACGACATGCAGAATCACACATCCGCCTGGCCATTTACTCAACCTGTCAATGGAGATGAGGTGCCCGACTATTACGAAGTGATAAAAGAACCAATGGATCTATCCACAATGGAGGAAAAGCACGAGAAGGATTTGTACCCAACGCCGCAAGACTTCATCAAAGACGCCAAGTTAATTTTTGACAATTGTCGAAAGTACAACAATGAGAACACCTCGTACGCGAAAAGCGCAAACAAGCTTGAGAAGTTTATGTGGCAGCAAATCAGAAATATTCCTGAGTGGTCGGTGAGTCTCAACTGGCATTCCCCAAGCGAAAACGCTTACGGTTTTAACTACGGTGTATCTCAGCTAATCAATCTATGATTCAACTAGCACTTGGCGGATTGACACGAACTGTAATTTTGAAGATAGTCCTTCTTGATAGATAAAAACATTCTAGGCCTGATCTGGTTTGATTTTTTGAGGCGTTTATTCTTCTGTCTCATTTGTATTGGTATAGCAAACATGAATCTACAACTTACTATTGACAGTAAACGTCTTAGCACACGTACGGAGGAAAAGTCCTTCTGCAAGCTAGGAATTCATCTGGTATCCAGCAACCCCTCAACAATTGAGATACTTGATGCCTAAAGCTTGGCTATCAAGTTCTGTCTCTGTTCTGTGGAGTAGGATTTATTGACTTGGGCTCCATTTGAATTTCTAGTGGGTGGGGCTATTGATGTCCCGTGACCTGTAATTTAATTAACACAAGGTTTCCCCTGACGGAATAATCTTGCTGCGAGCCGCGATAAGTTCGTTTTCTGCGCCTCAATGTAAACAGAGACGACAACACCCGTCCAACGGAATCGATTTCGCTGCTCTCGGGTTCTCGATTCGTTGCGATCATTCGTTATATCCGCCTACCAAGCCATTCTTTGCTCATTTCCCAGGATCCCAAATTTGTTCCTTACTGCTAGCTGCCACTGTTGATCAGGGGAATTCCTGTGGGAGGTCATCCTCCACGCTCAAATTCATATACTAACAACTTGTGCGAAAGCGATCAAATCTGCGTACAGACGCTTCCAGACTATCGATAATCAATTTATGCGTTGGATAGATTTGATTTACTGTTCCAAACCCAGTTTGCAATCTGCGCTTAGAGGTTTTTTCGACGCACGCACCCACCCTTCTATCAATGACGCTCGGGGAAATGGAGCTCCGCAACAGGCTTCCGACTCTTATGGAGGTCCTGAATAGGAGGACTCTCGCTCCCGTCGACTTGTTTTCATTCTATATCTACATGAGGGACCAACAATGCTCTGTCGATTATCTAGATTTTTGGTGGGTTTCCTAAATATATTCGCTACAGCAATTGGGTCCAGAGATACTTATTTTGATGATAATCTACTAGGCTAGATGTTTCGCAACACATGTCGCTATGTCGCCATTATGTTCGGGAACTACGCCGCTCCGTTCTTCTTGATACGCCGGAAGCAGAGAAGGGTGGTAGCCTACGGTCATCCGATGCCTTCGAAAGTGATGATGCCGGGGCTGGACCGTCGGGTTACGACAATGGAGAACGTCGGAATCGCGATACAAGACTATCCGCTTTCCTACGATCTGAGGGCCAAACATCGGGGCAATCAGTCCACAGCAACAATTCCAACCAATCACCCCACCGAACTCAATCCAGCGATCGGCCATCCCGACCTAGCAACTTAGACCCCACTCATACTCTTGGCAACAGTTCCAATTCTCCTGGACATACTGTCGCTCGAGCTGATATCCGTGCAAGTGCGGAACGGATTTTGTACACCTACCTCCTCCCTGGCTCGGAACGAGAGGTCATCCTTCCAGAAAATATAGTCGAAGACATAGTGCATATGATTGAACGGGAAGGGAGAGATGATCCAGAAGTTTTTGATACAGCAAAGGATTACGTCTTCCAAGCAATGGAGCGTGACGCATTCCCAGGTTATTTGCAGGCAAAAGCTTTAGGGAACCTTGTCCCACTCAGCATATTAGCGCGATTGGTCGTAGCCCTTGCCAGTTTCGGCGGGGGTTTCTGGGCTGCATTTTACGTAGTTCTCACAGACCAGCCAAGACGTACTCGTTGTTGGGTAAGAAACCTTTTGCATTGTACTCCGTGTTGATCGGGTTGTCTCCACATATTAACAAGTGCTTGGTACAGGTTATCTTACCCTTCGTGCTCGCAGCCTACTTCCTCTCCTCATACCAATATAAGATTGATCCAGTATTTGCCCTAGCTGGGTTCAGCGAATACACCTTTTTCACATGGGCAAAAATTCGGGAGCCCTATGTTCGATCGTTGCTCATCAAACGTGCATCCGTCTCTCTATTACTGGCGGCGTTCATCGCTCTGGCCCTATGTGTCCTATTCATTTTTGTCCCGGGAACCCAACTTTAGAGCATTGAACACATATATCCGTTGTTAACACATTTCTTCCTGGCAGCGTCTATATCTTTGTGTCTTTATTTCCTTTTCTTTTTGCGCCAGTACGCCAAAATACAAGGAGTTCGCCCATTTATTTATTGGACGCTTGGATTCAGCTTAGTGCAAGAGTCATTATCCCATATATTTTTCCTACCGTTCCACTCGTTCCGGAATTAGCAATGGCGCTCGGGAGTTCTCGGTTCATACACCCTAACAGTGACAAATGGAGGCAAATAGTCCCTCATGGCATCCCCAGTTTGGTTCGATAATGCCATTTAACAATCATCTGGCATTTTCTACATGATGGAAATGCCTGCACAGGAAGGAAATAAATGATATATTTGGTCTCATCTTGAGGATCTCAAAATCGCTTTCACCCAGCTGATTTGGAAAGTGGAATGCCACACCGCGCTTTCATTCCATTTTGGCTTATCATTTGTCCTTTGGTCCGCCGGCAACCCCCGCTACAATGTTCAAATTTTTCACTGCGATTTATGACTTTCAACGCTTTTCTTTCTTTCCTTCATCTTTTTTTTTCTTTAAAGCTCGTTACACTATTTTTCGTTATGCGTTTGTCCCTGTTTATTTGCCATTTTTCTCATTCCATTTCCTTTTTCCAGTCCAGAGATCCCCAGTGGAAGTCTCAATGTATGTAATGGCCATCTAGCATGGAGACAGATATGCTTCTCCCATTTCTTAGGCGCTTCAAGCACGACGTATTAGTTAACAAATGTATGCTTTAGTTGGCCTTGTTTTCAAACTTCGCGCGCGTTTTAGTGTTATCTTTATACATCCCATCCCATCCTTTGCTCTATAGCTATTTGATAATAACAAGGTAGGCAGATGCATGGCCTTCCTATCCTTTGTTTGGAACACAGATAAAAACAAATAGTGGTCCATGGTGTGTCTGTTTACCGTTTGTTCACATTATCTTAACGTGTCAATTAGGAAAAGTTGGCATTGCGATGTCAAAGTAGATATATCTACCACATCTCCTGAACATGCTCCAGAACAAGTGAATAATAAATAAAGTTCATAATCCTCTGTCATTAATGGTATCGAGAGCACCTTCGTGATATCGAGTATGGTTGTAAATCTCTAAACCTCTTCACTACATCGTAAATTGCACGCCTTGATAAGGGGTACCGGAAGCAGGAAGCTTTCATAATACCGTAGGTCTCATTAAAGGTCAAAAAAAGAAAGAAGAAAAGCAAAACAGCCAATTTATCGGCTTCCCAAAGCCAAAAGGCGTTTCGCATGACGTGTCGTTTGGCCCACGCCACCAAGACCTCCATCAGCACCAGCACCCATGCCCGGCCCATCCACATCCATGCGCCCAAAGCCTCGATACCTACTGTCGTCACCACAATCATTGAGCTCGCGTTTACTCCCACTACCACCACCACCCGCCATTGCAGAAAAATGCGAGCGAAGACTGGGCCCGCGACCACCGCCGGAGAACGACAACGAATGTTTAGACCCCGCGCCGGATCCAGAACTTGAGCCTGCTCCCGCTCCCGCCCCCGCCCCCGCCCCGTCGTCCTCATCACCATCGCCATCCCAACCAGCAACACTGCGCTCAACGCGAGAGGCCCGATCCTTCTCCCTCGCTCTCCGCTTCTCAGCGTCGGATTTTATCTTCGCGATCTCCGTTTCTATGCCGCCCACTACATCACTGCATCGAGCTTGCCATTCTGTCAAGATCGATATCATGGGGGCGATGGATTGGGGCCGTACGTCGCGGAGGGGTGCGGTCGATGTTACGTGGATGAATGCGGGGTTCGTGGCTGGAGAGATGCGCGCGGTTATCAGGGAGGAGTAGATGGCTTTCGTGACCAGGGATTCGAGAGCTGCGTGGTTGGGGAGCGAGAGGGCTTTCATGGCAATGGCGTAAGTGAGGGGGTTGTGGGATGTGGAGAGAGTGAGGAGGGAAAGGAGGCGGAGCTTCTCGGATTGTTTGTCATTGAGTTGAGGGAGGTTTGGAGTAGCTATTGTATTGTTTATTTTTTTTTATTTTTCAATTGTATCAATTTCAATGTTCTATGTGACGCTTGGGAGCCGCATGACTTACATTGATATTCTTCCCATGTTCCCCAGGCGAAGATCTCTAGAAGCGTGAGATGATTACGGTATTCAGCCGGGGTATCCGGAGAGCGCAATGACTGAATAGCTGGAACTTCGAGGAGTTCTGCGAATATGAATGTGTTTGGGGACGAGGTGGCATTTGTGATGATGTCGGTTATGTCGCGTGGGGTATTCGATGAAGCATTTGCCAGGTGAATGAAACGCTCAAGAGCGTCAACAGCCCGAGCATGTATCTTCTCCATGGGTGAAGAAAGTGATTAAATAACAATCGCTCTTCTTATTCCCTTTCGACTTCTTGTGTGTGAGAGAGTTTTTGTTCCTTTACCGATGCTCAGTCAGTAGTTGGTTGACTTCCAAGAAAGCGCTCAGGGCTTACTTCTTACTGATTAGCGACCTAGATCCAAAAACGCTGAGAAAGCCGCGACAAGAAGGAATCCCCCCCAAAAGTGCCGACAGCATGAGTATGGAGACACCAACTATCAAAGATATCAACATGTCGAGGCTGGATGTAGTAAAGGTCACATGATCGTAAGGGAAGGTTTGCTCTGTTTGCACAATCTATATCAGCTACTTATCCATAATATCTCTTGGGTCCTTTGTTGGAAGAGCTACTCCTTTCAAATCTCCCTGGATTCATTATCCGAAACATTTGCGAGAGGTTGGCGGTGGCGCTGACCATGGCACACGCCTCCTGTGTCCATTTGTTGGGCGCTGGTGTAATCGAGCTCCTTTTGCCCCAGCGCCCTCACAATTAAATCCCCCCCTTAGTGGCACGCAGACAAAGAGAAGTCTTGGGGAGAAAGACATGAATGATATCCTCTACTATCTAGTGTCTATCCATTCATCCAACAGCTGAGGGGCAGATGGCCGTCACAGCATACCCACTCGTATCTACGGCGTATACTTGTATATTATCCATCCAGCACAGACCATACCAGAGCACGGAGTACTTCCAAGGCCGGGCCGAGGCCGTTGGCGTTGGTTTGTAAGCAAGCCAGCCAATCGACGCCGAGCATTCCTCCTAGCACCGCAAGAGGAAAGTGAGGATTACACAAGACAACGCCGGCAACATTGGCTGCGGAATCATCCCAGTTTGAAACCCCAAGGACGGCCACATTCTCCACCGTGGCCAGTGCAAATACAACCTCTCACCCCCGCTGCCTCACAAGCCATCAGGAAGCCGGCTTTCTATTACTTTTATTGCACGCTGATCGCCCCCGCTCGCTTCCAGCACCGCGATAGACAAAACTTGCCCGTGTCACAACCTGCTCGATGTGAAACCTCAGCCCTTCAGCCCCCTCTGTGCAGTCTCCCACCGCCTCCAATCTGCTCGTCCGTGAAATATCCAACAAGCGTCTGAGATTCCCTCATCGACATGATTTAGTTTTCTCCGTTGAAAAGACTACACGCCTATGAATGTTTTCAAGATAGAACTTACTACCTGCCATGGCCACCTCTTCCGCTCCGCTCCTTCAGGGGGAGGATCTCGATCCGATGCCTCAGGCTCCACGGTATCTTGCAACTACAACTCTCAAAGTCGATGGAATGACATGTGGCGCATGTACTTCTGCTGTTGAGGAAGCTTTTAAGGGTGTCAAAGGTGCAGGAGATGTGTCTGTGAGTTTGATAATGGGCCGTGCAGTAGTTCACCATGATCCTACCATTCTCTCAGCAGAAATGGTCGCGGAGATGGTGGAAGATCGTGGGTTTGACTCTAAAATCTTATCCACTGAGCTCCCGCGTGAAGTACCTCAAGAAGATGAGGAGGGTGAAGACAGGGAGGATAATTTACTCGATGTTGGCTCCAGTTCGCCATCTATTTCTACTACAACGCTCCGGATAGGAGGAATGACCTGTGGCGCTTGCACATCAGCAGTGGAGGGAGGACTAGCAGATATACCCGGTGTCAGTTCCGTAACAGTGTCCTTACTATCTGAACGGGCAATTGTGGAACACGATATGTCGATGATATCTCCTGATAAGATTGCTGAAATCGTTGAAGACCGCGGATTTGATGCTGAAATTCTGGAGACTGCCGCCCGATATCGAAACCCATCTTCATCACGAGCAAAATCGGTGTCTAGGAAAGAACCAACCCATGTAACTACAACTATATCCATTGAAGGGATGACTTGTGGAGCGTGTACATCCGCCGTCGAAAATGCCCTTAAGGACCAGCCTGGGATGGTCCGTTTCAATGTCAGCCTACTAGCTGAACGTGGGGTTGTGGTTCATGACCCCTCGGTCCTACGCGCGGCACACATTGCCGAACTAATCGAAGATGCTGGTTTTGACGTGAAAATTCTCTCCTCCAGAGAAGACGACTCAATTCAGTCAAACACATCAGCGTCATTAGCGCTAAATATTTACGGCCTGCCTGACTCGACAGCAGCCACAAATCTGGAGCGCGCATTCAGGAAAACTGATGGTGTCTTAACCGCTGATGTGAAGTTGTCTAATTCTCGTGCTTTAATCAGCTATTCCCCAACCAAGGTTGGGATCAGACGATTAGTTGAAGTTGTTGAACAAGCAGGATACAATGCTCTTTTGGTGGAGTCGGATGATGGCAATGCTCAACTCGAATCCCTCGCGAAGACAAAGGAAATACACGAGTGGCGGAAGGCGTTTTGGTTCTCGTTTTCCTTCGCAGTTCCCGTGATGGTGATTAGTATGCTTCTTCCGATGTATCTTCCTGCAATCGACATCGGAAACTTCGAGCTCATACCTGGCTTATTTTCTGGGGAAATCATCTGCTTGCTTCTTACCATTCCTGTTCAATTTGGTGTCGGGAAGCGGTTTTATATCGCGTCATTCAAATCCCTAAAGCATGGCTCCCCGACAATGGATGTTTTGGTCATGCTTGGTACCTCCGCCGCATTCTTTTTCAGTATTCTCGCAATGTTAGTCTCGGTATTTTTCAAACCCCATTCTCGGCCAATGACCGTGTTTGAGACCAGCACTATGCTTATCACATTTATTTCCCTCGGTCGGTGGCTGGAAAATCGAGCTAAGGGCCAAACATCCCGAGCACTATCTCGTTTGATGTCCCTTGCTCCTTCTATGGCAACTATATACGATGACCCCATAGCCGTTGAAATGTTAGCTGAAAACTGGGGTTCTGTACCGCTATCGGCTGAAAAGGATAAGGCCACTGCTGCAGTTTCGACTGTCCAGAAGACGATCCCCACGGAATTAATCCAGGTTGGTGATATCGTCTGCCTCCGGCCAGGAGATAAAGTTCCAGCAGATGGTGTCGTCATTAGAGGTGAGAGCTATATAGACGAGGGTATGATTACTGGTGAGGCTATTCCCATCCGCAAAATAAAGACTTCAAAGGTCATGGCTGGCACTGTGAATGGCGCTGGCTGGGTTGATTTCCGGGTCACGAGAGCCGGTCGAGACACACAGCTGAGCCAAATAGTCAAATTGGTCCAAGATGCACAAACCAGTCGTGCTCCTATCCAAAGAATGGCTGACATAGTGGCTGGTTATTTTGTTCCAGCCATTATCACCCTTGGGCTCATCACTTTTTTTGGATGGATGATTCTTAGTCATATTCTTCCAAATCCACCTAAAATCTTTGTTACTGAAAATCCCGGCGGGACATTCATGGTCTGTTTGAAACTTTGCATATCGGTTATTGTTTTTGCTTGTCCCTGTGCCCTTGGTCTTAGTACACCCACAGCGGTTATGGTAGGCACAGGCGTTGGTGCTGAACATGGCATCCTGGTCAAAGGGGGAGCAGCCCTGGAAGCAGCAACCAAGATAACGCATGTTGTATTCGACAAAACGGGCACCTTAACGATGGGCAAAATGAGCGTATCGGGGACTAGAATGGACTCCACATGGACCTCCAATGATTGGCGGCGTCGCCAGTGGTGGTTGATCGTTGGGCTTGCTGAACTGACCAGTGAACACCCTATTGGCAAAGCCATTCTTGCAAAGGCCAGGTCAGAAGTCGGGGCATCAGATGAAAACCCTCTCAATGGCAGTGTAGCTGATTTCGAAGCGTTAGTCGGAAAGGGGATTTCGGCTATTGTTGAGCCCACTTCAAATGTCAACAACGTTCGTCATCGTGTCCTTGTGGGCAGCGCACGCTTCCTTCGTTCCAGGGATATAAATGTACCTCAATCAGCTGAACCAGAGCCTGATTCCTCTGAATTCACGACCTCAATATCCGTTCGACCAAGAAAAGATAGCGAACATGTTGCCGGCTCCACTCTAATTCACGTTGCTATCGACGGCAAATATGCTGGTACTATCACTCTTCAAGATACGCTGAAACCAACGGCGGCAGCCGCTGTTGCTGCACTCCACCGAATGGGTCTCACCACGTCCCTCATAACGGGCGATTCCCTCTCCACCGCCCTCGCCGTTGCATCTTCTGTAGGAATTCCCGCCTCGTCAGTCCATGCATCTGTCAGCCCTTCCGAAAAACAATCCGTCATCGCGTCCCTTCAAAAAACTCCCTCATCTATAGTTGCCATGGTGGGAGATGGCATCAACGACTCCCCCGCCCTGGCCACTGCATCTGTCGGCATCGCCCTCGCATCTGGCACAGACGTTGCCATCGAGGCAGCAGACATCGTCCTCATGCGGCCCGATGATCTCCTGTCCGTCCCCGCAAGCCTGTGTCTCTCCCGCTCGATCTTCCGCCGCATCAAACTAAATCTCCTCTGGGCCTGTATGTATAACGCCATTGGCATACCTTTCGCCATGGGCCTCTTCCTCCCCTTTGGCGGAATTTCGTTACACCCAATGGCTGCAGGCGCCGCCATGGCGGCGTCAAGCGTCAGTGTCGTTGTCAGCAGTTTGCTCTTGAAATTTTGGAAGCGGCCTGGTTGGTTAGACTCTCAGAAGTTGGAACGTGAAGCTGAGCTGGGTCTAATTGATACTAGCGGCCTGAGTCGTGGTGGGCGGGGATCGTGGTGGAAAAAGAGCCCTTTTACATCCGATCAGACTCGTCGGGGTCGACGGACTTTTGCTTGGCTAGTTACGCTTGGTTCAGACGCTGTGATGAGCGTTACTGGGAAGCGGAGAAATGGCACTGACGATGAAGGCTACGTTCCTTTGAGGCCTGTAGAGCCTGTTTCTGTATAGTGTGTTTCTTTTCTTTTGATGGGTTTTATTTTCGTTCGCGAAACATTTCGTTGTACTGTACGTACCTTCTAAATCTTCTGCTGCCAGTTCCAGGCATTTTTGTTTGCTGTCATATTTTCTATTATACATTGCCTCAGATTTTTCCTTGCTTTTGTTCATGTAAGGCACTTTTCCTCGGGAACATAGAGGCCCATCTATTATTATATTCCCTTCAGTTGGTGCGATTATTTTACCAGCCTATGTTTTCCTTCCCTCTGCAAATACCCCGCGTCGTTTTCTACTTACTTAACCTTTTTTTGGATTCTGTATCTTTTTTTTTTTCAATTTTTTTTCTTTTTTTTCTTTTTTTTTTTTTCATTCTTGCATCAATTGGCGGCTTTAAGTAAATTCATGAAAGAGATATTTTTGTTCAGTCATTGTCCATGGCTTCTATCTAATATTGTAAATAATTCCGTGATTTTCTTGAGTACGCAACCACTATCATCTACGGGTAACCAATTATCAGAACAAGTATCTAAGATACTGTCAAAATATTGTAAGAGTAATGCAATTTACATCTATACGAGAATTTTCAGTTTCAATCTTGGTTAGTTATATCTACTTCCAAGGTATTTTTGGATCTTATGAGTTCTACCACGAAAATGCTTACCATAGGAATGAAATATTTGAGATCCGTCCCCCTTCCCCAGAGAACGTATTCGGCGCCAGAAGAGAGAGAGTAAATTAAGGTAGCAATCCAGAAGATGTTGAATTTGTCTGTCCACCTACACGGACAGATATTGTCTGATAACATATGTATGTTGTGGGTGACGATTAAACCAACGTTTTTGTTTTTGTTTTTGTTTTTTTTTTTTGGAATCCAAGTGAAATAAAAACCAAGAATCGTCGACAAAGCTGAGTGATTCCGGTGCAGATAAAAATAATAAGTCCTGACGTGATCATATAGAACGGAGAAATTTTCCAAAAATAGAAAAGAAAAGAAATAAAGGATGTATATACCAAGCCGCTCAAAACTCCACTGTCACACGGTACAAAGGACCTAAACAAAAGATAAAAAGAAAAGGCATTCTGAGATGAACGAGGAAGCCCTAAAAGGTTCATATCTGGATTGACGATATTCCGGCCTAGCTGAACCACATTCAAATCGTGCTCGCTCGAAGCAAACGTCTTGAACTTCTCCCTTCCCCTCTCCCTCATTTACTTGCCTTCTTTGGTGGCGGGGGGAAATACATGGTCGCCTGACTCTGAACTTCTGTTCCTGCGTTTCCATTCGGCGGTGGTGTTCCATTTGTTGTAGACCCACTCATCTGCGGTGGTGTGGGGCTCTGCGAAGGTGAAGGCATGCTGAAGTTTTTCAAATGGGAACCATTCGGCATATCAGGAGGAAGGAAATGGTTTCGTAGGGGCAGGTCTGTGGTTCCACCGAGACGGTTAAAGGCTTGGGTACGAGGCGTCATTGGCGGGAAACCAGTGCCCCCGGGAGTCATGGGTGTGTGCATAGAGTAAGTGGGAGATTTCAGACTTTTTAGGTCTTCGAGTTCCTTACGCCGCTCGAGGCGCTGTCTTTGCTTTTCGCGGATCTCTACGGTGGGGAGGCAAGAATAGATAGCGTAGACGCTGTGGACGATGAAGATTGCGCTAAGAAAGAGGTCAGCGTTAGTGAGGATTACTCCTTCTTGTATTCTCCATGCTTGAAGTGAGGAGGACACCTCAACTCAGCTAACTCAGCGAGTGGCCAGTGACGTACAGCATTAACACAGTGCAAGCAAATGATGCCTTTGCTTGCCGGCAATAACCAACATTGGAAGGACTCTTAGCGACGTTGCAATTCTTGGTGAGATACCATGGCGCGCCTGGTTGCGGGCGTTCGGGGTCGGACATGTCGGGAGACGCTTGATATGCGATTGAAATAGCATAAATAATGATCAATCCTATGTGCACAAGTACGGAAAGTGGAGGATAAAAGACGTTCAAGATGAACATAGGTGCCTTGACGAGCATGAGAAATAAGCTCAACACCGATATAGTTAGGTTGAAGTTTGTAAGACTAAAATTTGACATGATTAGAACCACGATATTCTCAGCATGGATTGGATGGTTTACCCAATAATGGGTAAACTCGAAGGCTATTAGACATACAATTGACTCCAAGGCTTGGGTGTAGTGTATGGGCGATAGTTTGCAAGAGTGTAAATCTCGTCTTCCGGGCCGCTATTGAAACCATTCTGAGCGCCATCTTTCCACAGTCTTGTTCGATATAGATCTGGCGCTGCGATGCCGAACAAGGCGAGGATCGCAATGGTGACGGGGAGTTCGATCCCGAGTAAAATCTTGAATAGGATGGGCGGTCGATACTTCCGAGGTAGATACCACAACATTATGACTCTTTACTATAGAGAATAAGTAGAAGAATAGGAAGAGTAGCGGTGGTGACGATTGAGCGTAGGATTCAAAGGACGGCGCCCAGAGCAAATCCCAGATGTTAGGATTGATAGGGATTAATTATTTATGAGGTTTCCAGTATGGATGTGGAGTAGAATATAGTAGTAGACAAGCGTGTGTGTTATATCTTCAAGCCAGGCCCGCTGGCAGGAGTTTCATTTCAACTATTGTGTTCACCGGTGGTGGTGATGCATGAAGAAATCGAAAGGAGTACGGAAGAGGGAGAGAAGTGAGAAGGGAAGATGGCAGGGTCGGACAGAAAAAGAAGGGAGAGGAACAGAGCACATTCTGTGTATTTAGGTACTCTTCTGCTCTGGAGGACATGCAGAGCTGCTCGATCCAATCCCTCGTCGCTGTTGGAGGGATGGGTCATGTTTCTCGCCAAGGTATACCCGCAGCATCTAGGGACTGAACGGACGAATAATCAACTCCCCCGAACACCATCAAGAGGAATCAGATCAACCCACAAGGCCATGGCCGTCTGTCCGGCGAGGGACACGAGAAGGTCAAGCTTGTGCTGAGCGACAAGCTGCCGCCGGACCCATGGTTGGGTGGGGAAAAGAGGCACCCGCACAACCATGCGCAGGGTGTTGCGGCGAAAGTAGAGCAGGCACTCAGCCTAGCGCTGGTGTGACGATTTGGCCCGATGGCCAATGGCAGACCAAATACGGGGATCTTACTGCATGCCATCACACGCTACCCAGAAGTGGCCAGCGCCCATGCAGCGCAAATCAGAGGGCCAGCCTGTGATTGACCAGTTGCAGAAATGGGTTTCAATGAAGAAGAATCAGTTGTTTGAATCATGCATGAAGGTATCAGGGATTCTCATCACAAAGTCGCAGCTGGCGGCGCATACTTGAGTGTCGAGCGTGGGCTGGATGTTGCGTATTTGTTAGTATTCTTTGTTCGTTTGTCTCCGATGATAAAGAGGAGAATACAATGACCGATGCTTAGACTCTGCAGTTCCATGAGCAACGGGATATCCCCGCACCAAGATAATCCAACCAGTGCTCTGTCCTGGTGGAGTCAGCTCAACTCAGGAATCCTGAGCGGTGATAGTAATATCTTACGCTGGGTACGTTGGGACAATGATTACATACGAAAATGGCAGCCATTGATGGCTTATCTGTCTTATCAACCCAGGAGAACCTCAACTTGCAAGCGATTGAAATATTTGTAGGATTAGGATCATCGCTTGAAGTGTTCATGATGAGTTGATATCAATTCAGTATAGTTACACGTGACCTTCCAACTCACCCACTCGTTCCAAGTGTCCATTGCATTCCCGGGGAGATTGACATTATCGCAATACTGATATGAAACACTGGTTTGTATCCTGCTTTTGAATCTGTCAAGTCAGTCTCTCCAAACCCAATGTATGACGTTTCGATCGTATACCCGCGATAGTTTGGGACATGTCCACTAGTCTTCCACATGAGCTACGTACGGCGCAGGAACCACGCCAGGATATGCTCTATAGAGTCCGTCTATCAAGCATAACACAGGTGAATCCTACTATCCGCATCTTGCGGTTGAACGTAGGACGAGGTCCGACTTACTGCCATAAAGATCAGAAGAATGAATGTGAAGTATGCTTGAACCCCACCCTGCCAACTGTAGTTTTGATAAAACCATTTTTAAAGTCTAAGAAGCGTTTCAAACCACCAAAATTATCTCTATTAAATATTAAATGAAAGAAACCTTCCAACTATACAGTTCAATCATAACCAATCAAAACCATTCAACTTCCTGGCCGGCCAATGGCTCGATGTCCATGTCCCCTCTGTCCCACAAGCCGGTGGCTTCACGATAACCTCCACCCCAAGTGATGCATTGCCACTGAAAAATGATAGCAATAGCAACGAAGCGACAGAATTTCCATACATAGAACTTGCTGTCCAAGAATCGCCATCAAACCCACCGGCTGCCTGGCTCTGGCGGCCTAAGGATGAGATTCTTGGACAGGAGCTCGCAGTCAGGGTTGGGGGCAGTTTTATCTGGCCACCCCCTGATATTCCGCTGGAAGATATTGGGAGAGTGGTGTTTGTGGCGGGTGGAGTTGGGATTAAGTACGTATGAAAAGTTTTCGGCTTTAATAAAATGCCTATGTTACCCCAGTTAGGAGTGAAATAATCTCCATAATGACCCTGACCCTCTCCAAATCAACCTCTTTCCCATCCATATCATATTCGAAAAGTCGGAGGGGGGTTTGGGAATGATAATGAACAAAGCATGTACATGTACAAAGAAGGATCATAGATACCTTCTGGCTAACCATCCTCGTATAGCCCGTTGATCTCAATGATATCACATATCTTCAAAGACCCCTCGAAGTTACCGCACTCACCAGCCATTCATTTACTTTACTCGACCAGATCCCCAACCCAACCCGGGCCTGGTGGTGAGGACATATCAAAACACCTAGACCAAGTCCTCTTCTTTCCCCGGCTTCGCAACATTCTCCATTTTCAACAGTCACAGCCACAGCCACATTCACAGCACCAGCGCCAGCAACAACAAGAGGACTCGTTCCTCCGCCTTCAGTTCCATCTCTATATCACAAATCTCCACGAAATGCCCCGCAATCCGCCAGCCGATTTCTCGTTGCACAAGCGTCGCATCAAGACGACTGATCTGCATGAGGTCATTGGTGGAAAAAGCGAGGCCATTCGAAACGGGTACCGCTCACAAGCCCGTCGAACGGTGTGTTATATCTGCGGACCTCCTGATATGACGGATGAGCTGGTTGCAGGTGCAGAAGAGGTCCTTGGGGCTGGGGTCGGGAAGGAGAAGAGCGTGTTTTATGAAAAGTGGTGGTGAATTGTTTTGTGGGAGGAGAGGAGAAGCATTGGTTTCTCTTCCTTCCCATGTATTTTCAGGTTGTGGGGTAATATCATGGATGTTTCGTCTACATAGGCGAAATCAGATATTAGCAGACCCTTTGATAGGGACCTTAATAATGATAAATTTTTTCGGCGACTTTATTGCTTCAATAAAGTAAGCTAGGCATGTAACGAAACTCGATGATGGGAATGCCAACAAGAAAAAGTGGAGTGAGGGACATTGGGTCCGCGTGAAGTTCTTCAGGCCTTGCCGAGTTTTGAAAGATTATACTTTGTTTCCCCGCGAAAAAGAGGAATTTCCCAAAAACCAAAACCAAAAAATATGGAATATAACTGAAAGTGTCCAAGCAATTTCAAAATCGGTGGACCCGCTCGGAAAGAAAACCTGAGTAAAAAACAATAAATACCTAAACGGTTAGAGAAGTGTGATATTGGCCAAGCAGGAAAAAAACCCCAGAGTAAAGCAAATACGAAACAATTTGGATATAGACACATGGATAGGACAGGATACACAAGCGTATTATTATCTCCCAGCAGAAACGAACACAACAAATTGTGTTAAAGAAATAAAAAAAAGAACAAAAAGAAAATGAAAAGAAAATGAAAATGAAAGACCTGTCCGTAGGAAACCTCAAAATCCCAACGCCTCCGGTTTTTTTACACATGCCGCGCCTTTTTTTATTTTGTCAATTATAATGTGAAACATAATAAAACGAATAAAGAAGGTGATGAAAAGTCAGTATCTAATCGGACTGGACCACTTTACCACCGTCCACAATCATCATCTCATTGATTTTTGATGCCGTGTCGCCATACTCAAGCCGCTTATAGGTCATTATTCTCGCGGAGTTCATATTGATATCGAAGAATCGGACTCGTCGGATGTAGCCACCGTATCCACCATAGCCACCAAAGCCGGCGCCACCGGCGTAGCACATCCACAGTGACGGCTGTGAATATTCATTCCGTGATAGCATACAGTAGTCATTTACATGATCGCTAAAGGAGAGAATAAAACAAGTTAGGGCGAAGATCGGTTATAAATTGAACGAAACAAAGAGCTAACTCATGGTTGATGACAGTGGATGACTTACTGGCCACAACTTACAACGACAACATTCTCGCTAACGAGGGCATCTCTAAAGCCCGAATTAAATCTTGGAGCTGTCGACGGTTCGGTCCAATTACCATAGAAGACGCTGTTTCTGTCTCTGTATTCTGGAAGTGGAATGTGAATGAAGGCTAAGTTCATATGGATATAGCGGTATTCGCGGTGGGATTTCTGAAGTCTCTCTGAGCTAGACTTGAACCATTCAATTTGGTTAGGTTTTATCCAATCGTACCCACGGTATCTGCGCTCATCCGGAGAGTAACTGTGCGTATCGAGGAGATAAAGGCTTAACGCGGAGTGAGATGAAGTATGGTCAAGAACTTCGACAATATAGTTGCCCACGCCATCGACATCGACTGGGCCAGGCTCTGATAAAGAGTACGGTAATTGTTGCAGGAGGGCCATAGACTGTGATCGATCAAGATTGCCCTCATCATCATGGTTTCCGAAGATAGCGGCATACGGAATACGACGCTTAACAAAAATATCAGCGAGTTTGAATATCGCAGTTGCCGCATCTGGTGCAGTATCGCCGTTGACTTGGTCACCGGATATAATGACCAAGTCAGGTTTCTCTTCGTCGAGCATTCTTTCAAGGAATTCCAGGGTGCGAGGGTCCGCTTCACATTTGCTCTCATCTTTCAAATGCGGGATTGGCTCCCGGCATTTTCCCAGGCCTGTACTCAAATGCAGGTCCGACGCCTGCATTATCTTGAATCTCCCATCTTTTCGAATTCTCGGAGGCGGCCGTTCAAGCTTGGCAGGTGGACCTCGTCTGATAGACAAACGCGCTTCACTTTTAGTATCCAGCAAGAGAGGCGTATCTTTCACTTCCCAGCCCGTTCGGGGATCCGCAGCATCGGCACCGAAAAGGACATCCAATGAAGTAATAACCTTCTGCGGGTCCCCTGTATGACTTCGGTCTGTTCTCAAGAGCCAAATACCCGCCGGCCTTGCTTCCCACTTCTTATCCGTACCGGCACCAGGATCAAGTTTACCAATTTTTAGGTCAATAACAACCGAATCTGTCGGAAGGAGATCCTCCTCTTTTTTTCTTTGTATGTGCGTATATGCGCTCGACGTCCAGCCAGTCCCCAGGTATAAGTCCTTCTCGATGCGATGCCATACCACCGGGTCGAGCGTACAACTTGAGAAAATGTTGATGGAAGAGCAAGTCGTGACAGTCACATCAGTAACAACAAGTCCCGGGTGATGGGCAGGCAGATGGTCATGGATTGCAGCGGGCAAAAACTCTAACTTGTTGTCGAAGATAAAGAGCAGAAGGAGAATAATCAACGCAAGTAAGCCTAGCTGAATCCCGGTTCGAACCTGGTCAAAAGATTGTCAGTGCACAACACCTCTTAATTCTTGTACGAAAAATGGACGCCAGCAACTTACAATGCGACGTGTCACCATGATTTTTGCCAGCTAAATCAAAACAGCCCGCAAAATCATAGGGGAGAGGGTGCTGTCTATCCGTGAGCATGGTGCACTATGGTATACCCCGGTGTTTTCGTTAGTGGCCACCCTAATACTTTAGTGCCCTGCTAACCAAAATATTGGGGATGGATTTCACTAAATGAGTAATATATTATTAATACATGGCCGTCTGTGCTGTATCATCCATATCACAACAACATAAGGTTGTTTTTTATAATAAAAGGTAGAGATGAGATATATACTATATACACTGTATAGATTTTCAATTTCCAGCACCTCAGAAATTCAATTCTGGATCATCAAGAACCCGTGTAAACCACGACAACCCCCAATATTGTGGTTAGCACGGCACTAAAATGACCTCCGCTGCGGCAAGCTTGATGTCACGGGGCCGTATTTACCATTATCCGCTCCCCCCTGGTCTAGACCCGGAACTGCATCTTTTTTTTCTGGGAGCTTCAAGGAGCTCGCGACTCCGCGTAGAGTCATTCGGCTTTATATCTTTTCTCCCGTGATTATAATTTTATAGATTACAGCTGACTGGGATCCCAGGAGAAAAGCTTTCAAGCCTTTTACTTGAATGGCAAGACTGTTCTCGCCATTCCGGCGTCTTTGCAGGAGAGCATATAGCAGCAGGGCGGCGGATGCCAACTTCTCCGTTTTCCAAGGCATGACAACCACTGCTCGCCTCTCGACTGACTCATACTGATTAACACTCTTGCTTAGAGGGCGACAGGGTTCTCATAAATACCAAAACTCCTATATTAACGAAACCCCTGAGGAATGACGACAAGACACAGCTTCCTCGCGGTTTCCTAAACCATGTCGATATTATTGGGAAAACACCCAGAGATCCTATCAAGTCAAAAAAAGGTTAGTCACGGATTGAATTATATACCGCCCAATTGAAAGCTATGTTTAATCAAGGAGCAACTGCTGACAGGCTTCAAATCAAGGTGCGGTGTATAGGGCAACCCATCCTACGTTCGAAGACTACATAGTACGAACTCCACGTCTTGTAACGCCTGTATGTCAATATTGAGCCCATTAGCAAATCCTCGAATGCCGCGATGATAAAATACAAAAATTTAACCATTTTTAACCTCGTTGGTCTAATAGATCTACCCTGCGGATGCCAACCTAATAGTGTCTCTCTTAGACATCCATGTCGCACCACCGGCTCCGGGAGAAAGGCCAAAAGAGCCGCTGGAAATACTTGAAGCGGGAACAGGTCACGGATCATTGACATTACACCTAGCCCGGGCTATTAACGCTGCAAACTCATGTCCACCAACGCGACCGCCTTGTTCACAGCGAAAAATACTCGAACTACCGGAAACCAAAAAGAAGCCTGTTGAGGAGAAGAAGGTGGTGGAGAAAGAGGATCGCGAAGCTCAAGCTGAGATTGAAGGGCTCCAACGCGAATGGGATGGATGGCGTGCGCAACGTAATGCCATAGTCCACACCGTAGAAATATCCCCACACTACTCCCAACATGCAGAGAACATCGTCCGCGGATTTCGCCGCGGTATCTATGTAGGAAATGTTGACTTCTACGTTTCCAGCGTTGAGAAATGGATCAAGGAGCAAGTGACACGTCGTTCGACGAATGAACGGTCGCCGGACCCTTTCTTGTCTCATGTCATTCTAGACATGCCCTCTGCACACCTGCGGATCCCGCATGTCGCCCCGACCATGAGAGATGATGCGGTCCTGGCTGTTTTTATGCCGAGTATAACGCAGCTTGGGGACTGTGTGGATCTTATTTCGAAACAGAAACTGCCGCTTATTCAGGAAAAAGTCGTGGAGCTAGGTACTGGCATTAGCAGTGGGAGGCTCTGGGAGCTCCGGATGGCGACGAAACGGAGTTCCAATGACACTCTAAGTCAAGAAGCCATTGCAGAAGAAATGTCCGATGAGACGTCTGAGGGTGCTACTGATACGGAAGCAGAGGATTCCACCAGTCTGTCAAAGAGAGAGAAGACGAATGGAGATGAGGTACTTGTCTGCAGACCCCAAGTGGGGGCGAGGATTGCAGGTGGCGGATTTGTAGGGATATGGAGGAAAAAGAAAGCCTAGGTAGAGCTCGGTTGATCTCAATGATATATAGATTAATATAGATTAGGTTCGCCCGAAAGATCATACATTGCAGGTGAGCGATGGAAATATACTACATGAGAGACAATCCCTGGCAAATGTTCATTCCCTACTCTGGGAAACCCTGCTTCCCCTTATAATTTCGCCCTGGACGCGTTGGGTCTCGCAGGACCCTCACACCGTTTGAAAATCCACTCAGCAACGTCTTTCGCCAGAGACTCCTTGACTCCATCTGGCTCACCATGGAGCTTATGATAGGCACCCTCATAAGATTTGAATGTCTTATCATCAGACTCTAATCTCTCTACAAAACGCTTGCTGGCCTCGTAACTGTTAATCTCATCCGCTGAGCCATGGCATACCCAGATAGGTAGCTTGTATTTGCAGTTCTTCCCAGCCTGCTCGCTTTCCAACCACAATGCCCGATCCATCATTCCAGCGATCCCTTCCAATGTCCCCGTATCGTGACAGAGAGGATCTCGCCTCCACTCCTCACAAATGCGCTTGTCTCTTGACATCAAATATTCATTAAGAGGTGTTACAAGCTGGAAACTTGGCATGATCTTTGACGCCACTCTACCCAGGAAGACCGTAAGGTTCCACGGTCGTGTGCTGGGATGAAGCGAAATAAGAGGTGAATATGCTAAGACTCCAGCAATGGGGGGTAGATCCAGAGACGAGTTAAGCGCATAGTAGAGAACCTCTGCACCACCTTTACTGTGTCCCATCATAAACACAGGGGTCCCTGAATGTGAGGCATCGTGAGCCGACACGGTTGTCGATTTTATGGACTCGAAGATGCTGGTGACGAAAGAGTGGATATCGGACATGACAACCTCCGTTCCTCCTGTCCGGCCACGGCTTGCCTTATCAGTAACAGAGCGACCCCAGCCTCTGGTTAAGACAATAGTTTTAGCATTTGATTGCTTTTTTGGAACTGCACACTGTTTGTCATGGATATTCCTGATAAAGCAGCTGCCATAGTCTATGCGCCTTGTCTGCTGCTGAGGGGAACCAAAATCTCAAGCAAGGGAAAAAGGAAGGGAACTGCTGATATACCGTTGGTCCACTGCCCTGATTTCAATCCCATAAGAAGCCAATGTGGGGAAGAGATCGTAGTAGGAGTTACCTAGAATTTCGCATTAACATAGTCACTCGACATGTGAAGGCTGCTCTCTTTTCGTTTCGTTATAGAAAGTCATCGAATTGGAAGGAAAGAGTTCAAAAAGAGATGAACGTACAATGATCACTAAAGCCATGCACGAATGCAATAATAGCCTTTGGTGGTCCATCAGTCTGTATACTTCAGTCAGCCAACTTGAAACCACATGAAGGGACTAGATACACAAGGCGGTCAGGTCATACCTTCCACGTCTTGGTGTACAACTTCACTCCATCGCTGGCAACATGCCACCCTTCTTCTGTTGCAACCATGTTTACAAGATTCTCGTATTCCGAACTAGCAAACGCCCAGCAGGACGATTGAGCTGTTATTGCCTTGGATGGATAATTCCGAAGCTGTGGGGTTGTTGCGGCAGTTGTTCCAGGAAACAGCCCGAAATGCAGCTGAACTTGGAACCTTGGAACCTTCCTTAGCTTCCTTGATCATGTGCTTGTATACTATCTAGTCTGGACCTCAGGAGTATCTTACCTAGGAATGGTTGGCGATCTTACCTCGCCCTCGCCATAGATATTTATCAATTGTCATTTCATTTGCTTCCAAGAGCAATACTCCCTACCAGCATAATTGCAAAGCGAGGACTGTGAACCAACTCGATAGACCTGGTTTGACACAAACGCCACCAGCAGTACTACTTAATTACATCTTCTACTCAAATCTTCAATTTGCTGCTTGCTTCTTTAGCTTCTATTTATATTTTCAAGTAAAAGCTCTTCTTTCCTCCGTTCTTGACTACTCTCAGATATAGATATAGCTGTATTCACATACAGAACTGAGCAGCTTGAAGCAACGATATTGATATATTAAACTGTATAATATTCTGATCTATTGTAATGAATACAGATATCTCAGATAACTCAATCAGCAGCATCTCTACTGAAAATAGTAGAAACTCTTAGATACTCAGTATTTATGCTAGGGGTAGCCTGCACGCTGCTAAATCCCAGGGGCAAATGAACCATTAATTCCACATTTTCTTAGCTGGGGGGTAACCCCTCCAGACCCTCATTATAGAGGAAGCAGTGTCTAAAAGTCATAGTAAGAGATAAACAGAGAGAATCTGGAATTTAAATAAGAGAATATACAGTTAATGAATAAACAGTCAGTTAGCTATCTAGGGGCATACAGTTGAACGTGGTTAATTAAAAGTTGAACATGGTTAATTTTTGGGGCTGGAATAACCTTCGGCGTGGTTTTGACCATAAACCATGTCAACCCCCTCATTAGAACTACAATATAACATGGCAGCCAGACAGCCAGTAAAGGACAAGATAATTCCTAGCTCAAGAAGTGCAGGCTTATGGCAAGTCCATTTTGGCAACAGAGGTAAATTGATAACTTGGTAAAGGGGTTCGAACAAACGAAGTTGGCGCTGTAGACGAGAATTCTATAGAACTAACTCCTGATATCTGAGCTTGTACCCGCCTCAACGAACCGCATTCCATGTCGCGTGGGGAAGGGGGGAACTTGCTGCTGTAGCCCGAACAGCCGTTTTTAAATCATCGAGATGGCGGTACTGTAAGTCTGACGCCATCCAGCTCTATCAATAGGCGCAAACGTGTGCTTGTGGGTTGTAACCTATGGCGCACCCTCGTTGAATCGTCCTCGGGTGGCAGTCTCAAAATGATGGCCCTTGCATCCTAGCAGTATATCAGCCATCGCCCTGTCTCCTACCTTGGAATATCGCTTACAGATAGTCTGTACGTTCCGGCGTAAAAATACTATCATTTTGATGCTCAACAGCAATGGACCCAGAGCGAGGCATTATGCCTCGAGGAAGGCGATTAGCAATTTTTGGAACCTAAGCCAAAGTTATCTGAAGCGTGGTTCAGTCCTGATACCTGCTGTTGGAATCACATAGGCCAATAATAGCGACTAGCCAATAATTCATGTAGTGCGGAAGGAACAGAGTTAGCCGTCGTTGATGAGGGTGCAGAGTCAGGTGACCTGGTGCCTGAACCAGCTTTCCCGCGTTCGGGGAGACGCGACCAACAGCATCTTTCAACTAACAGTCGGTGAGCATGGGGAGATCGCGTGCAACAAGAGCACGAATCTCAGCGGGAGTTTCAAGGTTCTCTCTTCTTTTGTTGCCCGCTGCTCTCCACGCGGGCTCTCTTTCCTTCGAGAAAGTGACCACAGCAATCCAATTCCAGCAGTTCACTTCGTCATTGCCATCTCGCGTTCAGCAACATGACCGTTGAGCCGTCGAGCATGGAACTTAAGCTACAACTTGATGACTCCATGATCGGACGGTGGCTCTCAGAGCTACCAATGGATCACCCAGAGCGCAAGTCTACGTCGAAACCTCAACTACGTCGTTTCATTCACCACGACAAACCTATCAAACGGCTTGGATTCCTCGGAGCGGGCGCAGAGTCCTGTGTTTACCACATTGAATGCGAAGGCAAGTCATATGCTTTAAAGCTGGTATGTAGTGTACTCTCTTTTTATCCAAGCGTATTTGGCCCATTCTTTCTGGTGAAATAATGCTGTTGGCATCACAGTTGCATCGCACAATCAATCTAATGGTATGCATTTCTACATGTCCAGGCTAGGCACTGGCCATATTATGACACGGATTTCCCCAACAGAATCAAGGCACATGAGAGGATACTGATGGCTCCTTTCGTCCGTGAAGCCCGTGCTTTTGCCCGTCTCGACAGTGTTGGCGAAAATGGTACATGGGCAGTAAAATGCCATGGGTGGATCAAGCTTAATGATAGTCAATTTAAAGAGTTGGGCAACAAGCATCAAATATTCTGTCGATGGGCTATCATCAAAGACATGATTCCTGATGAAATCAGCATGAGTGATATCCCAGAAGTACGCCGCAAAATGCAAATAGCTCGTAAAGCTCTGCTGTGGCCTGGAGATGTCAAACCTGAGAATTATCGCGGTTCGTTTATCGTGGATTTGGGCAATACGATCACCTATCCTGAAATCCGCCGTTTCTGGTCGAATACAAGACGCAGGGAGATATTTGCTGGTATGGATCGATGTTTTAGTAATTGGGAACCCTCTGATTGGGACGGAAAACTTGTCGATAAGTTTTTCAATGATATGCACAAGAAAAATGTGGCTGCCGCAAAAAAGCTGGAGGAGGAGTGGTTAAAGAAAAAGCAAGACGAACGGGAAAACCAGGAGGAGCCATTTATACAGGGGGATGGGACAAATCGGTGGTTGAACCCTGAGAAGGAAGTCTAAGTTGTGTCGTATCCCTAATAATTTTTCATTAACTGGGAATAACCCGGTGGTAAGTTGTGAATGTTCTTGAGATATTCTCTAGAGTATATTTAGCTTTTTATACTTCAATAGGTAATACTCTGCATGCATCTCTAACAAAAAAAAGAAAATAAATCGTGAGAATTGAGCTATTCACCACACCCCGGTAAAACATCACATCAGGCGATGCAAACCGGCCAACTCACGGCTTGGCGGACCACGAAGGGCACGGGCTTTTGGTGGGATTGACTTTTGCGTGCTCCTAGCAACACTCAATGGGGGTCTCACTGTCCTATTCCTTGTCAACTGGTTCTCGTCCCTCCTGGAAGAACAAGGAGTGACAAATTGAAAAACATATACTGGACCAGTTAGCAAGGCCATCACTTTCGTAAGAACAGGCCATGACATTTTAAAGAGAGGAGAATATTTCCCCTAGAAATGACACCAAGCATGACCAGGGTCATGACATTCTAAAGAATAAGGGATACTTCCTCTAAGAGTCATCTAACATGACTAGGCCATGATGTTCTAAAGAATAGGGGATAACCAATGGCATCTGGCATGACCAGGTCAACTTGGTGTTCTAAGGAATAGGGTATATTTCTCTGAAAATGGCTGTAGATTGAGTAGGTCTGTCCTGCTCCATCTATGACATCATTTATGGCACACCTTTTGGCGGCGTAACAAGGCCCAGCGCTAACTGCAAGGCTGGTTGGCGACCAAGCTCTCCCCTACTGATTTTCCATTCCGACCCATTTACTGTCCAGTTTGGTGGTTTACCCTCTAGCACCAGAGAGATATTGTTGAACCTGTTCTCAATATCTTGTTGCAGAATCTGATGTTGTTGCTGCAGTCTTGAGCAATCTACTACGTTCGCCACAATACTTCCAACATTCTGAGGCATAAGTAGACCATAAAATAAAAATGGCAGGGCTCTTGCCTCCCTACACGGAGGAGACCGCTAAGCAGAAAGTGCAGCGAGCGCAGGATCTCTGGAACTCAAAGTAGGTAGAACATATTACTGTCATAAATCTCCCTGTTATGGCAGCTATGTATACATATGACCCTGTACATATACCATATTATGGATAGTTAATTCCAATGTAGAAACCCACCCGAAATCGCAAAGGCCTACACCCCCACCAGCACCTGGAGGAACAGAGACCAATTTTTCAGCGGCACAGAGGACATCGAGACCTTTCTGACCAATAAATTTGCGAAGGAGATAAACTACAAACTGCGCAAGGAGCTGTTTGCCTTCACGGATAACAGAATTGCAGTGCAGTTCTGGTATGAGTATCAGGATCGGGACGATAGTATGAAATGGAAGCGGTGCTATGGGATTGAGCACTGGACGTTTGAAACCGAAGGAGAACATGCGGGGAAAATGCAGAAGAGGAACATGAGCGGCAATGATGTGTTAATTGGGGAAGGAGGAAATGGGGACGGGAGGTGGTATGAATGAGTATGACGATGAGTGGATTGAAAATCGGCATCAGTTTGTCCGAATCTACTTCATATCTACGAGTATGGAATGATGAGTAGTAATATAGCAATCCATGATCAACACCATTAGCAGCCGCATGAAGAGCAGCAATGAAGAATACCCGGCTTGAGAAACACCAATGCCATCGCCATCAGACATCTTCCGGGAAGACAACCTAGCTCCAAGGATTGGGCCGAAGGCCCGGCAACAGCCCATCCTATATACCCACTATGCCGTTGTAGATACTCCATGTTCTGATGTACATTTATTAGGATTGACTTGCCTAAATTTTAAATGGCACAAAACTGATATGCCTACCGAACCAATCACCCATGCTGAGTTTCAAGAACGGGAGAAGCCCTCGCCCCGTCACATTCAACTAGGTCCATCTATGAAACAAGTGTACGCCTATAAATTTTGTGGAATCTTATGTTATCGATATGTTAACAGCCCGGAAGAGTGGATTAAACAGCAATTAGGCCCCTAATTTTTCTTGCGCTCCAGGTCCGAACCAGACTTTCGCCTGAGTGGATAGAAGTAAAAAATTCTTTTGTTTGGTTCACTTCATGAGTGATAAGGCGTTTACTGAATGAGGAGAAAGAACAGTCCATAGTTTACGATGAGAATAACTAGCGCCTCTTAAACAAAAGTACACAACGAAAATAGAAAAATGGGGGAGGAGAGGGGGAGGGAGGGAGGAAGAGGGAAGGTGGAAAACAGGGAGAACAAAAATACAGTATCCGAAGCGAGGGCTTCGTCATATATAGAGAAGGGAAGAGAGCAAGAGAGGCGAGAGAAGGAACAAAGGAGAAGGGAAGAACAAAAAACGAATAAATAAGAACCTACGTTGATAAGGAGAAAAAAGTAGGCCAAAACTATAGCAAGCCAGACACAACTCTTCCAGGTCAACCGCCCTCCCAGACTTTCACACCCAAAACACCAACTCAACCCGACTGCTTTAACCACACGACCATATAGGAGGGGAAAAGGCGATGCATAGACATGGAGGTGGAAAAAGACAATTGTCGCCACGCCATCGAGAGTTTCCAAGAAAACAGACCCCGAGGAGAGAACTGGATACACGAAAATAATTGAACAGAACCCGCAAAATAAAGGATACCACGATAATCGAAGAGGGAAAGGAAGGGGACATTGAAAACGAACCAAGAGAAAAACCACAAGACTCTAAAAAAAGACACGCGAATATTTCCGTCCGAGATAATAGGTGAAACAAAAGAACTACTCTGCAGAAGCCCTCGAGACTCATAAAATGCGAAAATAAAACCTTGGACTCCTTAAGTCGCCCTATCCCGATCTCTATCCCTATCCCTGTCCCGTTGCGGCCCGAAATCTACTTCGACAACTTTCCCTTTCTTGCTTTTGAAAGAAAACTCTGCCATTAGGGCAAGGTGATCACTAGGAAAATGGTAATTTGGGAAGCCGGGAACTCGCTGCAGATACTCCTTGTCCACTGCGCCAAGCAAGCCAGTTACCTGCAGAGCATTGGAAGTATACCAAATGTAGTCGATCACATCAGCAAAGTCGGGAGTATAGTTGGTAAAGTCGAGTTCTCCAATAGCGCCATATGCGGATTTCAGGTTGAAAGGGTATGACATGCCGACGCGACTGAGGTTCCCATAGAGACGCTTCTCAAGATCCGGATGGTCTTCGATCAAACGACCACGGCTCATCAATTCATGCACGGCAGATCCAGGGTAGGAGTTGAAGTCACCGCATATAATAAGGGGGATCTGAGAGCCACTACTATATTCAACTGAAGGTGCTGGTTCCACAGGCGTCGCAGTGCCCCCACCATCTGTCGAATGTTCCGGCTCGGAGAATCGGAATGCAGTTTTATCTGTACAAGCGGGAATCTTGGAATACTTTTCGGCAAGCTGCGTTACCTCTTCCATCAAAATTGCAGCCTGGATAAGCTTCACATCTTTATACGCTGGGTCCCAGTACAGGTGAACATTCACCACTATCAACCGCTCTCCGGACAATCGATTCTCCAGATACGTGACTACGGCAATATTGTCCTTCTGCCATAATCGGTTGTAGATGTCGTCCTGGCCTTTGGCATCGGGTCTGCGGACTGCAGTTTGACCGAAATGAATCATATTCTTCTCGAGAAGAATGTATTTACTGCCTTTGAAGAATGTCGCACAACCGTCGACCACCTTGGCCTCCTCTTCGGGCATACCTTGAGCTCTTCCCTTTGGCCAGTAAACCCCCTTGTAATCGTTGTATGCAAGCTGTTCTCTGAAGAAGCCATGGTAGCTGCCTTGGTCAATTTCCTGCAAACACACAATATCGGCATTGTACCCTTTTATTTCATTTAAAATGAGGTCCCTGCGATATTCCCAAGCAAGCGCTCGGGAGGGCGCATAACCATGTTGTTGATGGGTTGCTGATCTATCACAGAGGGTATTATAGGAGAGGGCAGTAAACTTCTCCCTTTGGCCTTTAGTGGGGTTTCTGTCCGAATCATCCAGGACAACCCAATCCCGTTCCGAAGGAGGCAAATGAACTGCGTGAAATTAGTGAATGACTATATTTTAAATAAACAAAGAATGTGACATACCCGGCATCTCCTCTTTAAGGTACGTAATGAGTGCCTTGGTGCCTTCCTGCATAATCCGTGATTTGAACACTTCATTCAAGGGGTTTCCTTCTATACCTAGAGTATCAAGTTGATATAGGTAACCCATTTCGTAGGGAAGTGAATGGATGTTATTGTCGAATAGCAGAAGCTTTTTGAGATTAATGAGCATACCAATTTCTTCAGGAAGTTCAGTTAGCTCATTGCCGGATACGTCCAAATGAGTGAGGCCTTTCAGCTTGCCGATATTTGGGGGGAGGGCCTTCAATTTATTGTGATTGAGATAAAGCTTTTCCAGAAAAACGTAGTCGAAAAGAGGGTTAGAGATTGCTCGAAGACCTTGTCCACCAAAATCTAGAGCCATCCAATCCTGTCTTTTAGAAGGGTCTTTGGTCGTTTTGGCACGGCTGCGTTCTTCGGAACCATTTTCATTGGTCTCGGCTGGGCTCGTTGTGAGCTGGATGCCCTTCGTCTGTTGAGCAACGGCCCGTGCGTAATAGTGCGGGGAGTTTGCTTGTCTCGACTCTGCAGCAAGTTGTAGCTGCTGCTGCCAGTGCTCATTCATAGGCTCTTCGACTTCTTCATCCACGTTGGTTGTAGTGCCGTTGGGGATGTGGGTGGGAGTAAAGTGGGGGGCTGTGCTTGACAGGGCTCCGGATGAGAAGTTAGGTTGATGGCCGATAGCAGTGTGAGTAGCTTGGGAGTGAGGATGTTGGTGGTGTGGGTGTTGTTGGGAATGATGTGGATGATGGCTTGGATGTTGGAATTTCTGCATTGGCATTCCAAATCTTTGATGAGTTTGACCACCATTCATCATGACATGCTGCCCTTGCGAATACATATTGTATGGGTTATGGCCAGGTGACTGGTTGAGTGGAGGAGAGCGGGACGGGGAAGGAGTGTCGGTATTGAATTTCAGTCTGCCAGTTGGAGATCCAGTTCCGTTCCGGACGAGTTGTCTTTGGTGTGCGTTAGTGTGGTTGTGCTGCTGTGTTTGTTGCTGGAAGTAGAACTGCCCGGCCACAGGCTGCTGGAACCGGTAGGTACCATCTGCCATTTAACGTGGCAGACGAGACCGTAGATGTAATTCGGGCGGAGGTGGGTTATCCCGCGGAAACTGGAGAAGTGAGAGAATAGGCAGGGGGTTCAGAGGCGTGAAGGGGCGAACTCGTTCTCTCCGTCTCTTCAACATGGGGCCCAAAGCGGAACCACCAGGAAATGTCAACAGCTCAAATATGAACTCGACCCCAAGCACCTTGACAGTGCTGCAGCCAGCTGTGACAATTCTCGCGTCGAGTAACGTATGTACCCCGGCGGTCTGCCGACAAAGAAGTCCTTGATGGTGGGAAGCTGTTGTGAGCACCACGATGAGCCAACGCGGTTCAAATGGATGCAGGCTCCGTGGCAGGGCGAAATATCGATCCCTTAGAGTAGTGAGGATCCAGGACGGCTTATGGCACTAAGGGCAACAGTGTTCCTTTGACGGGTGCCGAATCTGAACGTGATTGCGCCTGGACGTGCTGCTGGATGAAATGCGAAGCGGTTTGCATCAAAGGCGGGAGAACCGTGGAAGATGCATCAGTCACATGACTCACATCGATCACATCATGTCAGGTGATAAATTGTCAGGTGGCAAAGCCACTATTTCCTATTGAAGACTAGTGCATGATACACCTGATTCATGGACGGTTTCACTTCCTAACGTTCTCCCCAAGCAACTTTGGAGAGCAATCAGAAGGTTTGAACATGTGTTTATGACCAACTTTTGTTGTCCGCACAGCCTACATAATGTGGCTCGCAAGCAGACTTCATAAAGTTTTTGGCAGTGAATTATAGTATCCTCTACTTCTCACCTGTTAACATGGCTCTAAATCCACGAGTTGTTCCCATCTTGTCCATGAGAGAGCAAGCTGAGTACTAGTGGCGCTTAAGTCACAGAAAATTGCGCTGAATTTGATAACTTATCATGTAGCCGACAACTGAGCAGCGAAGATAGTGGGAACTGTTTTTAAAATCCCGCCTGTTCACGTTTCTACAAAAAATTGACTATTATGTCAGTCGGGGGCATACCTATCTGTAACTAGCGCAGTCATGATGCTTCGGTATGGCTAGCTATCTCGATCGTCTTCAGCACTCTAACCATTCATTCATTTGATATGACCAACGGGATTTGCGAACCTGCGACGACCGAAAACGGGCCGCTCAGATATTATCTGGGTTTTTTTGCCCTTCAATCGAATAGGGCCGACAATGTTCAATTGCGCTTGTTATCGCAGTTGTCTGGCGGTAAGCACCCATACTTGAGCATGGGCGCTAATATAAATTCAAGAGACCTTGAGGTAACGACTTCTCTCCATTACGTGGCCAAGGACTGAGTCATTGAATACTCAATATATCTCGGGCAGCCTGGTTACCGAGAAAGACGTGGGTTTGAATGTTGGGATTGAAAGGCGCATCTACGCTGGTTATTGAAATTACGGAATGTGAGAAGAAACATAATAGAGAAACAAAACAAGATATACTGTACATTGATTATGAGTGTTTTGCAATAATGGTTGGCCCATGGAGCAAATTTCATGAATTTGCGTGTTCCATGTTTTCTCCCAAAGATGATCATTTTCTTTTTCACAAGATGTGAACTCATACATAGCAAAATCAAGGGTGATAATCATCTTGGAAGGAAAGTTTGGAAATAGCTCCCTCAAAGGTAGCACATATTTGTCCTGTGTAAATTTTGCGCAATAGGGAATAGGTAGATATGCATTGTAGAATTTCCGAAAGTGCCAATAGTGGGTTTCAATCAACTTACCTTTTGTTATTTCCGTGGGTTTGGAAGTATCACTAAATATTTCCCAGTTGCTTCATCAAGGGAGTCTGTCCGTGCCAAAGTCAAAAAGTATAACTGATGTGGGGCAATACAAGGGCACCGTGGTAAACAGTGATGCCATGGAGTTGATGATTATATGAGACATTCCTGGCAAGTTGATATTTGGGAGGAAGTCAGAGCACTAGCAGACGTGTCAAACCTGGAGTTACAATATGTTCAAAACCGGGCATCCCTTTCATCCAGAATATCCACATATTGTCACATAGAGCATGGCCCACTGCTGTATCAATTTGAGGATATTACTGTGTGTGCTTTCCATGCATGTTCGATGCAGGTTTGTGGTTTCTCCTGAAGCCTTGGAAAAATTGGAGCGGTGAAATGACCCGGCACGGTCCTTTTACTAAAAAAACCAAAACTTGACTTTTACCCTAAAGAGTGTAAATTGCCAATGAGAATCAATATGTCTACATTTTAAGGGGGCCGCTTGCCTCGATGGCCTCTCAGAATTTCTTCAATGGAGATAATTTTTGCACGGCCGCACAACCAAGGTTTTCCACAATCAACTATAACAGCCCAAAATTCTGTATCGTCATCCCGTTACATACTTTGTGATCGGTTTTCTTTCTTCAGAAGTTAAATCAAGCAAATGTCACCATCCTCAACAATGGTCCAGATGGTGGGCCGCGGTGCCCAAGTTACTATTTACCCACTACTTCCTCTCTCTGGCTCATTCCCCACAAATTCAAGTTTTGGCACTGTTCCTCAAAGTTTTCTTCTGGTTACTGGCTAACTTGGTGCCGCCCGCGGAAGGCTAACTGGGATAAGATGTTCACAGAAAGACATGCCGAATAGGCACCAGAATGAACTAAATTTTTGACAGCCCACTTGGGATGGAAGGAAACGAATGTTGAAAGGAGGCACAGGAATCTGTGCCCGGAAAACAGCATCAGGCTGGCGCAACAAACATTCTCAACTGTTAGTAGGTGACTTGCATGCTACATCTACCAACAAGACGAGTTTGTCGGTATAAAACAGATGGAATGTATGTAACTACTGTTCATACTATATCATGCACGGGACGGGACAAACCTTGACGCTTTGCCCGAAAGCCCATTTACAAGACTTCGCCACGAGTTATGAGAGGAATGAGAAAACGTCATTCCTATCGAAGCTATTTCTCGACCAGCAATTGGAAGAGAGAAAGGCCATAAATAGCTCTCCATCGATGAACGCAATATCCAATATCTTTAGATCTGGCCATGATCTCGATGGGCGGATAGGCAAGTGTATCATCTGAAAACGGCTCTGTATCATATGAAAGAGCGAAATTCGATCCCAACACTGATGGACCCCGCAAATGCATTGGAATATCGATCGTTCAGGCGCTCCAAGAAATGCTGATTGCTTTTTACCATTCTCAGGCATTCAAACGAATGAAAAAGCGCGTGGGGGGCGCAGCTATTGGACCAGCGAACCAAGATGAGGGGCAAGGAAGTTTGTGTGCACGGCCCATCGCCAATCAGAGCCGCCAAAATCAAGCCCATGTATCAACAATGTTTCCAAAATCTGTTCTTTGGAGATTCGATGGATTGGATTTAGGATTCATAAAGAGGTCTAGGGCTTCAGTGCAATTATCAAACTCGAATATAGTGATCCATATTGGAGCTGGCTTCATGTAAGGGGGACGTGGCCTGACTTTGGCCCTGGAATTGTCACTCGCTTCGCTCTCCAAGCAAAGGAAAGATATTCTCCTCTATTGGCCAGCGCGGGACAGGCGAGCGTAACCCCAGACATTGGCTTGGAAATTTTCATGAGGAGATGCCAGAGGTGGCTGCGCAGGCGGTTTGCCTTGGCCGCTAAATAATCAGTTGATTGGAGGTTTCCCCCTGGCTTGCTTATCTCTGCGACAGACACCATCGTCATGCTACCAGAGTGGTAACATTAAACCATCAGCCAAAGCCCTGAAACCGTACCCGCGAGTGTGGACCAGTGGCTTCGACTACGGTATCCAGATCAACCGTGAGCCTCAAGTAGTTCTTGAATCGTCGAATAGTCATCTGGTTTTAAAAGCATTACCTTGTCCCTCTTGTCATGCCTCACATGCTCCGCTTCTTCTTCTTCCTCTTCTTCTGTGGGCATCAAAATTCACTTCCTCTCTCTCTCTTCCCTCTTGCTCATTCTGTCGCTCTCAGGTTGTTGTAGGATTGTGAGCCCATAATGCCCAACCGCTCACACTGGCCACAAACCTCCTGCAGCGATTCAACGAGCTTAGGTAGCCAAAATGAATCCTAAATATTCTTAGGTATAGTAATTCCACAGCCCATTATCCAAGTGAGCTTTTTCGAGTGTGGTGCTTCTTTGCTCGTTGCTAAAACCTACTTCGTAGTATGGCCCAATATTTACGTAACACATACACACGAAAAATTACACCGCGTGAAACCGGAAAATTTCAGCACCATGTCCGGGTCCGCAAACTTATCCTACCTCTTCATCCCCAGTTCGCCTTTGGCCTATGATCCTAAACACCATGCCTACCAGAGATCCAATTCTCTCTCTCAAGGATCTGCAATGCCAACGACTTCGTCATCTTCCACCTCCTCTTCCACTGACTACACGACGTACCCACTGGCCAAGCGCAATGGCCGTACGATTCTGCGCGACCCAGATAACCCGTACCCACTTCCCTGCGATATTCCAGAGATCCATCGCCAGTCGCTGCGTTCACTCATTTTGATGCATGTGTTCGGCGCTCCCTTTTGCACACCCCATTTTGCCGACCACCCGCCGAAGCGTGTGTTGGAGTTAGCTTGTGGCTCTGCGTTATGGTCAAACGCTTGCCATGACTACTTTGCCCGGAGAGGACACAAAAACATGTCCTTCACTGGCCTCGATATTGTAAACCTCGCGCCAGACCTTCAGAAACAAGGCATCAATTGGCAGTTTAAACGGCACGACCTACGGAAGTCTCAATTACCGTTTCCCGATGGTTACTTTGACTTTGTGTTCATAAAAGATGCTGGGATTTGTCCGTCAGGATCAGAGTTGCAAACGCTTCCATTGGGTGAACCCCTTCGTGTTCTGAAATCCGGGGGTGTTCTTGAAGTGTGGGATTCAGATCTTATATTTAGAACGCTTTTGCCAAATCCGCCACTTGTACCTGGGCTATCGGGGGAAAACGTGGAACATGCGGTAGCCACAGGCACATACACCATATTTCCAGCTACCCCATTCGCAGATGCCCAGAACAAATATTTACGCGATTACAACTCCTGGGCGCAAAAGGCTTTTGAACGTCGCAGACTAACGCCCATGCCATGTGCCATGATAGGCCTTTCCTTCACATCCGAGTCGGATTCCTTCAATAGCATGGATAGTCGTAGGATAGCAATTCCTTTGGGAGAAGTCAAATGGGAGCGAGAGCCGCAGGATGGCGCATCCAAAAACTGGAAACAGCCCAAGACCTTATCAGCAGACCAGCTTGCCATACGCCAGACCGCGCTATTTACAATCGTTCAAATGATCGAGAGTATGGAGCCAATGCTGATGGAGGTTAGTGGAAAAGGCAGAGACGAATGGGATCGATGGTGGACTGGAATGACAATGGACTTGCTGCAGAACGGTGGCGTGGCAAGTGGCGAGTGTCTCGAGGTCGGAGCATGGTGGGGCCAAAAGCGATAACTGTGCTTGTTCAATTTTTCCAATTCATTTTATGTCGATGGCGAGCTATTATATCCTTGAGAAACGGCGGATAACATTTTCTCATTTCGGATCCTGCTGTGACAAGCCTTGGTTGGCACTCTCATCCTCGCTCTCCTTCGATTCCCCCCGCCACTTTGTTACATCCCTCTCTGCGGTCAGCCAGCTCATGTCTCGACAGGAACTTTGGGTATATCATATCGATTCTTGAGGGCGCGATATCGTCTCAAGTAATATCTGCATTTTACCATCGTTAGCGCTCCGTTTCATTTTTCTCCTTTATTTTCGTATAATTTCCACAGCCCCATCGCAAGCCAATATACCAAAACCAGCACAAATAATATCGGATTTTGGCACGACGAAATAACATTTAAACATGGTGCATGAACTGTGCGAGCAAGAGGCCGCTATTCGGAGGGTGCTTCTTCTTGGGGATCCGCAAATCCCCCCTTTTCCCTGCTTGATCTCCGACCTCTTTCATTTGGACCATATGTTGCCCTTTTTCTTCCACTTGGCTTTTTGGAGTAACAATATCTGTACATTTCTTTCCCCTCCCTCTTCCTTTTTTATCGTCCCATACTTTGCTGTAAATGAAATATTATTCTGTGTGTATAAAATGGGGGAGCCACAGGGGAATTCATTTTATTTATTTATTTTTTGCTCGTTCTTCAATTGCCGATTAAAATCACCGGATCGCAACCCAAACAACCATCGTGGGAAAATATGAGAACAGTAAAAGAAGGGTAGAAATACACAAGCAAGGAATATAACTCACAATGCCTCAATCTCTAAAACCAATCCAGAACCCGATGGGGCGAGTTTCATCACTGTTAGCATGTCATTCTCAAAAAACGAAGCAAGACTAGCATAAACAACATCCCTCCCAACGGCGAAGTTTCAAACAGCTCAAGACTATCAAATCCCAGTAGCGCGGAGTAAAAATTATCAAACCCCAACCTTCCGATCTTAGTCGCCCTCCTCCCTGAGGGATACATATCAAACGGCTCAAATGACTAAAGGGTGGAGCACGGAAAACGTACCTTTCTTCACATACTCCGCCCTCCGTATTCCGTCTGCGATTTTCGCCTCGTCAGTGACGTGAGCCTGGCTCGCAAAAGCACGGTGTAAGCGTTCGCGAAAGAATTGGTAGCCGAGAGGGTATTCGCGGCCAAGGAAGAGGAGCTCTGAATTGCGTCGACGGCAATCTCCAGTCAGCCGTTGATCAGGTGGTGATTAAGATCCAATTGAGAAGGGGTTCGTTCATTGGAGGTGTGGGATTATATGACGAATATGGTATCTAGTCTTGAGCGTAGTCTTGTTCACCCCTACCTTTGTAAATCCGGATGACTTGGTGCCGCAGCTGGGGAGCGGTCATGATGGGAAGGCTGCCAGTGTACTCCCAGCCCAGGGCCAGGAAGAGATTCAAAACGATACTTTCAGTCGCAGAGTTGATGAGCGAGAGCAAAGGGTTGGCCTTGGAAACACTGACTAAGCAGTAGCCTAGAGTGCAATTCGATTCTCACAAACAGGAAAATTTGCTTGGGGCTATGGCTGTTAGCGGGCAGTTTCGATAACCTGGGGATCAACTTGTGTTGCTAGGTCTCGGACATTATTTGCGCAATAAAACAGTTGGTTCTAACTACTCCGTACACGCTACAGCTATCAACCTTCAATTCGGCAATTTGTGGTGAAATATGCCCCAAACAAGAGGCAAAGCTTGGCTGTAAATCGAAGCAATAGGAAGTAGAATACACTGTTGTAAATCTCGTCTTTTACAAATTGAAATTTGACGACAGCACCACGTAGTTGTAAGTAATTGTTTTGGTCGCCAGAGTTTGGTGCAATTTGACCACGTGATCTATTGATACCGAGCTCGGGATTGTAAACCGAAGCCAACTGCCAACCTCTGATTTCTGAGCAAAGGGAAAGCCAGGTAAACTTATCCAAACATCGTTTTCTTTTGTCGAGCCACAGGTCAGAGATATACTTAATCCAATAATGGCCGCCTCCCGCGTCGTTTGGCGGCAGAATTTACGATTTCAGCCAAACGCTACTGGACGACGAGCTGTTACAAACTGTCACTCAATCGTGAACGGTACTGCAGCCAGCGCTCGTACAACAACACACCCATATTCCCACGATCTGCCACCTTCTCCAACTGCTCGTGAATTTGATTCAAGGTGGCTTTCGGTGATTAAAGGGCGATTAGGAAAGTGCTTTACCTTCGGACTGAAACCACACCAAATTGACGAAGCGGGGGAGATACTCCAGGTTATAGCTCGGGATTGGCGAGAGTTGACTGCGGGGAGTGAAGGGTTTCTCACGGGGATAGAGAGACAGGGCCTCTATCGTCACAATGTCGTATGGGGAGAAATGGTATATACCTACTCAATCAATGGCTGGGGTTTGGCGTTATAGACTGATTCACTTTCTTTCCCCTTCGCCGAATTGACAGGACATCATGGTATGTAGCCCCTCTATTCCTCCTTTGCTACAACGGCTGCAATCTGCTATCCTTGGTACACTGTGTGTATCACTTTAGTGTAGCCTTTTCCCAATTATTTGTTTCCGCACCTCTTCGAAAAGTAGTACATGCTAAAATAAGCCAATTATAAGGGTAGAACTCTCCGTCTCCTGCCAAGCCGCAATGATCGGCTGCCATATACACAAGTAGCAGGTGTCTAATCCCACCGCAATGTTTTCAGGACACGTTAATAACGTATCGTACGTGAGATATGCGGAGACCGCGCGAGTCAATTGGACAAGAAACATCGGTACCCACGTGGATCGCGCCAACAAGAGGGCATGGTTTAACCTCCTCGGCTCAACCGGTGTCGGCTTGATATTGAAAAGCATCAAGATAGATTACAAATTCGTAAGTCTTGAGAGGCCAATATCGCAACGTAGACGAACATGGATATGCCGTGCATTCAATTCGTCGAGTTGAGCAGAACCAGTCCGCAAAAACACCTGCACAGCCAAAACCGCTGTGTCCATGCTAACCTTGGAAGTTGATGGGCTAACGCTTTCAAACAACAAAAAATTAAAACATGCAGCCTATGACCGCTCCAGATAAAATAAGCGTATACCACAAACTAGCATATCCGCCTCCAGCGTCTTCTTCTCCAGCTTCCTCTGCATATTCGTCATTTCAGCTGGATGTTCTAATACTGTCCGAGGCGCATCAACGTCCTGCCGCGCGTTGTCATGAGGATATCGTCGCGTATGACTACCGGCTTGGGCGTAAAGTCAAAATGCTCCCGCCGTTTATGATGGATCAATTCCGGACATTGTGGGAGTTACAGGAAGCATCGAAGCGGACATGGGGGGTGAAAGTTAAGGAGATTGAAGCTCGAGTGAGAAGGTTGGAAACAGCAAGTTGGGATCGGCCAGATGCTGTTGAGGATATGGGTTCTTCAGGATAATGATTAAAATTCGAATTTGCCTAAAGGTATGGAGTGTATATAGATGTTTACGTATTAAATGATATCGTCCTGAGTGATGAGTGTTTAGAAGCCCCTAGAGATGGGTGTCATCTGAAGCATGGCTTTGAACAAGTTTTCAGATTGACAACAGGTTTCGGTCTTAGAGCTTACTATTAATAATTAATTTACAGGACTCAGAGAACTGATTTAGTGATGTCGCAAACTTAAACCCATTACGAGCCGTGTATTTCTTTTCAAATCATTGCTTTCTGAAATGCTGGCTCTCGCTCTCATCCTTCATCATTTTGTTCAAATTGTTGTGAGTATTGAAGTTGAAAAGAAAATCCTTGGAAGTCTCAATCATACATAATAGTAATGTTTAGTTTTTAATTGTACAAAAAGGCATAAATGGATTGAATTAACCACCTTCAGAAACCTCCAGAGGCCAAAAAAAAAAAAAAAAAAAAAAAAAGGCCTGTTCCATTGGAATTCGTGGGTCGCCCGCCCACTGATGGTATATTACGGATACTAAGCATCATGTCAATACGCAGTGATACGTTACGGTATGGTCACAGCTTTCCGCTGAGCCTCATCCGGTATCCGTTTGCATTCGATCAAGGCCTGAGTGAGGAGCTGGTATTGTTTGGACGGAGACAGCAAGTCTCTCTCCCATCAGGCATTACATGGAAGGCTGCCGAAATATTGTGATTTCAGGGTTTTAGTACCACTCCCGACTACCGACTTCTCTTTGTTAACCCCTGCTTCATGTTCATGGAGCGGCGTGCATCCCAATTGAGGAGGGTCTTGCACTCTGGGTCTTGTCATCACAGTCGTCAAGAGCCATATCAAGCTTTTGACCCGTGCGTTGTAAGGATACGTACATGTGGGGTTCGAAAATTCCATTATGGAAAGGGTGTGAAAATTGACTCCAGGGGTGAATGTGTTAATTGCTGTGTGAATGCACGAATATGGAGCGCCGATACTCCTCGAACCGATCATTGATGAGGAAATAAGTGGTGTTGCCTGTGTATTGATTCCGGAGAACATTCCACATTGAACCCAGTCCCTGATGATAACATCTACCTACTGAAAGAAATTTCCATGCTGATCCTTTCCAGATACCCTCAAAGAAAGAGACTTCTGACTGCGTAAGTACTTCGCCAGGGTTCTTAGCAAGGATCCCACACGCGCATACTCGGAGAACTAGAAGTAGGCTTAGCTCTCCGGCGCAAACTTCCTACCCGGGCATATCTCGATGTTAATCCCAGTGTTGACATTCTGCAACAAAATAGCCATCTAACTACCACGAAGATGTTGCAAGGCTGCCCTTGCGTTTGAACAAACAACGGGCTCATTATTCAATCCTGTGGCAGAAGATTCGATTGGAACCAGGTATTCGTTGGCCCTGGCGGCGCCTGTCAGGACGCTGCGCAGTTCTTTGAGAATCCACTCCGAAAATGTCATGGTAAAAAATTTAACTTCACCATTTATATCGCCTGAGATCATCGTCAATCATCATGTATGGTTAAGGCAAGGGGTCTGCCCCGCAGCAAATGGTTCTAAGTATGGGTATGAATAGGAAGGACGCACCCGCGTTTGTCCCTCACAGATTGAGATAGCTGACTTGACACCGCGGGCGGCAAGATGAAAACAGACCTCTGCCTTCTTTTGAATCATGAGCAGGAATGCTTATTCTTCTACCATGCATTTCATTTGCTGAAGCCACGGACACCTACCCAACTCAGCAGTGTGCACCCCACACACATATTGAAATATTACTTGATCCACATATGCATTGGTTGTCAAATGGTTTGCCTGAACATCCATGACTGAAAAGAAGGCCCTTCAATCGTTATTAGTCACCGCCACGCAGTGTTGGCTTGGAACCGACACTGATTAGTCCAAGTTCGGCTTCCAGATGAGGGGAGGAGACAAATCGCCCCGTTTTGACTCGAAGGGCAAATACTCCGTACTGCGCCCATCATTTCCCAATTCTTTTAAGTCAAGCCCGTATTTGTCGTCCGAATGAAAGTTTCCCACAGCCTGGATGTTATAAAGGAACTTAGAAATGCACGGGCAAGAATAGTGCGGGGCGGAATCTGTCCAGAAAACTACCGCCGCTTGTTCACAAGCCAGCAAGTGGGATGATCTGACACCGTTGATTCCTTCCCAGGTTTGCTGCAATGCTTATCATCATTTTGGCACAGGCTAGCGCAGAAGCGGGATGGGCCTCCCCATGCAGTCTGGTCTGTCCCGCATAAAAACCCGTTGTCCCTCATGATTCTTGACTCTTGATTCAGTGATTTTTCTTTTTTTCCTCCGATGAAACAGAATTTTATGTAGCCTTTTTTGCTTTATTTCGCGTTTATTTTAGCCCCGCGGGTTGCGGAGAAATTCTGTCAATCAACAATGTAATGCTTTAGGGCAACGAATGAGGTGCCGTATTGGTACGGCATGGTATTCTGGGCGTATCCGTTTCCCAATACGTAAAAGGTCGGGTCAGACAGAGTGGTGAAACACCAGCACTAACCTAGCAACTTGACTGATCGATTTTAGCTGACGACTTGAACAAGGATGTCCGCCGAAGATCTGTTTGACTAGCTCCCCTTTCCAAAGATTCCAACGGATGCTGGCCTATCAACAAAAGCAGAATTCGAAATTCCCAATTAGCCGGGTGCTTCGGGCGAAGATTTTGTTGCGGCCTTGTGAGGCTTGGCAGACCTTCCCCACAGGAAAAGGCAGATCGATGCATTATTGACCATTTCGGTGTAGCTGTATCGGTCTTAGCACTGATTCGCAAGCCACAGGTTGGTTGGAGCTGGCTCGAACAAGTCTCTGTCAACTGGGCAGACGTGCACGCATCCATCCAATCCATTCAGGTCTTTGCTCTCGATGCAAGAATACCAGAACGATGAATGCATCTCCAACCAGGTAAGATATGCTGCTGTCAGCTTTTAGAATCCTGTTTCGTCTGCATGAGGAATGAACTGAACTGTGTGGCTCTTAAAAATAGCTGGAGCCGTCGAAGCTTGGAATGGACGGTGTGCTATATAATACAGTACAGCACGGCAGATTTGGTTAGCAAGTTGTGTAATAGTAATAATACTTCCCTGCGCGGGTACAGTACCAGCCTTCTTTCTTACCGAAAATTACGAAGTACTTGGATATACGGTATTCTCGCGGTATCGACTGACTGTCTTGTTACCCACCAAACGCCGCCTCACCAAAGTCTTTTCTTGAAACTGCCTACCTGACGACAACAGAACACTTTTCTTCGGGCCAGCCAGCAACTGTCACCGTCACCACAAACCGATCTTTCGAGGAGTCATTGATTGATGCTGCGACTACAACCTCGTTTCCCTTCACTTGCTTTATCTCCATCCCCTTCTTGTTGTAATCGCGACACGACTTCCTACCCTGCCGCCCTCGACTCTACTTTCTCTCCCAGGTATCCGTTCCTTGGCCCCCGCCTGCCAAGTGGATTTGGACCTGGCATATCGGAATCCCTCGTCCATGCCACGACCAGGAGGCGCAGGCAGGAAGACTCATCACGGAAATCGACATGAGAACGGCATCCCAGTTTCCGGGAAAAAGCTCGCCAAGCCAAAGTCAAATGGCCACTTGAATGGCAATCTTAATGGTGCACCTCCGCCCACACTTTCTTCACCCTCGCTCGTCCCAGCCATCCAGCCAGGTCAACCTCAGACAATAGCTCGTACTGGGGATCACAGGCTGGATGCAATGATGTGCTCGTCAAAGGCGGAATCAAACGGACGGGCTCAAGCAAACGGATACGAGAAAGCCAGCACAGTCGTGTCGAATGGACATTCATACACACCAGCATCGACGAACGGAGCAACGCCAACCACTACCCTCGGGGAACAAACGCGGACAAACGTAGACAAGACAGGCGGAAGCATCTCATCGTTGAAGAAAACATCATCACCAAGCGGCTCTGTGAACCCGCTCTCCTTGGCCACTGCAATTCTCAAATCATGCCCGATGTACGACACTATCGCCATCCTCATCTTTCTCCTCCAATTGCCTCCAATAGTCTTGACCCTTGTCCAGTTCTTGTTTGCATCTCTAACCTTCATGCCTCCTGCTGGCGTTTCTACGAACGTTTTGACTTCGAATTTCGACATTTTCCAGGGTCCTGCTGGAACTCCCTCTCTTTCAACAATGATCGCCATGGATGGGTTTTGTCTCTTGGTTTGGGGCCTCTTTATGTGGACGTGGGCGCAGAATTTCGCTATAGATCTCGCTCAGGTCCAGGTTGCGATCACAATGGGAGGAGGAAGTTCGGGGAAAAATGAAGGAGTCAATGCTTTCTGCGTCTTGATGGTTCTGATCGTGCATGTTGTTCGTAGTAAAGGTGTACAAGATTTTGTCATAAGTTACCTTTTGTCGGCCAAACTGATAACCACGGATACCCTCGCTCAATATTCTCACCTGGTTCCTCAAGAATTCCGACGGAAAGAACCTCCATCTCCGCCAAGCTGGTTGCGAAGTCTCCTTGCTGTTCATATCCTTGCACAAGCAGGCACTGCTATGGCAAGGCGCTCGATGGCCAAAAACCGCTCTTCTCCACCGACAAAATCCGGAAAACGAACTGATACCGAGGCATCTGCTGGTTCCCAAACTCATGTCGATTCGTCGACGTTCGAATCTGCCACGAATGGTTCATCTATTTTGACTCCTGATGGTGCTGTGATTGGGCCATCTATACTGAAAGAAAACCGAGAGCGACTCTCCAGTGCAAAGAAGAGACGAAGACAGGCGAATCAAGTGAGAAGTAGGCAGCCGTTTTGGGCTGCTTTGGCAAGTACCAAAGTCACCGTGATGCGAGAGTATGATCATTCACGTAATGGGACATGGTCTACTCCTCATCACCCGATCACTGAGGACGATGCCGAGGGATTTCCCTTGGATGATGGGTTTATATGGATTACGCAGGTCGATAATTCTTCGATTAAGTTCGCGGCAAGTGATTTTGCTCAGGTTGATGATGCCATGTACGACAATAGAGATCAGGATATTCGTGCGGAGCCTTTCTATATTAGGGTAAACGGTGCTCATTGGGCGACTGTTACCCTTTCTAAAGTTTCTAAGAACGCAGGTGAACCCGCACTTGTCTGCTGGAGAGGGGAAATTTCTGGGCTGGCGCCAGATTGTGCGTACACTTGCAGCTTCATTCGCTACGATACCGACGAAGCTATCTGTGTTATGAGTGTGAAAACACCACCCACTCCTGACACAGACCAAGGTAAAACCAAACCTTTTCACATCCACACATTCTCTTTATAACAGTTCCACTAACATGTCCTTACAGCACTCTCCGCCGTTAATATCTCGCCGTCGCCACGACAATCTCTTCGGCCCTCTTCTCCCACAACTACCATCAAAAATTCCATTGCCAATGCTGAGGCAAAGCTGAATGAACGTCGTGCTCGCCTAAAGCGGTCAAAAAATGATCACAAGCTACTTATTTCCAGGTTGAAGAAAGAGGTTGATAACTTCAATACGCGTCTCAGTGGTGCTTCCGATGAAAACCGACAAAGACAAAGATTGCTACAACTTGAACGGACCATTAAACAAACCGAAGAAGCCACTGCTGCAATTGACATTCAGTTACTGAATCTGGAAGATGTCCCGCAAAATGAACTAGAAGAGTGGAATTCTCGAAAGTGTGTCTTTGATCAAGAGATGGATCGTGTAAAATCGCTCAAGGAGGAGGTGGACAATGCAAGGATCATGGCCAGCCGTAGTGTAGCTTCAGCAAAATCAGAACTGACCTCGGTCATCCAGAAGCGTGAACGACTACAAGGGCGCCGACAACGACTGACTGAACAGCATGAGCGCATTACTAGTGCTAATAGCCAGGGTCTCAATGAGCGGGAACGGAGGTCGGCGGAACAGCTTGCAAAGGAACGAGAACGTGCTAGTATCGAAAAAACTTTCAACGACCAATTAACAAGCATTACTCGGTCAATTCAGGATTATCAGATTCGGACAACCCACATCTGGCAGCAAGTCTCTGCCGTCGAGCAAGGAAACCACCAGCAACAAATGCTGATGACTGCAGGCCCCCTCACACCGGAAGGTGATCTGCCAGGAACAAATCCCCCACCCCCTGAAGCTAGCACATCTACGATGTCCCCTATGCCCTCGACTACGAGGTCTCTTTCAGGCGCAATGTACACGTCTGTTGGGACCAATGAAGCGACAGGGCTTACTGACCGCCAAACTTCGATTTCTCCAGTTGTGGCAACTTCACACTTAAGTGTGGAGCAGCAACCATACCCTTCCTCTCCATTAGTTACTGCAGCCCCTTTCTTTGGACCGGAACTAAGGACGCACCGCCATCGATCACTCTCCAATTTCTCTGGTGTTAACATGCCGGTAGACCAGGTCATGCCAATGCGACTACGAGACTCACCTGATTCTACAGAGGAGATTAACCTGAAACGTGCAATGCATTTTGGACTAAATACTCGCCGGTTTACTAGAGCAGGTAGCCAAGGCAGCGCTAGTGGTAGCGGAACCGGCTCTGGCAGCGGAAGTGGGAGTCCTCATTCCAGTCGAGAGAAACCGAGTTGGTGCTAAGGGTTGTGAAACGTCGACCACCGTTGCTCTTCCTCGTCCCCTTGCGCACTATTATTATTTCGGTTGTTATCAGTATTGCATTGACGTCCGCTTTCATCTTCTTCCTTGCCTCCTCTCACATTGCCCAACATTTAGTCTGCTTTCGATGAAAAGGGAAGTTAGCGGCGCAGCGCTCTAGTGGAACTAGAAATCCCTATGCAAACCTACGCGCTTTAACTCTTTTCGATATTGTTACTGCCCGTCTTCGCCTATCCAGGTACCAAGTCTTCAATTCAAACTTTTCAATCCAGCCTCCCACCATATAGAATGCTTCGTATCTGGTACTTTTCGAAGATTCTTATATGCATTGGATTCCGGTTTCCTGTGTGGTTGGACAAACTCCGCAAGTTGGGACTCAGGAATACTTACAAGGGCAAGTAGAAGGATATGCAAAGACAAGGAGGATTTCCCTTACCGAGAGCTTGCATGACTCTCTTCGTCGTTCTTAATCATTAGACGATGTGAGAAGGAAATCCGCTACTCATTTAGGAGGAGGAGGATAAATAAAAGCACTCTCCGCAGATAAATTTTGATTCCACCAGCGCTGTTTTAGGCATCAGACGACTTGAGCAAAAATATATTTTTAAACCATCAATCTATCGTCCAGTTGTAGGCCTTTGTTTTTCTACTTTCTTTCTTTCGTATTCGGGTTCCTCCCATTTCGCGCTCTTGGCTCGATTGCGATTGACTTAATATACCACGTAGAGCATTGTATGAAAACCAACCTCATACAAAGCTTTCGTAAATGGATAGGGGATATCAATGAGGACTACGTTGCCCAGACCTTTGTATGATCCTCCAAAGCAAGTTCGTAGAATCCCATGCATGGAGTAAGGAGCGAAACCAAATCGAAGGGAAGAATAATAACAATAGGGTAGTAAAACGTCACGCCATCTTGACGGAGATATATATAGTTATACATAGACATATTCGAAAATCTATCTTCAACGATAAGAAAAGCATAGCGCTCAAAACAACGTAAACTCCATTTCTATCTCACATCTAGCAAAGCCATGACTCCAGGTTATTTATAAAGGTCGCCGTCCCCCGTCGCCACCAATGTCAAACGGATGAAATAGTCTCCCCAATTTTCCAGAACCGTGTATCAGCGTAAGTTAAGCATAAATGCTCCGGACTATATGTTTCTCCAGAATCGGATGTGCCAGCTGCCTCTTGGCAGATAACCTTCACCACCCGCCCCAGCACAATGACGTGATTCCCTACCTTGACGCTTTGCGAGAGATATCGGCATTCGAAGATAAATGGGAAATAATCCGCGGTAGCAACAGGGGCGGGAGTAACAGAGCTACCGCTACCGTCCACCCGCCCTGCTTCCGTAGGCAGAGAGGATTCGCCGTCCTTCTTTGCATTGTTTAACAGCACGAGACGCGGCGGCTCCCCCTCCGCAATCGACGGCACCCGACCACCATCTCCCCCGCTCATCGGGACGAATTGAAAAAAAGTGGCGCTTTCGTCCGCACGCATGATTTTTGCATTTCCCTGGGAGAAGTCCCTCGCTAGGCGTGCGGTTGTATTCGTGGGTGCTAAGAGGTGGACGAGGAAGCGGGACGAGGCGTCGATGGCGTTGAACGTTTCGGAGGGGAGTTTCACATTGAAGGAGACGATGGTTTCCGGGTAGAGCGTTACTGTGTTGAAGGAGGAGACGGTCATGCCTCGAAAGGCAGTCTGTGCCGTGGGTGATCTGGGGTCTGTGGATGTGATTATTGCGACGGGGTGCGGGACCCGGCGCATCAGGAAGCGGACTTGGTCGCCGATCTGCCTCTCGGAACCAGCTGTTTCGTGCTGTGTTGTGGCTTCTGGTGGTTCACAGGTATCCTCGTCGACGATTACTACGTTTCCGGAAGTATTGGTTGGCAGAACATGATAGTCTATATGCGATTCAATTGTACTTGAAGATTTCGTCGCGTTCTGAGGAGGGTTTGATGGGATTCGGCCGGGTAAAACTGGGAGGATCGAATCCGTAATGCTTGCAGCATGTTTAGACAGAATTGTCCGTAGAAGCCCGTAGAAGCGAGGGCGATGGCCTCTAGTTGGAAAGGACGCCAGCTGTCCATGATGAAAATATAAGTGCGGCAACTTGATGCTACGGCGTAAGTGGAAGATCTCCCTGGTTCCGCGAGTGCTGCCCAAACGGAGATTGATAGAACAGCATCCCAATGACATCTTCCTGAATAAGTAACGTCCGGACAATGCCTTTCTTGTAGGAGTTCATTTTTTGGAAATTGCAAAGCCTATGTCCGCAGTTTCTAGGGAAAGGGAAACATTGTCTCTTCGTACTATGTTGAGAATTGCTGAACCGCCAACCTCGATCGAAGAAAAATACAGAGTTCAACAGGAAGTAGAGCGGCTTAGGTAAGCGACACCTCCAAAAATTATTCTCCAACATCGGCAAAAAATGGCGGAGAGAAATCATCACAATTGTTCTTTTGACAATCCCCTCTCCTGCGCAATTAGCTCAATTCTGCATCTGAACACGGAACTCGGAGTCGAGGTCATTCCTCCGATGCCACCCATCACGAAATAGAAGCCATACGACACACACAACACAACACACGATGTCTCTACCCTTTCCCATCCGCCACACTGCCACCACGGTCCTCTCCAATCCCAGAATTACCTTCATCTGCATACAATGCAGACATGCCACACTCCTCCGACGGCCTAAGCGTCCATACACCTTTACACAGCTAATAACCCTCTCGGACGGCAGCACTTTCACCCACCGCACCACCTCCCCCCTGGCGGTCTACCGCTCAACACGCGACACGCGGAATGCACCACTATGGAATCCGTCCAGCGAAAAGCTGCGAAACGTCGAGGAGGATGAGGCAGGGCGGCTGGCGGCGTTTAGAAGCAAGTTTGGCCGGAGTTGGGATGCAACGAGCACTGCCGGACCGGTTGCGGCAACGGCGGATATATCTGCAACTGCTGCTGAGAACGCTGAGGTTAATGCGACACAGGCCAAAGACACGACTGCGGAGGAGGTGGCGGAGTTTGAGTTTGAGGAAGATGAAGAGGAGGATAATTTATTGGATTTGATTAGCTCGTTTGGCCAGGCTGAGGGGGGTCAGGGGGCTCAGCCGGAGAAGCAGAAGGGGAAGAAGAAATAAATAACTGCAGTGGACTTGGCTGTTTGTTTTTTCTTTCTTGTCTTTTTTTTAATACGCGTTTTTGTGCTGGGACTTTCATTTCTTTTTTCATTTTGGGAGATATCTACATGGGATTGTACAAATATATATGGAGTATCTGTTCGTTTGAGAACTTTGCCAGCTTGCAATGTATTGTACTACAGAGTATAGATCAGTCTAAGCCTTTGTAAATAAGATATTGACACATTGGTATGTTCATGTCCTTTCATTCTAGCACAGGTACTGTGGGATTGACCCACACTGGGCCTGCATGTGTCAAGTTAATCTCGAATTCCACAATGGACATACATCCAATGGTCTGCACAGTGAACACAACCACTTAAATGAGATACATGATCCTATTGCACAGAAAGCCGAAACCATGGCCAGGCAGTGAGTAACCATTAGATAATTTATGTCTTTGAAGGTCGTCAAATTTACTTCTGCTATACACTTGTTGGACACACAAGAGAGAGATAGAAGAAAACAAGCAGAGGAATCGAGATACTGGTATTCATGACTCCTGTTCTGTAGTAACAGGCTGTGCATCTTGTCCACCATCAGAAGCGCCTGTCGTCACTTCTGGTGCCGCGGGGGCAGGTTTGCTGTTGTAGGGATTGGTGTCGTCGTCAGTGTCAAGTTGCAGGAGGAAGGTCTCCCAAAGCTCAATCAACTACGAGATAACACAAGTCAGTATATTAACGCTGATCCGTGGGGAGGTGACCGAGGTTGTTATCTCCTTTTTCTGTTGCTTGGAATGGAAGGATGATGAGGTAGTAAATTGGTCGTGAACTAACCTCTTTCTGAGCCTCAACCGCGCTCTCCAAAAACGTTTCAACGCCAGATTTAAAGTCCTCCACCTTCTCCTTCTCAAATTTCTCCAGCTCATTCCGCATAACTCTGCCCATGTCTTCGAACAAAAGTCGGGTCTGGTGTACCTTTCGTTCCGCATCCGCCACGTCCGCAGCAGCTTGGTTCAGCCTATCCTGCTGAGATTTGCCCTGTCTAAGTAGTTTGTCCTGAGAGTTTTTCCTCTTTTGAAGTTCGGATTCAGCTGCATGCCAATTGTGGAAAGATTTTTGTCGCTGAGAAAATGCCATCTTGACACTTCCAATTAAACGGATATACTCATCAACCGTAATCCCTAAGGTCAAAATATCCTGTTGAGCCTGGCGCTCGTAGAGCTCCTTTATTCGTAGCTGCAGGTCTGATAGCCCTTCCAGCGGGCCAGAAAGCGTTGGAGAAAGTTCGACCGTCGCGAGGGAATGGAGTGATGCTGAGAAGTCATTGGCAGCTTCCGCAAGACCTTTTCGTTGCGCAACCACTGTATCAATGGCCTTTAGCAACCCCTTCAGCTGATTCTCAAGGGCGTCAAGGTATACTTTGCGATCGTGAAACCACTGTACGAAAGTTAGTGGCCAAATTTAGCATAAAGGCCCTTGCTATCCCATGGGAATTACGCACGTCATCATGTTCAACAAATTTGCCCGGTCCTCCAACAGATATGCCTAACGAGCTCAACATGCCCTTATTTTGGCCTATATCCGGTTCGCGATTCTCTTTATTCTTAACATCAAGGTTGAAAGTGTCGCTTTCGAGAAAGATCTTGAGATCTCCATCGTGTTGCAGTATGTGGTGCGCGGCAATTTTGTTAAGCATACGCTCTAATGCGGCTCTTCGTGATTCAACAAAGTTCGTATCAAAACGGCCAACTGCCTGTTTTTCCGGAGGCGGAGGAACCACAACCCCCGGATTATTGCCATGCAGGGAGTTGTATAGCCATAGGAAATCTCGGTACCGTCGGCTGACGGTGAATTCAGGTTGCCGATAGGCTTTAGACGTAGTCTATGGGAACATTAGCAGTCAGCTAAGATGAAGGGAAAACCGAGTGTGTGTTCTTGTCGGAATGGAAAGACGTATGTACCTTCGTCCTCACTTGATACACAATATGACTGCTTGCAATATCCCCAACTTTATGAGGATCACCAACTGTAATCTCGAACGACGGCTTCGCCGCCTGCTCAACAGGCATGCTTGGCTGTGACTGCCGTTTCGGAGCATCAACTGGGGACTGGACCGGTGGAGGGCCTTTTATTCTCGCACGCGCAGCCTGGCCGTCATCGTCCAAGTCCACAGAGTCCATCAAACCACCAGTGGACGACTGGGATGTAGATGAAGGGGGACGAACATTTCTGCTGGAGAAAGGTTCCTTTCGGGGTGGGGTGGGGCCTTGGTCCGGGTATGACAGGATGGACGGAAAGGACTTGTCGCCCAGCGGCCCAAGAGGATCAAGGGAGTCATCGACCACTTCCAGCCTCGTCGCTTGCGCGTTTATTTTGCGAGGTGTTCGGGGTCCTCTGGCTGGTGGAGATCGGCGGGTGGTTAAGGTTGTTTGGGCGGGTTGTTCAGAATCGTTGGCTAGATGGAAACATTGGCAGTCAGGAAGGGCCCATGGCTGATCTACTTTACATGTCACCAGAGGGACATAAATGCGTACCCGTAGCAGAAGATTCTTGGTTTTCGGTAGGTGTGGACTGGGAGGGAACATCTGCGAAAGCCACGGTTATCAGATATTCTGACTGTAGAGTCCTGAGCGGAGAAAAGTGATGCCTGGCTTACCACCCCACGGCGATTCACCTCCTACTAAATCCATCTTTCGGTCGTATTTCGCGGTTTGGGCTGGTGAATTGAGAGTGATTTAGTCAACTAATAAGATAACTGGCCGCATATTAGGCGACGGCGGTGACTGAAGTTGGGGTGGATGAAATTGCACCTCACTGCCAGTATGTATCAGGAAAGCTGGAAGTTATTCCGTATGGTAATCGGTTGCTGGTCGCCAATACCAAATTTACAGGCCGCGTAATTTATTTTCCGAGCAAAGGGAACCATGTATTGATGTTAGAACTTGTCCTAAAATTCATTGTAGTTTAATCTAATCTTTGTATGAACCCGAAACCAGTCCGATCTAGAGAGGTTTATGTTGAAGACAACCTCTAGTTAACCAGCCATTACAACTAAAGCGTCAGAAGTGGAAATTCGGCCATCGTCAAAAACCTGTTTTCCCCTAAAGCAAGAGATGCCATAAAATCATCCATCAGGTTCAATATCATTAACTCTGGTGAAGGCCGCCCTGCACGTCGCTGTACGTGAGAAAATTGCCGTGGCGCATGTAGGCCATGAAGCAGGTCTAGTTAACAGATCATATCACGATTTCACCCAGGGCAAGCCAAGCTTATGCATTTCGACCGCCAGCTGGAAGAGATAATCTAAGCTCTCGCATTGCGTCTTGGCTTTCGCGACATCATCTCCCCAGACATATCTGTTAAAAGGTCGAGGAAATGTTAGTAGCGGGCGTCGAAAGTATATATATACAGAGAGAGAGAGAGAGCATTAACCGATATATACTCACATTCCATGCCTCCGGACAAGAACGGCATATGTATCCGGATACTTCTCCATAGCCTCCTCGAGGCTAGATGTCAGATCCTCTTCAAACGCCGTATTCTCAATGATAGGTATCTTCAACGTATCAAAGAACCCCAGCATGCCTTTTCCCTTGCCTCTAGGTATTCCCTTAATCTGCTCAATGTTGCTAATCTCAAAGCAACCCTCCGGTCCCTTCTCACGCTCGACAAGGAGGGTTACGAGGACCGCCCATTGGGAATGGGTATGGATGCAGCACCCCGCACCACGGTCGAAAGCAGCCAGGAAGAGGGGCGTGCAGGCGGATGGTTTGAGTTCGACTGGTTTGCGGATATATTGGCGCGCTGACGGAGGGTATTTGGGGGTGGGATATTGCAAGACGAAGATGTCGTGGGGTTGGATCAATTCCTTCTGGACACCAGAAGGAGCAATGAAAATGTGGTTATCCCGTTTGATGGATGCCTATAGTGATTTGTATGGAAACAAGATTGAGTCTTTGACTAAATAGTATTTGACGGAAACTTTTTGCGTATAAATAACTTTTTCTTGAAAAAAATATACATATATATGTAATATATATGGGCCAGCTTACCCCGCCTCCAGTGCCAGTGACCCAGCCATGGCTGTAGAAATTACGGCAGAGAGCCGGAATTAGGTTAGAAGGATGCTCAGGATTATCGGATTGCACGAGATGGTCGTTGTTTTCGTCCTTGATGGCTGCCATGTTTGGCGGTTGAGGGTTGAGTAAGGTTGGTCCCACCAAGGTTCAAGATCTTGGTGTTCATCAACGATGCCCCTCGCTATTTTTATCAGCAGCGATGGCGCAAAGCTTGGACATAAGCAGCTGCACAACCAGCAACAAAAATTGTGTAGACACTTATTTGGGGCAACCAGAATTTAGGTACATACGCAGTAAGCTCCTCCTGTCATAGCTTTTACCATACTGATTGATTCTAGAAATATATTTCATACACGCACCGATCAATACAAAAAATACGTGGTACGCCACCATCATACTGTCAAGATGCATGTGTCTCTCATTGCGTTAAAGATAACAGCCATATCCCGAAACAATCAACTTTCCAATTCAGCAATGCTAGAGCTTAAAACCTCTCAGACCTCGCTTGTCGTCTATGGACCCGCCAACCTTCCCCCTTGTGGATTTTGAGAATGATGCTGCTGCAACTAACCATCCGCTTTGATTGTCGTCAGCAATGAAATTAATACAGCAGTTAACTGTCCTGGAAGCTTCCCCCGGTTGAGCGGGTGTTCAACTTGATCATCTTTGTGTTGGGAATTGGCATTTTGGTGGTGGTGCCCGCTCGTCCCTGCACAATTGGGAATACCCCTGCTGCTTGCTTCAGAACTACCAAGAGTAAGAGAGAGTCAGTTGGTTCTGGAGACTCAGGGACTCAGGGTCAGCACAACCATGTGCTCATATGCCAGATTCACCACGAATACTAAATGCCTTCAGGCGAATGGACCTCATTCGTGGAGGCTGCGAGACGCGAATCCAACAAGAAAGGATAAGAATAGTTAGACCTATTGAGCTTCTTCCTGTTGGAATATGGCAGGTAGGCCTCCGCTATCCAGTTGGAACTATGGTCAGCAAAATACTCTAACAGATTATGATATGTTATTAGGCGATTCGTATTGTTCACTTTGTGCCGCAACTTTCCTTCTGTTTGGCATGTGCCATGTACTTAGGTTGTGAAGAAGGAAGACATTGCTGGGAGAGAATATAAGGCTTCACTGAAGAGTTGAACTTGACATGCTGAGAATAACTCAATCGGGTCATGGCATTTTATAGCAGTCAACAAGAACAGCAAATCGGTTAGTCAGTCCAGTCATTGACCAAAATTAGAACTTTCTGTAATGTTTAGCATCATTAAAATAATGGCCGTAGTTATTAACACCGTTAGCTTATATCCGCAGATTCCTGTAAACAGGTTCTCCTCTTGCTAGGGTTCCCTCAGCAAGCCGAAGATGTAGAGGAGGATGTCTAGATGAAACACGGAATCTCAAGCCCTGATCACTGCATTCATTCCAGTGTCCCGATGTTATTATGACATATCACCCGTCTCATAAATATTGCCCACAAGCTTCAATCGGGGGAAGGCCTGGCCCGCAACAGGTGGTATTGCCGGTTCGCTGTAAAGCTATGTTAGCCGAGACACTCTTATGAATTGATCCTTTAGAGAGTGTTCTCCTTTCCCCTTTTCTATTCAAGGAGAAACCTCGCATCTTCTACATTCATTGTTTTGCGTATTTGTGGCCGTACCCAAAATGATACCAGCCTCGGATATTGCTCAACGAATTGAGGTATGTAGTCCATTCTAAAATATGAGGGCTACTGGATTAAACCTAGATATGGCAAATCGATTCTGGGTCAAAGCTGCAGCTAGCCACTACATTGTCCAACTGTAGGTTGTTTTCAGTGCGCTGTTGATAAACTGACACAATCAATCATTAGTACTGTACAAATAGTTGGTATGTCCTATTTTATATAATTGACTTTATATGCTAGTATTCCGCAGTTTGAGTGGAATGGTATGTGGCGAGCCTTGGCGAAGGATGAGGTCACCTGACCTACTCTAGCGCGCCTGCCAAGCGCCCTTGTAACATTAGCACCCAAGACAGCTCTGTTTGTGTCGGCAAAGAGGCCACCTTTACTTGTCTTCGCTCCTCATAAAAGATAACCAACCCACCATTCTCTCCCTTTCTTTATACTCCTCCGCTCCTTTCTTCTTATCTTCGTCCTGTGGATTATTCTCCTCAGTTCGCTTTTTGTGCTGATTACCTTCTTGTGCCCTTATCCTCGTAGGGAGGCCGTCCGTCACAATGCGTCTCAACGCTTCCCTGGCGTCCCTCATCCTCTCCTCGGTAGCTCTCATTGGCAATGTCCGTGCTGAGGAAGAGGTCAAGGGGGATGCGCCTTCTCCCTCATCTGCGATTGAGAAGCCAACATTTACTGTATGTTGCTACAAACTCCCCCTTTCTGGCTGCCAGCTCTCAGCTCTGTTTCTCGAGTATGAACAAAGACCAGAGAAAGCTAACCACATGCCGCGTCCATTTTAGCCCACCACCCTTAAAGCTCCATTCCTCGAGCAATTCACTGATGACTGGGAGACCCGGTGGACGCCCTCCCATGCCAAGAAGGAGGATTCGAGTTCGGATGAGGACTGGGCCTATATTGGAACCTGGGCTGTTGAGGAGCCGCATGTCTTGAATGGCATGGTGGGCGACAAGGGCTTGGTGGTTAAGAATCCTGCCGCCCACCACGCGATATCAGCCAAGTTCCCCAAAAAGATCGACAACAAGGGCAAGACGTTGGTGGTTCAATACGAAGTCAAACTTCAGAGTGAGTAGGAAAAACAGATTTAGCCTTGCTTGGCTTCCCTTTGCGCGCACTATTTATTATCGGCTGACGATATATCTGGCAGACTCCCTGGTTTGCGGTGGCGCGTATATGAAGCTTCTTCAGGACAATAAGAAGCTTCACGCTGAGGAATTCTCGAACGCCTCGCCATATGTGATCATGTTCGGACCTGACAAGTGTGGAGTTACCAACAAGGTTTGTTTCTATTGGGTATTTGAAAATATGCAACTACCGAATGCTGATATTGTTTGATCTACAGGTCCATTTCATCTTCAGGCATAAAAACCCCAAGACTGGCGAGTATGAAGAGAAGCATATGAATGCGGCACCAGCCGCCAAGATTAACAAGCTATCCACTCTTTACACCCTCATCGTCAAACCAGACCAATCGTTTCAGATCCGGATTGATGGAAAAGCTGTCAAGAACGGCACTTTACTTGAAGATTTTAGCCCAGCCGTCAACCCTCCGAAGGAGATTGATGACCCCGAGGATAAGAAACCGGAGGATTGGGTTGACGAAGCTCGTATCGCTGATCCAGATGCAACCAAGCCCGAAGATTGGGATGAGGATGCACCTTATGAAATTGTTGACGCTGATGCCGTTCAGCCAGAAGACTGGTTGATCGATGAGCCCACTAGCATTCCTGACCCAGAGGCCGAGAAGCCCGAGGATTGGGATGATGAGGAGGATGGAGACTGGACGCCGCCTACCATTCCCAACCCCAAGTGCAGCGAAGTGTCCGGTTGCGGAAAATGGCAGCAGCCGATGAAGAAGAACCCAGACTACAAGGGCAAATGGGTCGCACCCATGATCGATAACCCCGCCTACAAGGGACCGTGGGCTCCACGCAAAATCCCCAACCCCGACTATTTCGAAGATAAGACTCCCGCCAACTTTGAGCCTATGGGCGCTGTAAGTTTTCCATGATTAACGTCCGCCTTTGTCTCAATTTAGAAACAATAAAAGGATATGGACTAACGGCCACACTATAGATCGGGTTTGAGATCTGGACAATGCAAAGTGACATCCTCTTCAACAACATCTACATTGGCCACTCCATTGAAGACGCGGAGAAGCTCAAGGCTGAAACCTGGGACCTCAAACACCCAGTCGAGGTTGCGGAAGAGGAAGCATCCCGGCCCAAGGATGAGGAGAAGGAGGCAGGAACCTCGTTCAAAGAGGATCCCGTCCAGTACATTCGCAAGAAGATCGATCTCTTCATCTCCCTGGCTCTTGAAAACCCGGTTGAGGCCGTCAAGACTGTTCCGGAGGTGGCGGGTGGTCTGGGCGCTCTCTTGGTTACTCTCATTCTCATTATTGTTAGTGGGATTAGCCTTGGCTCCAGCTCCTCTCCTGCTCCCAAAAAACAGGCTGAAAAAGGCAAGGAGAAGGAGAAGGCGTCAGCCTCTGAAGCTGTTAGCACAGGGGCGGATAATGTGAAGGGTGGAGCTAAGAAGCGGTCTACCAAGACTAGCGAGTAAGTTCCAAGGGTTTATTTTATATATTTTTCTTTAATTTTGTGATACCCACCTGCGGGCGGAAGGAACTTTGACGACGACGACGAGGGTGGAAGGATTGGAACACGACAGACAGCAGCCCTGACCCTGGAATCACGGGTTGATGGCACCATAACGCCAATCAAGCCAACGAATATCATTACGGAGAACGAAAGAAGAATAAGGAGAAAAATAAGGTGGAGAAAATGGACACAGGAAATGAAAAATATATGACCCCAAGCCCAAAAAAACCATATGGAACATGAAAGAGGAGGATAACTCCTGAAACAATCCTAAAATTCGGAAAACACAAAACTCAAAAACCTTACCAGAAGTGCCTCTTGACTGCTCCTACAAAAAAAAGGAAAAAAAAGAAAAAAAAATACAGGACAGGCTTTCAGGTATTTATTTTCCTGTCATTGGTCATTTCTCTACTTTGTGGGTTTCATCTTTCTGATCTGTGCCCATTTCTTCCTCTGTGTTGTTAAAATTCAAACAATGTAAAACATAATCTGATATTTTATTGTTCTTCAAGAGTTTATTTGCTCTTTTTTTTGTTAACCATTATTAACTGCATCCTCTTTTTGCTTTGCCATAAGTTGTCTGATTTTTTTTTTCTCTTTCCCAAATCATATACTTTTTATTCTCACGGTAGATCAAACGGATATCTCGGTCTCGGGATTGTAATAATGAAAGAGCGTGGAATGGCATGGCCCATGTATTATTGATCTTTTCCCTCCAGATTATTCCCACAGTTGGCATTAGTTCGCCAGGTCTTGCCACAGCGTTGGGTGAGGCTCAAGACTGTAGCATGGCACCTGAGTAGATATAAGGCATTATCATATAGATAATTATCGAATTAAACATAGGAATATATATATATATATATATATATCTTAGATTGTAGTATATATAAGTAAACCAGATCCACTGCCAGAGTTATATCAGCCATGTACCGAATCTGCAACTATATCTCCAGATAACCCCTTCCCCGGCCCGCGAGCGCCGAGAGAACGCTCCGGCCAGCGAGGTTTGGCGAGATGCCGCGGTCTGATTGGCCTGGGAACGCCGCAGCAAAGCGCGCTGAGCAACCCCTAGTAAGCACTACTAGTCCTAGTTGGGAGTATATAAAGCCAGGAAACCTCTCCCCGCAACGTCAACGGCCTCCTCGCCTGCCCCAATTCTCTCCGCATCTCTGCTGCGTGTCCTGTATATACTGTATATAGTGTAGTGCCCGCGTCCTCCACCTCTTGTATATATTTCTCCTGCTGTAATCTGCCCGTCGCGCCCTGCTTCCCCCCTTGTCTAGCCGCCATGGCCGCCTGTCGTGCCGTTGCCCGCTCCATCCCCGCTTTCATCGGTCGTTCCGCCATCTCTCGCAGTATCCCCATTACAGGCCTCTCCTCTCGCAGCATAGCCACCAGTAGCAGCAGAATGGCCTCCAAGCTTCCCGCATCGCATACAGCGCTCCGCAGATTGCACGCCACCGCCCAGCAGTTGAGCCCTGCGGCTGCTGTAGCTACAGCTCCATATCCGGCCGAGAACTATCCCAAGAGCCACGCCCCGCTCGCCTCCCCCGTCAACACCTGCAACTTCATCGATAACAAATTCGTCACCTCCAATGCTAGTACCTGGATCGACCTGCACGACCCCGCCACCAACAACCTCGTCACCCGCGTGCCCCAGAGCACAGATGCGGAGTTGCGCGCCGCCGTTGAGAGTGCCCGGAAGGCGTTCCCCGCATGGCGCGCCACCAGCATCATGGCCAGACAGCAGATCATCTTCAAGTTCACCAACCTGATCCGCGCGAATTGGGATCGTCTGGCCGCCAGTATCACGCTGGAGCAAGGGAAGACTTTTGCGGATGCCAAAGGTGATGTGCTGAGAGGCCTGCAGGTCGCGGAGACCGCGTGTGGTATTACAACACAGATTACGGGAGAGGTTCTGGAAGTCGCTAAGGATATGGAAACTCGGAGTTATAGAGAGCCCCTGGGTGTTGTTGCCGCTATATGCCCGTTCAGTATGTTTTTTTATCTTTTTCTTTTCTTTTTTTATCCTCTGCTTCTTCTGTCTTTGTTCTTCGCTTTCTCCTTGGGGGATCCTTTGAAAACCAGGTTTACTGATAATTTCTTCTCACTAGACTTCCCTGCTATGATTCCCCTTTGGTCCATCCCTACTGCTACTGTAACCGGCAATTGCTTGATCCTCAAGCCGTCCGAGCGTGACCCCGGCGCTGCAATGATCCTTGCTGAACTAGCCAGTGAAGCTGGGTTCCCTGATGGGGTCATCAACGTCGTTCACGGCTCGGCTAAAACAGTCGACTTCATCATCGACGAACCAGCCATCAAAGCCATCAGCTTCGTCGGCAGCAACCGCGCAGGAGAATACATCTTCACCCGTGGTTCTGCCAACGGCAAGCGAGTCCAGGCCAACCTGGGGGCCAAGAACCATGCAGCCGTCCTCCCAGACTGTAACAAGAACCACGCCCTGAATGCCATCACCGGTGCTGCGTTTGGCGCTGCTGGTCAGCGATGCATGGCATTGAGCACCCTCGTGATGGTTGGGGAGACCAAAGAATGGCTTCCGGAGATCGCTGAGCGCGCTAAGACTCTAAGAGTCGATGGTGGCTTCGAAGAAGGCGCTGACTTGGGCCCTGTCATTAGCCCTGAGAGCAAGAAGCGGATTGAAGACCTCATTGCCAGTGCTGAGAAGGAGGGTGCCACAATCCTACTTGATGGGCGCGGATACAAACCGGAGAAATATCCCAATGGCAACTGGGTAAGTCAATAATGCGTCCCCTGGTATTACTATATATCCTTGCTCTGTTTACTTTCGTCACTAACGTGATTCGCAAAAAGGTTGGCCCCACCATCATCACCAACGTAAAGCCACACATGCGCTGCTACAGGGAAGAGATCTTCGGCCCCGTCCTCGTCTGTCTCGAAGTGGAAACCGTCGACGACGCCATCTCCCTCATCAACGCGAACGAATATGGTAATGGTGCTGCGGTCTTCACCCGATCTGGTCCCACCGCCACCAAATTCCAACGCGAGCTGGAAGCCGGCCAAATCGGTATCAATGTGTATGTTTCCCTTCCCAACCCAAACCCTTAAATCCGTATGCACATGCACTAATATATATAAATTTTTTCCCCTTGACACAACAGGCCCATCCCGGTCCCCCTCCCCATGTTCTCCTTCACCGGCAACAAGAAGAGCATCGCAGGCGGTGGTGCAAGCACTTTCTACGGCAAGCCTGGCCTGCAATTCTACACGCAGCAGAAGACCGTCACGAGTTTGTGGCGGAGTGAGGATGCGGTCAATACAAAGGCGAGCGTCGTGATGCCCACGCAGAGTTAATTATCATTTGATTTCTTTTTCACTTTAGCTTTGTGATGCATATATATCTATATATATAAAAAAGTTTTCATTTATTAATTATATATATACATCTCTCTGTGTGTATATGTGTGTGTCTGTGTGTGTATTTTTTGTTTTACACCATTTCTTATTTGCGCAATCCTTAAATCTCCTGTTTGTATGAGAAAGGGGTTACTAACATATTGTTCTAAATCGATATATACCGGCCGTGGCAGGCACACGTTACTATGCCCCGACATACCTAGCTATGTCTGACGTATACATATACATATACATATACATATACATATATCGACGGGGGATAAAGAGTGGGGGAATTGTGAGGAGAGGGTGTGAAGAACGAAATGAGAAGGGGACTGAGAGGCGAAAGAAGAAAAATGTGACATGTGAATGAGGTCAAGTTGAGGGGGAGATTTGGCAAATATGTTATCACTGTATTCCCCAGGATGTTTTCCTCTGCACCTTCCCCGCCTTCCTTTTAATATCTCCATTTTCTGTTTGTTTCATGGAGTACACCCTTGTTCCCTGTTCCTTGAACAAATTGATATGCACACGTATTTTAGCAAATATAAGTTCATGAACATACACGTCGAGAAGTGACAGTTGATACCAGTGGTGGATGGTGGGCGGGGAGCTACCTAGGTAGGGACGTCTGGTCCTCATGCGATGATCGTTGTGATCGAACTATCGAACTAAATTGCAAAAGGCTATCAGATATCGAATCCAATTTAATGTCTTATCTGTATTTTTACTGAAAAAAAAAATTGGATAGGGGTGGGGTTGGGTTAGAGAAAGCTGGATTTAATGCAGCAGAGAGTGGAGTAGAAATGGAATACTATGCATCCAGCTGTAGCATGTGCGTAAGTATACAGGGAACACAGATAGGATGGGATGAAGAAAGGAAAAACCTCCTCAACCCGCTACCAATTGAGGGGGGGAAGAGAGGCAGAGAGAGACTGTCTTATCTCAATTGCAAAAATTCTGGGACCTGTGGTGTATTTGTTTCTAGGTTGTAAAAAATGATAAAACACAACACTATCTATCCCGTGTCAAATAAATATATCCATTCCCGATATAAATACATAGTTAACTACGGAGTATATACATTCATTATTGCTTGCCTTTTACGTTAGGCCAAAAACAACGGCCATTCACCCGGCATATCTATGTTCTAGTTATATATACATTTTTTATTTATTTTATTTTATTATATATATATATATATTTGAATTTACTCGGTACTGCGGTTCACGAAGGTATAGACCAGCCGGACCTTCTGGACCTCGCCACCCTTGGTGACCACGACGCGACGGGTGTACCGTCTGACACCCTCGATTCTCTCGAATCCCCAGATCTGGGATCATCGGGAAGCTACCGGTTAGTATGGCGGTATCAACTGACGAAAAGAAAGCGCAACATAGAGTGGGGAGAAAGGGAGGGGAGGAGAGAGGTTAGAAAAAAGAAAAAAAAAAGAAAAAAGAAAAGCACCCCCACCTGCTCCCCCGTCCACCCATTGTCCAGACTCCGCACCCAGCTCTGCAAAAGGTCCTCATTCGCCCCGTCAACCGCGAACCCGTCCGCCGGCTCTCCATCCGCCAGGGTCTCCCCGCGCAGGAACTCGGCCACAGCAACGTCCTCCGCCGCGCTGCCCGTTTTTGTCTGCACGTGGACGGTGGGCTGCCGCTTTCCGTCCGAATCACCAGCAGAAGCAGAAGCAGAAGCAGAAGCGTCGGCTTTGCAGAATCGGCTCTGGCCGATGAGGCTGCCGAAGATGTGGTCCTGGTGGGGTCGCTCGGACCAGTCGAGGACACGGAGCTCGGAGGTGCCTCTGACGCCGCCTGTGAGGACCTGGTCGATGGTGAGCTCGACGACGCCGGCGTCGGTTGTCTTTTGGGATATTTTTAGCGTTACGGTGGCGAGGCCGATGGCTTTGCGCGTTAGCCAGGACATGCCTTGCTGTGTTGGGTGGGTTTGTTAGATTTGGTTGGTTTTTTATGTTCTTCTCTTCCTTGATGCGTTTTGCATGTGATAATGAGAATGAGGAGGGGCGGCTAACCAGCTTGAAGATGGCGTCGGGGTCATTGGAGAGGGATGAGTCCTTGGGAGGGGTTTTTTTCTGTTAGTTATTTTTATTCCACTTTGATTTTTAACCTTTATTCTTGTGATTGAGGTGACAGATGGAAATTCTCACCATGACCCAGGTGCCATTGAGGTCATGGACGGTGACTTCAGTCGGAGCAGCCATTGTGGGAAACTGTGTGTGAGTTATGGTTTGAGGCGGTTGGAGAGTCGCGCGGGGGGCGTGAGTTTATACTGGTATATAGAAACAAGAAGCAATTTCAAATCGGAGGACCAAAAAAAAAAGAGAAACAGTAGTTAAACAAGACGAAGGGATCGGGATCTTTAGATATTTAATACGGGCACAGAGCCCTGTTCAGGGCCTGAGCCTCGGAGGTTGCCATGACACAGCAAGCAGCGGCAACATACGATCCACCACAGGAATCGCAGGCGAACATGCTAAAACAATCGCAACCGCGCTGGGCTGGATAAGTGGAACTATCATAGTAGGCCAGCCGGTGGGATCATGGATTACATATTTGGTTTGGTTTGGTTTGGTCTCAGTCCATTTCTTGGTGTGATATGAAATGAATCATCGAAGCGAAGAAGAATCATCAGGGGGGCTCAAAAGTTGTGGATCGCAGATTTCTGAATCTCTGATTGATGATGAAAATGCTCAAAAATCTCCACTTTCATGCAGTGGAGATTGGACTTTTTAATGCAATTGGCTCTGAGGCCCCCTATTCTTACCCCTGAATTATCTATCTGCCTGTCAACCTGCCTCGATATCCGATCGATTGCTGATGGAATCAAGAATGCTAGATATCTGCCTACCTCCCTACCTTCCAACCAACATGGCTGCTCAATATCCAATCAATCTCTATGAGAATAAACATCATCATCTAGCTACCCGCCTACCTGGCAATGATGGCTTACTAGATGACTATCTGACTGCCTACCTGCCGATTGATCTGCTCACCTGCTTGAATGAATGATATCTAGCGATGATATCAATATGACGTCGTACTTCTGTTCCGTCCTGCCCAGCTGCATGTTTCATGAAGCTCCTGCTATACAATGTTGTGCCTGAGATGTCCACCCTTTGAAGCAATTAAAGATGCCTTCCATTCCCCGGGACTTAGAGGTTCGTTTGCCCACCCCCTGAAGGGGGTTGCTAGGGGCAGGCTGCCCCTAGTATAAGTGAGACGGTGCTTAGATTTCGAGAAGTGAGATAACTATAATAGTTATAAAATCTCTAATATATAAGCGGTTATAAAATGTTATCTCTGATACTAGTTCAATCATATAAGGTAAGAAGTCATGGATATAATCTGCACCAATTTAATCATAACAGAATTCAAGACACATATTAAAAAGATATAATAATAAGTTTCATTTACTTCTCTTTCACAGTGAACCACTCTCAACTACCATCACTCAATTGTAAAGAATAAAAATACAGTCGTAGAAACATGCTTTTTGGTATCATTATACCCCTCACAATTTAAACATGAATTATTCCCAATAATCAATCAGCGCCTCCCCCAGCCTATCCCGAAAATAATCCTCATCGCCCCCTCAGTTTCATAACGAATAACAATCCCCATCTCGCCAGCACTTTTCGCTCTTGAATCCCTCAGATTTATCGATGGAGCGCTTAAGTTCGAACTTAGCTTTGAACGGGCTTTCCATTGTCGCTTCAATTACAGTCAGTCCAATTTCACAGAATAAAAATAAACTTGTAAAAACTTTCAACAACATTATCATGTATACTCACAGATTGTATAACAAAATGATCAATTAAGCCGTTCTTCGACGTCGCGCAATCGAATATGTCTCTCGGTATAAGCATCGATAATCTCACGAAGATCATCAAGAAGAAGTGGAGGTGGAGTTGCTGAGACAGGCTGTATTTGTGGAAGCTGAGATTTTAGAACATCTTCCCACGAAAATTCAATCCTTTGACGGGCATGATTGTTGGGTACTGGAAAGAGCGTCTAGAAAATTATAGGTTAGTTTAACTTTATAATAAATTCAAAAAGATTATCAAAATACCTTGCGGCCTCCTCTAGGAATAGCTCTGTTTTGTGTAGAGCTGTATTCATAGAGCTGTACAAATGCAGATTGAATATGACTTTCATCTGATCTGAGAGGCACTATTTTTACTAGAATAGCAACTGATATCTCTCCTGCTGTCCCTTCAAGTAACAGACGGGCATTTTCTTTCAGATCCTCATAGGTCTCCGTATATGCAATCTCCATTGCTATCGTGGGGTATGTGAGGGTAGAAACAAAAATAGCACAGTCTGGCATTATGATTCTAGAGTAGAGTTAGTAATATTCTAGTATAAAAAGTAATAAGAAAATTAACAGAAATATAAACTCACCTATTTGCATATTCTCCAGCAAATACTTTCAACTCTCCTTTTCCGGCAGCTGATATAGTTCTTTGATCCCACTGCTCCAATCTTCTAAAATCTGCAATCCAACCTTGAATCCAGTTTAGACAACCACTGTGGATCCAGGTAGGCATAACAATCTTAACTGTCCTAGTCCGTGGATTATATGACAGTCTATAATTATTATTAGCTAATAGCAAGTCTCATAGATGAATAAAGAGATTTACTTCAGATTTTTGCAGTCAGCAGGTTCAAGAAACTCTTTCGCTGTGGACTCTGAGATATTATGATACTCAACTATCCTTTCATTTTGTAACAGATCCATAAGCTGTTGAATATTTATTAGAGAAGAGTTTTCTGAAGTCGACGACATCATTTTATTGAGTAATTGATCTTGGACATAGATTTGAGCTCAGGTTGTATGTTGATATTTTGTGGTTTGCAAATGTTGGAAGTTGCAGTTGTTCAAATGAGGACATTATAATAAAAAAGTAGTTACTATACCAAACAGGCTGTTGGAGGCACACATCCATTATTAGCTCGCCACTAGATAGATGATAATAACCAAGGTTCAACCCTCTTACACAGGCCCTTATATACACTTCGTAAATGGTATTACCACGTGACTATGACGATACCAGCTACAGCAACATCAACATCAACTAAACAACAACAGCCGGAGCTGGAGTAGACACAAATACCAACGGAGTATCTCCAAGCACGGGCGGAGGAGGCTCCCAATAGCTAAAAGGATATGTTTGCATGCAGCAATGGCCTTCAACAAGAAATATGCCGGCCTTCCTGATCTGGTGCGATATCCAGCTCTCCGCATCCTCCTATATAAGCTTTGCCTGCCTTTGCTAACCATACTTCATTTCTTCTCGCCTCCAATCAGGATCTGGCTCCAGATATCTATGAGACTCCTGAACTTACTGACGGATCTACTCTGGCTGTAAGCAAACCCACTCCACCCTATTCTCTCAGCTTTAAAAAGTCCGATCTAACCAGTTTCCAGACTGCCACAGTTCGCTCCCCGTCCCCTTTCCAAGATGAATCATCTAATCCGGAAATCGACCGCCAACGGCTTCAGCCAGACCTGGCCCGATCGCACTTCCTCTCATCCCATTTGGATGCTCGCGGTGTGGACTTCTCAGATAGCATTGCCTCCAAAAGGAAGTCATACAAGGCCCTGAGCCATCGGAGACAGAGGAGGGAAGATGGAACCGAAGTACTAGGAGATGTCAGCGACGAAGAGGATGAGTCTCTGGAACGAAAATTGGCCAGGCTCCGCAGAGAGGCGGATGAGTTAAAAGAAGAATTGACTACTCGAAAGGCCTCCCACCGTGATACGCAAGCCGCTGGTGCCGGAGATTCAGTTGACGGTGACCAAGACTCCCTGGACAGTGGCGTGTTGGAGCTAAGTCGGGCGCTGGACAGCCTCCATGCCTACTCAAGAAGCGGTTCGGTACATTTTACTGCGGAGGAGATACTCTCACAAAAACTAGGAGGAAGCATCCCTCCCACCGTACACGCCGCGAAACAACGAAATGAAATGTTACATGGACCCCAATCCAACGTTCCCGCTGGCCTCCTCTCTAATGCTGCCGCCTTCGATGCCCGCCTTGCCCTACTTGAAGCAGCCTTAGGCATCCCTAACACTCCAATTCCTCACGCTTCGGACGACAACGCGGGACCGCAACCCATTCTACCCACTCTCAACCATCTCACACTCCAACTCTCCACCCTCTCTAGCACTCTAACCGGCCCCTCTGCCTCAATCCCGGTGGGCCAGTCCCAGTCCCAATCCCAATCCACCGTAACTACCTCTCACATCGAAGCTCTCACAACTCGCATCCGCAAACTAACTGCTGATGCCGACGCCCTCTCCTCCGCGCGCCGCCGCGCGACTGAAGCAGCCCGTGCCGTTATCGCCGCGCGCATCGCTGCCGCAGCCTCCGACGACGACCCAGCCGGAACCGGCACCACCGCTGCCACAACAAACAAGCCAACAGCCGACCACGCCCCTTCCCACTCCTCGCTCTCCGTCACCGAGACCGACTCCGCGGCCAGCGAGCAAACTGCAAAGATCCATGCCCTCTACACAACCCTACCAACCATAAATTCGCTCCACCCCCTTCTCCCTAGCGTGCTGGAGCGTCTGCGCTCGCTGCGTGCAATCCATGCGGGCGCGGCGCGGGCGGCGGAGGACCTCGATGCCTTGGAGGAGCGGCAGGCGGAGATGAAGAGCGAGATTGAGCAGTGGAGGGACGGGTTGAAGGCTGTTGAAGGGAAGGTAAGGGACTGCGAGGTTGCGATGAAGGGGAATATGGATATTGTGGGGCCGTGGGTGAAAGGACTGGAGGGGAGGTTGGAGGCGTTGGGGGGTTAGTCTTTTAGAGAATGGATTTTTGCTTGGTTTCTTTGATTTTGATTTTGATTTTGATTTTCTTTTTTTTTTCTTTCTTGGCTTCTTATTGACCATGATCATGTTACGCATCACGTCTGGTCTTCTCTCGTGGAACTCGAAGTCAGCGGTGGGTTTTTCTTTCTTTTTTTCTCTTTTTTTAAAGATACCGTCCCGTATTTTCTGCTCAATATATCCAGAGCATTCCCTTAACGCTTGCGCTGGAGGGTTTTGCTCTCCCATCCAACTCCCTTTGCATGATCCCAGAACAAAAAGAAAAACCTAACCTCAAGTCAATTATGCCAAGTATATAAATAAAAACGGAGGAGCAAAAATACTCCTGATCTAAAATAATAACAGCCAAAAGGTATACGAAATAGTAACGGGAACAAAAATGAAATTCACCCAACGTTCCTCAGAACCCTAATCTTGGGCACCATCCGCACCTCCACCCACCAGCCCTGGGTAACGTATTTTCTCCCCACCCTCTTAACCCAACTCCAACCGTCTACAGCTTTATCCCCAAAAAGCCTCCCTAAGACCTCTTCTTCAACCCCTCCTCCCACCCCATCACCAACAAACTCATCGCCAGGCCTCAGAACCTTTACTCCTCCGAAACCCGTAATCTCATCAACAACCTCCCATCGACCAGGAATATTATTAGCGCCATCGCCAACAACCTCCGCAAGTAAATAATCAAACTGTCCCCAGAACCGCTCCGCATCCGCTCTCTTCATACGCGCTACATCGCCCGCATCAGTCTTGTCATACACCCACTTCTGCTCCCCGCTACGGAGTTCCGGATACCTCCCATCGGGGGTTCCAGGGAGAACGATGAGCGGTGATTTGGGTGGGGGCTTCTGTAGGAAGCGTGTCACGCCCGTCTGGCAGGAGAGATTGTCAATGTGCACCGTGATGGTTTGTTGTCGCGTGATGCGAGAGTCATTGTGATTATAAGGGTGGTTATTATGTAGGGCGTTCAGGGCGTGGGCGCCCGGGTAGTTTGTGGCGGAGATGGGGAGGAGGAGCAAGGTGGAGATTGCGAAGGTGGTTAGGGTGGAAAGGCAGAGGACGGCGGCGAGGATGTGGTACAATGGTGGTTTTTTGGAACGGTGCGTCCAGATATAAGAAGCACCGAGGGCAGCGGTGGTGGTTAACGGGGGAATCGTGTAGAGGATGAAGCGCCATTCTTTGTGTGGTTGGAAGCTATAGAGGAATATGTAGGCTAGGGGTGAGAGGAGGAGGGAGGTTGCTGTGGGGCGGGTAGAAGGCTGGAGGATTGAGAGGGGGATGCAGAGAGTGTAGGTTACGGGATTCAGGAGGAGGCGTGGGAGGGCATTTGTGAGGTAGAAGTGCCAGGCAGAGATTCCCCAGGCGGATGCGTGGCCGGAGATGACGTTGTATTTGAAGGCGGCGAGTTCGGGCCACAGTGGGAACTTTTGCCAAAATATCGAGTCAGTGATGATTGTGGAAAAGAGGCCAATGATTATGCCAGATATGGCGGCGGGAAGAATGTCGCTACGCAGGTTTACGCGCTTTTTGGCCCAGAGGTCTGCAGTTGTGGTTGCTAGGAGGAGGGCGATTTCTGAGCGGAAAACTATACCTGCGATGGTGAGAAGGTAGAGGCTAAGACGGTATCTTTTGCGGGATTGGATATTCTGTACCGCTGAGGAGGGTTCGGGGAGGAGATATCGGAATGCAAAAGTGGCTTTGAATTAAATTTGTTCAGTATCATGGCTGTTATTCAGTTCAGAACGCAGATATTATGTGGGAGGGAAAGTGGTTGAGACTTACTGATACCGAAAGCGAACATATTTGGAAGGGTCCTAGAGGCATAATATATGACATGGAACTGGCTGGCTTGGAATAAAATATACCAAACCGCAACATCCTTACCGAATGCACGTCGAACGCCTCTGGCATATGAAATGAGTGCAAAGACATTGAAGCAACCCACGATCCCTCGCACTGGAAACGAAGTAAGTTAGCTTAGGTACCCGAAGAGACCCTCGTAACTGAATAGTCCATGGGGGATCTTCTATATGGCGGGTTTATGTAGCTTCTAACCTAGTAATTGCCAATGAATCTGCGAATTAATCCACATAAAAGGTTTGGCTATTCCCGCTACTATCAATGCCCCAACGAAGGTGCGCGGGACTGCACCAGGGAAAGAGAAATGATCATATTGGGTGTGTAATCTGTTCTTCGCATTCTTGGTCGGTATCCCATAAGTGGAGATGTCGTGTATGGCTTGGATGTTGAAAGATTCCTCGACTTTTGTGTAGGGCGAAACGTAGAGGTGGAGGAGGATAAGGCCAGGAATGAGCGAGAGCAGGAACCAGTCTGCAGCCAGTAGTCAGTAATTATTCATTGAACGTTTGGAAACTGGATACTCGAGGGATATTTAATTATGCTTGTATAGCATATATACCACTTACCTGTCAGTCTCGGCATTGTCTCTTTCCTGCGGTGGTTGTTTGGAGAAAGGTCTTCTTCTCACTGATAAATCGCGGAGGCTTATTTATTTCTAACGAGTGTCGTCACCAACTTTCATTCTGTCAACGTTTCGCATTCCTCACCCGACAACGCCCTCCCGCGCCGCTACACCTTCATATTCGATGTGAGGGCGGTCGCCATACACCAAAAAGCTCTCTGCATCCATGCGAAGATAACCTCCACTTGGCCATTAAAAGGACACCATGTTTCTCTTCGGTCTGGGGAAGCTGATTTATAGTATGTTCTGTGCCTGACTACATTCACATAGATAGCTACCTACAGACTCATCTCCTTAGCATGGGATAGCACGCAGCAGTACATATTTTTATTGAAGGAGGGTAACAATGGACTAACACAAGATTCTTGTTTTGCAGTCATCGTCCTCATCATAAACGCCATCGCTATCCTCTCTGAAGACCGCTTTTTGGCCCGCAGTACGCATCCCATCTCTAAGCTCCTCCCACACTTGGTGCACACACGTGTCGACAAACATGCATAGAAATACAAAATTCAGACTAACACATTTAATCATGTAGTTGGTTGGGGCCGCACACAGTACGATCCCGGCTTCGGCGCCGCCGTCCCTGACAACACAAGCATCAAGGCGAAATCCGTCAATCTAATAGCAAGCGTGCGGACGGTTATGAGAAGTACGTTTTCAAGAATGATTTGTTTTACTCTGGCTCTCTTTTTTCTTCTTCTCATTTTCACTCTCAAGAAAATACGTCAACAGTGGGCTAGTCAATACGCTGACACCATCTTCTTTGTCAGTTCCCCTCATCATAATCAACCTAATAATCATAATTTACGAAATCGTTTTGGGATAGAAAAGGCAGAGGTGGGAGAGGGGACGGAAAAAGGGCAACGTTATAACATCATATTTACCCACTTTCTTTCTTATTTCTTTTGATATCCATCTCTCTATTTCCTCTGGTTTTTCATAGTATCTACTCTTGCTATCTCCGCCAATTTACATACATCCCCAGCTTCATCACACCAGCAGCTGAGAGAATACAAAACAAAATATTTCAATATTTCAATCCCTCGCACTTATACGGACCTTCGCACTCCCGTCAGGAGCATATCGACTATGAAAAGTTGTCTGCGTGGCATGCGATTAGCCTCAGGCAAGTCTCATGCATCTCTAATCGGGCATTGGAAAGATACGTGCGAAGAAGGCCAGTCGGGCCATTAGCTTTCTGAATAATAAAGAAGGGATATGTAGTAAATAGTGACAGAGAGAAGAAGGTATTATTAGAATAAGATTGCTTTGAGACATGCATGTGGAGAGAACGAATTGTAACAGGCGCACAACAACCCGCAACAGGACTCGGTTCGCGAAGAACTCCCAACCCGACAGCGCTGGTGGTTAATTATTAGGTATGAAAAGGAGTTGAATAGCCATATAAAATGAAGATCTTGTTCCACCACTCCCTCCTCTGCGTTCTACTTTCCGTTCCGTCAAGCAGCATCAAGACGACTCTAAAACCAAAGAAGAAGGAAGATAATCTGAAATGGAAACAGAATTAAGACATGAACAGAGCCGCTCACTTCAAAAGAAAAAAAAGAAAAAAAAGAAAAAAAAATCCAAACATTTAGTGAACGTAAATAGCCTACCTAACCGAAGCCATAGCCAAAGCCGAATCCCAAACCAAACCAAGCCAGCCAGCAATAATGAACATACAAGGTAAGGTAACAAACAAGAGAAAGAAGAATAAATTTAAATTCTACATTGAAGGGAGAAAAGGGGAACATGGTATATATGGATATGGACGGCAGAGGCCACAAAACAAAGGAACAGAGATAAGAAAGGGGCGAAAAGTTATATGCAAAAACAGATTAGGGCAGAAGGGAATGAATTCCGGCGTAGGACGTTAAAATAAATGCCATCGACTTCTTTCATTTGCGATTTTCCAATGGTAGATGACGTTAAATAGCACATGCAGATTGTGCTGTACATGTACATATATGCAAAGGAAATGAGAAAATGTAATAAGTTTTGTGTGTGCGAGTGTGGAGAGGAGAGAGGGAGAGAGGGAGAGGCGACAGAACGAAGGCGATTTCAAAAAAAATATCACATGTGACAAGGAGGACCATGGTTGGTTGTTACCAAGCCAGAGCTAAGTAATATGAAGTACCAAAACTATGTTACGCTGAACGATTTCCTTCGTAGACTGAACCGGCTGCGTTTTGGTGTTGCATGCTTCACTGAGTTTCCGTTATTTTCGTGACCTTTGCCATTGTGTGTTTGCTTCCTATTGGGATCGTGGTTGATATCGTAACTGCGAGCATGATTGTGATTGTGATCGGAATTGGTATGGCGACTGGAATGGTTGATGCTGTTGGAGACTTCTCGTGGTCGTATCTTCATATTATTGAAAAAGTTTGATGGATTTGGTCGTGGTTTCGGGTCTTCGTTTTTGCTACGGGCGGTAGAGTCGACTGGCGGATTGGAATATACTTCATCCTTCAAAGGCCAATTGTTGCTAAGATTGCTCTCTGCGACAGGGCTCTTGGGGTCTGCAGTGGCGGATGGGAGCGGTAGGGACATTGGGGGTACGGGTACTGGCGGCGGCTCTGTCGATGATTTTGGACCCTTCTCTTTATCTCTAGAATATAATATGCCGTAGCTCAAACTCCTACTGCCCAGTTTGAACCGACCAAGACCTCCTGCCGTTCCTCCGGGTTGGCCGTTCTCCTTACCGTTGCGAGGAGTTGCAATACGGCGGTCCTCCTCAGCCTTAGAAGCTTTACTAAGTTCCAAAGCCGTCTTGAGTTCGGCGTCTTGGCGCTTAATTTCCTCCTTCAGTTTAGCCTCCAGTTCCTTTCGTTTTTGCTTCTGTGCCTTCTCCTTCTCCTTCTCTGCAGTTTTCCGTTCCTTCTCTTCCTTTGCGCGTTCTTTTTTGAAGATAACGTCGCTCTTTTTAGAATTTAGGTTGGTTGAGCTGGACATCACAGGGGTTTGAGGAAGGTGTGGGAGAGGTGGGAGACTAGGCGTCGCATTCTCAGGATGGGTAGATGGTTCCGGTGCAGTTGGTATTCTTTTTAAGGGCGAAGTTGGTGAAAGATCTGCGGAGGGGGTCACGGTGTTTCCTCGATTGGTTTCATCGAAACCAGTAGTAGACCCGTTCATTTTGGGCTGCGAAACGGAAACTAAATCCTTGGTGTCCACCGATGCTCGATTCATTGAAGTCATTCCTTCTTTTTCCTGTTCCCTTTGCATGGCTTCAAAAGTTGTTTCTTGATAGAAGAGCACGTACGCGCACGCCAACCCAGGGCGGTCTCCAAAGAAATTACGGACGTAATTCTTGTCAACTGGTTCCACCATTTCGTCGTCGAAAAGGAGCCAACCCATGTCCTCTGTTTTTATAATAGCAACGTAGTGGCCGTGATAAGGACCACCACCAATGTGGACAACGACGGCATAAAGCTCGTAGAGACGATCAGGGTCTTCGGCGTCATCGGTAGTATTAAATAATCGAAGGTAATAGGGATACACCACTCTATGGAATAGCTTCTGGAGTCTTTGTAAATCCTCAGTGTATTTAAAGCGCTTCAAGTGAAGAGCTAAGATGCGCGGCAATCGTTTAATCTTCATCCGCTTTTCAGCTTCTTGCAGGCCCCCGCAATTGTCACAATGAAATTTATTGCGTTCACAGAGCATCTCCTCCTCCGAAAACTTTCGTAAACATGACGTTACTGACGAATGCTGATCAAGATCGACCGACAAATCTAAAAAAACTTCATCTCGCTGTGATACGTTCTCACACGTAAGGCATTGCGTTTCCGAGGTCAAAGTCCCTTCAAAAAGTTCATGTACCCATCGTGTGTTATTGGGTGATTTAGAGGTATTGGAATTCGTGAGTGTCGTTGCTACAGACCCAGTGGTTGTGGTGTTCGTGGACAACTCACCACTCTCCGACTGCTGGTCTATTTCTGGAGGTAGTGAACGTTCGGCTTCTGCTTCCACATTGGCAACCACTTCGTTTAGTAGTAGATTAAGAAATTCATGCGCGTCCTGGTGCATCGCTGTTCTGAACATTTCATGTTCTCGTCGTAACACTTCGAGGAAGCTATAAGGACGGATGACGCCCATCCTCTCTTGAGTGGCAACTATAGCCTCGAAAATATCTTTCAGAGACGTAAAGAGCGATTCTTGCATCCCATAGCTCATGGCATTGTCTCTTGTTTCTAAGATTGGAAGTCTATGCATCGCAACTTTTTTCTTGTATTCCGGTGAGTCCTTATCCTCCGGTTTAGGCGGTTGTTGCGCAGGGGGGGCTACGCCACCCTTGACGGAAGGATTACCGTTTGTCTTTTGTTTAGCATCTTGTTTATCCTCCATTGGTGCGTTTGGGTCTGGGTAGTGTAAATTTTTGGCGAGGGATTCGTTGAGTGTTTCTATGGGGGAGCGTCTTGGGTAGTTGATAACGGATTCTCGAAAAGGGACTGAATAGTAAAGACATTGAAGAATAGAATTGCAATAACTAGTACCGTCAGCACACGGATGGTACAAACTGTCATATCAGCTGAATAGGACTAACCATGTATTTCCGTATTGAGCCTACATGATGAAAGCAAATATTAGCATCCTGCATCTCCCAAAATTTCAAAATGGACAAGGAGAAATTCCAAAGTACTCACGTTTTCCATCCCGAAAAATTTGTCACTGCCATCATTCCGCAACGGGCCAGCATCTTGCAGCATCTTCTCCAGGGGCGTCATCGGTGCGGGGAGAACATACTTCTTGACCGAGGAAGAGGTGGAAGCTTGAGTTCCGGTTCCCTAGAAACATCAAAACATTCCCACATGTCAGATACAATATATACAGGGAACAAAATCTTTAACGAAGAGCATACCGTATTGCCTCTTAACTTTCCGAAGAAGGGCGCCATATTGAGAGTGAATATACAGCAGCACTGCGACCCAACCCGCCACTTGCCGCCGCAGTGCGGCAGACCTCGATCGTCAGGCTCACGAGAGTGTCTCTGGGAGTCTATTCACAGCCTGTTTGTAGAAGGTCCGGGACTCGATTGAACTGAATGCGGAGAAGTGGAGATCGTTGTTGAGATGCTGTTGAGATGCCACGGCCCGGAGGATTGAACAAAATCGAGCGGGATGGAGGATGGAAAATAGAATGCCACTTTCGGAAGGAAAACGAGGACCAATTCACCGGAGAAAGAGCCGTAGCCAGATCGTATTCAGAACTTCAGCGGCGGGAGACGGAAAGGGTTTGACTCCGCATAGGGTGAATACGGGGGCGGTTCAGTACGGAGACACAAGGAGTGGATGAGGCTGACAACCAGGGAGGACAAGAAGAGACGGGTAGTAACAGGCGCAACAAGGATGACCAGCACAGGAATAAGAGAAAAGACAGATATAAAGACAGACGACTCAAGAAGGAGAGGGAGGGCGGCGGAGGAGGGTGGGAGAGCACACTGGGGAGGAGAAAGCCGCAGTGGAAGGGGTTTGGGGGTACCTGGCCAGCCGATGGCCGTGGGGAGATACTTATCGGTACTTACTTCGCAGCTTGTTAGTGGGTCGCTAGCCCCAACTGGCCCTGACAAGCGTGGGAGAGCCACCGCGAACAGGAACAGCAGCAGATGGGGAGTGCCCAGCGCCTATCGAGGGTATGTATGTATTCTATGAACTTTGTTGACTAGTTATCCCGCCATTTCGGCGTTGATAGGGCTTCCAAGAATAACTACGCTCATGGAAACAGTCCCTTTCAAGGCAGCTATCTTCTTCGCCTGTCTGATTCTGACTGTGAGTCTGACTGTGGCTATACACGATGGGTGCATCAATCGGTTCGACGGTTTAAGACTCTTAAATTAACTACGTAGTAGTATGGCTCTGTGCTATGGGGTCAAAGTATTCCGTAGCGTCTGCTTTCTCCCTCACCACCAACCAGAACCATGCAACCCTCCAGGAATAGGCTTGACAATTTCAAGGCCCCCGTCCGTCGTATGCCGGGTGATTGGCCACTTAGCACCAACTCTCTTGACAGGTGCATTAAGCTGGCCCAGAGGGAACGCGGTCGGCTACGACTACTACTTGTAAGGACCTCGGAGTTTCTTACAGAACGCCCATCGAACATTGATAAGCGCCCTGCCCCATCCCCGAGTAAACGGTTTGAAGAGATATTTCGCCAGCTTTAATGCGACCTGCTGGCCAAACTTGAGAAGGACCAAACAATACTGATGTTACACAGCTTCATCCACGAGGGTTAACCGCGGCGCTTGGCTGATTTCGGTCCTAGGACGGACTGAGGGAGCCTGCAGATGGCTGAACCCGCATGGCGTAAGGCGAACATGGCCATCATATTGATGATGAAGGGTGCCTGTACGGAGTACATGTGCAACAAGCCCGATCTACAGTACCTAGTTATAAGCTACGGATTGGATTTGCTCACGATTAGCCTTCCTCCAAAATGGCTTCTCTGACATTGATAAACTACATAGTACTTGAAGGAGAAGATAGGCTATCAATAAGGTTGACTTCACCGGCCACAGTATGATCATCAACGGCAGGTTGTGGCGGTTGCTTTACCAAGCAAAAGAAAAGCTTTGACTTTTGTGGCTGATCCAAGTTCTCCATTTGCTTCTTTTTTTTTTTTTTTTTTTTTTTTTTTTTTTTTTGGGCTATGACAGGTTTCGCATGGCGTGGATTGGATCCGCCCGCTTTTTCGAATGACTTCGAAGGAACTGGCAGATGCGTTCACTCACAGGCCATGCCCTAAACATTCTCTCGACTAGCCTTTGCGACTAACTCACCCCATGCCGCCGCTTTGACTTTGGCCAAGTTCAACCAAACCCCAAATACCTCCACTAACTGGCCAAGATGCAGGTAATGCCGCCAGGATCGGAAACAGCAAGTTGTTGGAGGTTGCATTCTGATACCTTTAGGTTACGCTCCAAGTGGACAGTTTGCGACTCCTCCCGAACTGCCCAATTGCCAGTGAATATATTTCACCAAATGCTTATCTCAACATGCAGGCAAATCATCAACTAGAGTCCTTATGGACTTTTCGTTTTGTTGCCTTTGTATCTCATGACACCTGAAAAAACTACCAGGCTACACTCACCAATAACCACCTCTTGCGATGTTGGAATAATGCCGCGACAGAATGTAACTGTGTAGGTCCCCAATCTACTTGTCACTCACGGGGTCCCTCGCCCTGCCTTTCTTTCTTATCAGATATCAGATGCATAGCTTCATTAGCCAGTATGCAGCCAAACAAGCCAGACACTTTTGCTCCAGTTCGACGGAAAACGGCAATCCAATTCCGGGAACTAGATAACCCCTCAGTATCAACACTTGTTATCCTTTCCCCTTAATACCGCTCGCTCTCTTTTTGTTCTAACAATCAGTTTGTCAGGTCCGAGATGGGACCAGGGTGTTTTGTTTCTACCAGGTAAAGTTTTATTTTAAAGCCATTGCAGGTGTTGGCCCAGCACCGGAGAGAAAACGTTGTTGACGTGGGATTCATTCTCCTGGGCCCTATTTCTAAACTCAAACTGTCATAAAGATAAAAGACTCCGGCTGATGCGAACGTTGCTGGATGGAATGATGCGTTAATCAAGCAGTAACCGAGAAAGAAAAGGGTCACGTTCTCTACTTGGAAGCCTTGTTACTTTTGTGATATATTATCGGGCAAGAGTCCAATTTTCTGGCACATTTGATCTAAGAGGCATATGGGAGACCAATAGGACCGCCGTTTGGTTGGGCGGCAGGTGGCGCGCAGAGAACCTGAATGTAACTCTCGAATGATGGCAACCAAGTACCCCTCCTCCATCGACAATAGAATAGAGAGCCCAGGTGCGCAGACAGCTGCACAGTCATATTTGCATAGCCCCCGGTATACTCCAGCCCAAGAACCTTCTTGTTGTTTCCGTGCAAGGGCCTGCACACTTTGCCTTTGAAGTGGGGTATGTATCTTTCAACTGGAAACTGGAATGCAGTCGGAGAATTTGCATCGGGTGGTGAACATGATAAGCCCGGCCATCGTCCTGTCACCCGCTTCCGGGGGCGAATCAACTAGAGGACCCCAGTCCACAACGCCTCGACTCCACTGATGATTTTCGCCCTTTCTTTTGATTTTCTTTTCTTTTCTTTTTCTTTTTTCTTTTTCGTGGTTTGGGGCTTCGGTTTCAGTCATTGCAAACTGTACGGAGGTAGACATCACCAATTTTGGCAAAGGAGCGCATCGTTCGTGAACACTGATGTCCACTCAATCCACGACCACTAAACTCCTTCCAAACGTCTCATAAGACGTCTTCCGATATCTGTTGGGAAATTCGTCCTCCCTTGGCGTCCTTTTGGAACGTATGAAGGAAATGCTGGGTTTGCAAGTGCTTGAAAAACAGGAATGTATGTATCTGTGCTGCTGCACAAGAGCGTGGTCTCAAATTGCGCGTCCCCGGGACACATAATCGTTTTTGCGTATAGATGATATATTGTCTCCATAATATGAGCGGGTCTGTGGCCAAGTGCTGGCTCAGTGATGACGACGACATTCCCTTTGCTGGCTAGTTAAAAAGGCGTTGATTTGTACCGTACATACTCCAGAACGTGTGGAATTTGTAGCAGCCAGCCAGCCAGCGGACAAGGAAAAACTTTAAGTTTCAGCAACGAGAGATTATTCATCAATCTGTCCCTAGTGGTGTAGTGGCTAACATCGCTGTCTTTCACACAGCAGCCCAGGGTTCGATTCCCTGCTAGGGAGATGAGTGGGAGTTTCTGAAGCTTTCTTTTTTACCGGCTTTCTGGATCTCATGTATATCCCACATGTCACTATTCCTTGTCCTTTCACTGATCCCGAACGTTTTCCTGAGCCTTCATTGTGAAACTGGCATCTAGGATGAGTCATCCAAGGTTTGAACATGGATTAACTATATTCCAATCCGTCCCCTCGGAAAGCCAAAAAAAAAAAAAAAAAAAAATAATGGATAAAGAGTATTGAGGGCGATGGAGACGAAATAGACTTTATTTTCTTTATACATCCTTCAGAATTCTGTTTCACTTCAGATTATTTTGAATGAGGGTTCCCCGAGCTTCGGGCCTTCTGCACACTGGTCGGCCCACATTCTCAAGCTCTCAACAAAGCCGTCTTTTTCAGAGCCTGGCCTGTTGCCCTCGTTGCCCAATCCGAATTGAATTGGCTTGGAACCCCGCCATCTACCCATTCCTCCACACTCCCCACCAACGCCTCTACCACAGTAATAATAACAATTTCTCAAACACAATGGGGAAGGAAAAAGTATCCTTCAACCTCAAAACGCCCAAGGGCACCAAGGACTGGTTTGGCGCCGACGGCCTCCTCCGTGATCGCATATTTAACACAATCACCGAAGTTTTCAAGCGCCACGGCGCAACCTCCCTTGATACCCCCGTCTTTGAACTACGCGATATCCTCGCGGGCAAATATGGCGAAGACTCAAAACTCATATACGATCTGCAAGATCAGGGTGGAGAGCTGTGCTCACTCCGCTACGACCTGACTGTCCCTTTCGCCAGATGGCTCGCCATGAACCCCAACATCCGCAACGTAAAACGCTACCACATTGCCAAGGTATACCGGCGGGACCAACCGGCTATGTCCAAGGGACGCATGCGCGAGTTTTATCAGTGTGATATCGACTTTGCGGGTGCCAATTTTGACCCGATGGTTCCCGATGCAGAGATCTTAAGGATTGCGACGGAGGTATTTGAGGGGTTGGGGTGGAAGGGACGTTACACTATCAAGGTTAACCATCGCAAGGTTCTGGACGGGCTCTTTGAAGTGTGTGGCGTACCTAAGGAGAAGATACGAACTATCTCCAGCGCTGTTGATAAACTTGACAAGATGCCGTGGGTGGACGTGCGGAGGGAGATGGTCGATGAGAAGGGACTTGATGGTAATGTTGCGGACAAGATAGAGACATATGTGATTAGAAAAGGCGGACGAGAGTTGGTAGAGTCCCTACAAAAGGACGAAGCTCTACTCGCAAATTCATATGCCAAGACTGGTTTGGAGGAAATGGCACTGCTCCTTGACTACCTTGAAGCCTTCGGTATTCTAGATAAAATATCCTTCGATATGAGTCTAGCCCGTGGCCTGGATTACTATACCGGTGTTATTTACGAGGTGGTAACGGAAGGGTCAGCACCTGCTGCCGCTCCCCCAACGGGCGAGGAAGCTCAAAATATACGGAAGAAGAGTAAAGGAAAAGCCATGCATGATGATGATGATGACCGATCGAATGATCCATCGATAGGAGTTGGGAGCGTCGCTGCCGGTGGTCGATACGACGGACTGGTTGGCATGTTTTCAAGCAGAGCACAGATACCTTGCGTCGGTATTTCGTTTGGTGTCGACAGAATTTTTTCAATCACTAAGGCACGAATGGAGCGAGAGAATAGCGTCGCCAATAAAATATGCGATGTAGATGTTTATGTCATGGCATTCGGCGGGAAGGGCTTCACCGGGCTGCTAAATGAGAGAATGGACGTTGCGAGGAGACTTTGGGATGCTGGTATTAAGGTAAGACTGCCTACTTAAGTTTGCGTGTGTATATGTGTTACACTTCTTCTGACGCATAGCCGCGTGAACCCAGGTCGAATTCTCTTACAAACGCAAGCCCAAACCCATCCAACAATTCGAGGCCGCGGAAGCCAACGCCGTTCCCTTCGCTGTCATCCTTGGGGAGGACGAGCTGGCTGCTGGCAAGGTGCGTGTCAAGGAGATGGGTTTAGATAAGGGACATCCGGAGAAGGATGGCGTTTTGGTCAATGTGTCAACGTTAGCAGAGGAAGTAAAGAGCCGATTGGAACGGAAGAAGGCCGATGCTGCCGCTGCCGTGATCGCTTCCGAGGTCGACGCTGGAAAGGATGTTGTCATTGACGATGCGGTGATTGCAAAAGTAGAGGGATTAGATTTGAAAGAGCAATAGAAGGATTGTATTTTTGTCTTGAGATAGGAGTTGGGGAGGAAGGCAAGTGGCGCTTTTTTCGCTCTTCCATCCCCTACGCTTTAAATTGGATTCAGGTCTCTTATTGTTTGGGACATACATCCATGTGCGTCTTTTGTTCTCCATGTTAGGGTTATCATCTCGGATCCCTCAGTTTATAAAGATGTTCCTCAACAGAAACCCACCCACCCTCTTTTTCGCTTCTGAGCGCAATCGCAGCAGTGGACTTTCGAAAATAATTGCAATGTTTGTGACATATAACGCACATATAAGGAGATCAATATTTCTAAATGACTAAGAATAACCTCTCGCAATTGTTTATTTTATGGGATGAAATATAAATACAATAGAAAGCACCAGAGTCCACTGCCTAGCGACAGTGGAAGAATTCATCTGCATGGGCATCTAAGTGCCAGCTGCAATCTTCATCATAAAACCTTTCAACATGGGCAGACGGTCAACCATGTTTAACCCGAAACTCCTCCCCCATGCTACCGGCCCGTTACCTGGTACGTTATAAGCTTTATGCAGCAAATCACACGCTCCACCAATTTTAGCATTGACGAGGTATCTCTCAGCAGCGTACCGCTCCAAGCTGAGCAGGTCGCCAATGTCCATGCCGTGGCGAATTGAGTATTCAATTGTGCGGAAGAGCGAGGCTACATCGCCCAGCCCAAGATTTAAGCCCTGGCCCCCTAGCGGATGGATGACGTGCGCCGCATCCCCGACTAAGGCGATGCGGGGAGAGATATAGGTTGATGCGTGACGATGGCGAAGGGGGAAGGAGGCTACAGTTCCAGGTTGGACAGATGTGACAGTTGGTGGGGCGTAAGGTGGGATAGCGGTGTTTTCGAGTCGCCAGGAGAGTTCATCGCTGTGTTCGGTTGATAAGGTTGTCGAAAGGGGGTCCGAACGCACAGAGTCTGTTGGTAACGCCGCCGTGGGAGAAGGAGGGAGGGTGAACATGTATTTTAGGTCTATCATGGACAAGCGGAAAGCAGCGTTCACCATAGCTATTAATGCCTCTGCGGGAAGGGATTTAAGATACGCTGCATTTCTCACGGTAGTAGACCAAACTAGGGTAGCGTGGTTGCCGGGGAGTGGGAGTAAGGCGATTGGGCCTCCCAGTCCAGGAAGGAAGCGTTGATACGCGGTCCGGAGAGGTGGGCCAGGTGTTTGGCTGGGCGGGGAAATGTTCAAAGTAGCCACAACGCCATGGCGGTCGTAGTCCCAGCCATCAGTCGATATACCTGCATATGATCGGACTGGGCTATTTATCCCATCTGCACCTACAAGGAGGCGAGCAGCAATGGCAGGTGGCTGGGGAAAGTTTGAATTTGGGGAGGTATGTTTGAGGGTCAGAACAGGCCAGGAGGAAAGGTCCGGGCCATCGGTGTAATCTTCCCCATTGGTAATTTCAGACACTGATGTATTAGAGAAAATGGACACCTCACCCCCAGATGACTCTATACATGCGATTAGGCCGCGGGTCAAATTCAAATTCTCCGTCATTGTCGCGATAGTTTGCATTTGTGTTGACTGAGGTTCGAGGGACCAGTCAAATGATATACTAGCACCCGTTTCTCCGTCCCAAACTCTCATCTCCTGGTATGGCTGCACTCGCGCAACATCCACATGTTCCCATGCTCCAATGTCCTTGAGGAATGACACAGAGGAGGAAGTGAGGCTGCTTACGCGGTTGGAGAACTGCGTGGGTTCTAAATTCCAAGATCTGGATTTCAACAGATCCTGGCTTTCGATTAGAGCAATTCTAAGCTTCGAGGTTATTGGAGAGGATCCTGGAAAGGAAAGTGACAATTAGCGTAAGATTCCTGTGAACAAGAGATATATAGGGCCATATCCATACGCAAAGCTGCCACAAGGCCCAAACCTGCTGGTCCTCCGCCGACACAAACAATGTCATAGATATCTGGACGTTGAAGAAGTTTAGAAGATGAAGAGAACCCTCGCCTCCCCAACTGCAGGTCACGCCTGCATGACGGGCAAATGTATAATCGCAGCGCGGAACGAGACAGTGATCGCATTGTTGGAATCGTGGCGTCCTCAACCACCAACTTTGCAGTTCAGTGTATGTAGATATTCGAAGATGCTAGCTGTGCAAACAAGGCAAACTGAAATCGAGATCACCATCAGGTGACTATCTCACGTGGTGTCAACATCCCCCAAATGTTGGCCGGAGGCTACCTATTACGGACTAGCGCACCGCACATATATGCCTACATGCTCATACAACCATCAAGACGTCCCACAACAAAAATGATCAACCCGTGCTCTCTACTCCGTACAATAACGGCCTTGCATAATATGACTGGCTCTCTTTGCGGATCCGATCAAACCTTGACTCAGTTCTCTCTGTGGGTTGTGAAAATTGCATTTGAAAATGAATCTATGGCTAGCATACTCTACTCTCTACTCTACACAGAGCTCATAACCAATGCGACAACTGCGCTACCTTGTGACAGCACAATTGCTCTCACTATCCCAAAGTGTCTCCTTATTCCTTTTACCTGAATCAGTTTTCTATCAAGTGGATCTCTCTGTGGTCATTGATGGTTTCACGTGGCTCACGTCATCATTAAGGGGGCTGCTTTTTTTGGCGGCTATTTATAGTCAATTTTTGGGCATGAGAGCCACCCAGACACCCAGACGAGCTTCATATCAGATCCGCTTCCATTACATAGGCCAAGGCGGGAGGCCGACTGGCGGCCGTTGTCACTTAATTTGCTAGGCAGCTAATCACCAGTAACTCCATTAACCTGGTCGGTTCATAGAGCAGGTCCGCTACGGATATGAAACCTTTCTCGCCAACTGATCCTGTTCGTTTTGTTCATCCTGCGCTGTGAATTTGCCCCTGGGAATTGAAGGAACTCAGCTCGTACTCCAAGATCCAAAAACCGCTCTTGCGCTTTGCTGCTTGCTCGTTGCAGATTTGCCTCCACTTAGGTGGTTAAACATCCGTGCGCGAGATCTTCGTCGCCTCCTTTGCTCCTTCATTCAGTCGGTGGCGAATATGCATATCTCCAAAACCAATGGCTTCTTTTTTTTCGAGTTGCAACAGGTTTGTGGCTACTATCGCTTCAAACTTCCCTCGGCTCGTGATTCAGTTGAGTAGTAACTCCCTGCTAAATCGCCCCGAAGAAGGGATTCCCTTGGCTAGCATTGCTTATGGTGTAAGTAGGTGGATACCGCTAGCCATTATCCGCCATTTTCCGGTTCTGTGGAAAATAAAAACTTGAACTCATGTAGGAGTCGTGTTTAGCGGACTGCCAAGCATGTATATTTATACTTGCTTCAAAAATCCCGCTTTTTGCCTCGAATGTGTTCATATTTCCATTGGGATTCTATTGAATCTGTACACTCACTCAAAAAACATAAACTTCTACACTCCCTTATTCAAACTGCTGTTCTTACTCTGCAAACAAGATACGCAACAGAGAGTCTCTCACTAAGGCGGATAAAACTACGGGAGAGAGGGCGAGAGTCAATATTGACAGCAAAACAAACATGACCACCAAATTAAAAACGAAATCTCCCTTAACAACATCATCGCTATTCTCTACATCATCGTCCTGGGTAGATGATGCGGAATCCCTTTACTTCAGCCCAAACTTTGCCCAATACGAAGGCCCGTCGATGAGCCCGAAAGCCCACAAATGGCAGCAGGTCCCCATGCAATATGAACACGAAATGTATCTCCAACTCACAGCTGGCAACGACGGTGTTGCTGAGAAAACAGCAAATCAACTCTATCTGGAGGTAAATTCCCCCTGACTTCGGCAACCGATGTTGCTCTGACAATCGCGAATCAAATTCATCCCAGCCCACCACACCATTTCACAAACCCCCGCTCAAACCACACGTTGTCTAGTTTATCCACTCTCTTTACTCATGGAGTTTACGTGTCAATCTAGGAACGAAGACGCCGTCTACACTCTCGATCTCAAGACCCGGCTGTCTCCGGCCCACAACAAAACTGCCCTAGCCCGATAGACTTCGAAACCGCTGAGATAGAGAGAATACGAGCTGTCGAGCGTCAACGTGAGAGCCACTCGAGATCCACAACAGCGATCAAGCAAAGTAATCCGAGGGCCTCTTCCGGACCGAGAACGATGGCGACAATGATGACAAAAGATGACTGGCTGTTTTGGATTTGAGAAAGGAACAATGTACCATCTTTTTCATTTTGTCATTTGTTATGAGGTATGACAAGCTTGTTATCTGGGTTTTACTTTAGTTTAATTTCCCTGTGATTTAGTTTTTGTGCTCCTCATTTAGCCTGGGTGTTGGGATAGGTGCTATGTTTAACAATGATGGATTTTTCGGGTTCTCGCATGCTTCGATTTCATATTACTCGATGGAGAATAAATTTCAATGTTTATTATTCTCTATTATCTTTTGGGGAGAATATCACTTAATGAAAATATCATGACCAATCAAAAGGACCATGAGTCAAATACACCATGGGAAGTTAAGAAAAGAGAATATAAAGGATGTGGAAAATAAAACAACGATCTTGAGAGTATAAGTTCAACCGTTATAACTTCGTCGGTAAAAGGAAAGAGAAACGTACAAGCCAAAAACCGAGAATCAATGCAAGTATCCCATTTTCAATAAGACAATATAATAGGATGTGAACAAATAGGAAAATGAATGCAGAGTAATGAAATAAGTGAAGTCCATCCCATCCCTATTCATCACACCCGAATCTCGTCAAATCATATTAAGAATTAGATCATGAATGGCCCACCCCAACAAGCCCCTTCACTTCCTTCCCATGCTGATCGTGGCCTTGACTCTCCTCCCCCTCCGCTTCCATCTCAACAATAAACCGTTCCCACGTCGCTAGCACCCCCTGATAAAATTCCACATGTTTCTCTGCCAGCGCCCCTAATGTATCACGGAACTCCACGGCCTTAATGCGTTCAAAATCCGCCACTTCCCTGACGACCTCCTCATCGAACATTTCAGACGTGGTTTTGGAACTTTCAACTTCTCGAGTTAGTTCGTCGATGCGTAATTCGAGCTTGCGGATGCGCTCGCGACGAGATTGTTCGTGGTCGACGCCGCGCATGTCTTCCATTTTAGAGCGGATGAAGGAGGCTGGGTTGCTGGTAAGTGGGTTGGGAGAGTAGTACGAGGCCGGGTTGTTGGCTAAAGAATCACGGTCGAAAACGGCTTTGTTCCGGTAGTCGACAAGCGCTTCAAAGTCTAGCTGTTTTTGTTCGCGGGTTTTTAACAGGGATTTAAGGGAGAGGATATACGCTTCCATGTCCCGTAGGCTTCCCAGGTAGTTTTGGTCTGTGTGGTCTTTGAGGTCCTTTATACCTCGAGCGGTCTCTTCTACTGAGGCAGCAAAGATTTGCAACGGTGCTTCGACATCTGGCTCGAGCAAGACCAGCTTGCGGAATTGTGTGGCTAGTTCGTTGTAGTCGGTTTCTAGATCAGACTCTCGTCTAGCTACCCTTGCCACTATCTTCTCAACATGATTCAAGTCTTCATCTAATTTGTCCGCTTTCTCCCGCACCTCGATGAACCGTTTGTCTGGTTTGTGTACCTTCGTGAAAGCGTTGACAAAAGTGTCTGCAAAATTGTCAAAAATACCTGTTGGCCCGTTGCCGCCATCAGAGGTGCTGGTGGAGGTACGTGATGGGCGAAGGCGCATATGCGCGTTCCAATCTGCGGATTCGAGGAATACAACGAGAATGGGAGCACGGCGGAGGACAGGATGGAGAGATAGCCGCTTGAGGAACCGGTGAAGGGACCAAGCGCGACGGTTGGTGAAATCAGATCCAAAACGATCCCCACGCACGTATTCCATCTTATGCTTGTCTGGTAGCGGAGGGACAGCACAGGCTGGGTAATCACGGAATAGTGTGTTATACAAGAAATTGAAATCCGAGTAGCGACGACGGACAGTGAAATCGGGTCTTTGGAACGATTTGAAGTCGGTCTAGTAGGGTTATCGCAAACGATATATTAAGTTAGCTATGCAGGGTATATACCATTCGGTAGGTAATTAACAAAGCGGAGGGGCCACAAACATGGGTGGTGATGAGATAAGATATATAGACATCTTTCGTGCCACTGTTTTCCTTCAACGGTGAATCTACTCTGCATTCAAGTATTCCATCTCCAATTCCCGCAAGCTCGCCACCAGGGTGTGGGGAAAGCTGCGGGCCCTCCTCTCCGGCGGAGCTCATCCTCCGCTTTCCATTTACATCATAGCCTGACCTCTCTGGTTCCTCCACATCAGTTCCGGAAGTTGTTGGCCTTGATAAATCGCTGTCGGGGCCATTCTTCCAAGAGACACTATCAAAGTCGCTATGGTCCATAGTGGTCCAACCTCTTCCTAGTGAGGGGACCTGGGGTGGAAGCGTTGAGGTACGAGCTTAGCGTCGGCGGGGGAGCTGGGAAGTTTGGGCTGGCGATTCCTTCTGACTGGGGTCATAAAGCAAATGTAATCGTCCGAGGAGCTTTGGCATAAAGGGGCTACTCCAAATACCAGTCTAGTGAATTCGCTATTGTTCGTTGACGGGACAGAAGTAGATACGGAGTGCAGGCAACTCCATTCCAAGCTGGATGGATGGATGTTTGGATCCTTGGACAGTCAGCAATTCACGTGGTCTTGGCTTCGTCATAGCCGCCTTTTCTCATGGTCTTTGCACAACTCGATAAGGGCTCAGCAATCACGGTTCTACAGTACATGTACATGTACATCGCAGGTATCACCGCCCTTTTTCTTTGCTCTTAATGATGCTTACATTTGCCCGCGAGCAGATCCCTCTAGGACCCTCTTCTGAATATTGGATTTCTGCATGCACTCCTCACGGGTTACTTGCTTCTCGCAACAGGTTGCCTTGTGAACATGTCCTCCCAACCCCGTCCTCGTTTCTCGACCACTCGCCGATATCAAGTAGCAACTGTGCGAGACAAGGGATAGAGCATCTAACTAGAATAAATCTGTTTGATTTTGGCTCGAAGCAACTTGGTGCCACACTGGTGTCAAAGAGAGAAACCCGAAATTTATCAGTGTCATAATTTGTAATTTTCGCGTAAGAGTCATTGATAATGGAAATTTATCTTTTTTCGAGCCACCCACCCCGCCCCACCCCGCCCCGCCCCCGCGGTCAATGTGTTTCAGCTCTCGCCGTTGGTCCCGTTAACTTTCCGCCCTTGGCATTTTTAAATCAAGCACCCGAAAACTAATACAAGGAGCCCCTATGTATGCATATCTTCATACAAGCCTCATAACCGCCCCCTTGACATGCGCAATCTTCAAGCATACAGCATCTCTTCCCTGCCTCACCCTCAACAAAGATAACGTAGCTTGCAAGTTATACTGATCGAGCGGCGACGACCGTGGGAACGTATTCCCTGGCCCCGTCGTCTGGTCCCAGAGGATCTCCAGGCCCCCAAATGTAAAGCCTTCTGTTAGGTGTGGGCTTCGCGATTGGATCTCGTTCTGGATTAGACGGAGGAGGGCGTCGTGGGTAATGCAAGGGTCGATGAGAATTGGGGTGGACAAGTGGAAGAAGCGGAGCATTACGGGAATTGGGGCTGGGGATATGGCCATTATGTTCGAGTGAGCAGAGGACCTAGGGTTTAATAAGGTGAATAGTATGAACTATTTCGATCTTATATGCGGTTGTGTCAAATGGTGGAGTGCCATCAGCATAGAGTACGTACGACTGAATGATAATGTATCGAGCGGGAAGTTTTCAAATTTGACGAGATATTCCAAAATATTTAACAAATTTTCCGCCTTGGGATTTGCGAACTGTTTTATGCGCAGATTAAATACTGCTAATCTCACAGTGTCCATTCTCTGCAACCGTGGCCCTTACCATTGAGGTAGATTACTCGATGCCATGCATCTCGTCGCATACATATATGCGCATACATACATATATGTATGCGACTGCAAGAGCCAGAAACTCGTCATCCAACCAAAAATAAGCGATGACCGAATGCGTGGAATTGGCCATTCAAAGTTCCGCCCCCAAAATCCATGCGCAGATTCAAACCGTTCCGTGCCCCTTCATCCCAACCTTCCTCTCCCAATCCCCCGAAAACCCTTCCCACTCACTCGCCTCGCCCACGCTGCCCTTCTCGACTTTAAACCACCGCGCTTTGTCTTTCAGAAATATATGTTTCTGCGGTAATATCTCCAACACCGCCCCAACATCTCCGTGACAATCTTCATCGATTAAACCCACTGCCACCCCCAAAACATCCGGGTCCATATCATACTGCATAGAAACCGTCGAACCACATGATTCACAAAACCCGCGCGTGGCGATTTTGCTTGAGCGTCTTAGTGTAGGCATTCCATTGCCGCAGGCAGGGGCTTCAGGGTTGCCACTAGTAGACGAAGTCGTAGATGTTGCAATAGGAGCTGCAGTAGCAGCTGCAGGGGGCGTCCAGCTTATGGCATTGCTGGGAAAATCTGCCCAGGTTGTGAAAGGCCCTCCTGAGAGTTTGCGGCAGGGGATGCAGTGGCAATGGGTGAGGCAGAGGGGTAATTTTGTGGAGGTAAAGGAGGTTTTGGAGCAGAGGCAACTGCCTTTAAGGAGGGTGGGGGGTAGAGGCATCGTGGGAGATGTTTGTGCCTGTGGTGCTTGTGTATGTGTGGAAATTTGTGTTTGATACCGGTTGCATGTGCTGAGTGTGTATCACGATGTGCGAATATATATAGTATGGATTATACAGACGGTGATTTGATATCGGAGGGTAAAGAGGATAGGAGGTAGAATAACAAAACAGTGATATCCATGGTCATGGACAGGATGACATTACCGAGGTAGATCTGGAGGTACTGTTGCCTGGCGTATATAATCTGCTCAACATGGATCTGATTTGAACTCCGTATAACTCCTTTTTCATACCGCAAAAGATCTAGGCGCTTAAAAAAATAGAAATGGCGATGGCGATGGTGGAACTATCCGAATGCTAGAAAGCGGCGCAGCGGTGACAACACCAATATTTAATTGAACGGTAGGTTCGGACCTATGCAGCTGTCAATACGACATTCTCGATGGTGTTAATGAACCCTTATTGAAGATGTGTGTGTTATATAAGTAGCTCCCCCTTGCGCAGATGACATGTCCAGACATAACTATTGATCTGAATCACTCCGCTTTTGAGGGCCATGAATAAAGGAGCAAAGAGGAACAGGAAAAGAACAAGATGACCGCATGAATTTATTCAATTCAAATAGCATCCTTAACCCTCAATCAAAGCTGTATACATATATATATGAATTTCCGATGCATCTAGGAAAAACAAATTGAACAAAAAAGTGACAAAATACAAATGCCTCAACGTATGAATGATCCTTATGACAAGCAGAGGAAACGCCAGACCGAAAAGAGAGAGAGAGAAAGCAGCAGCGACGCCCCCCACAATAGTCAGATAGGATGACAAAATACATGGGTAGCAGATAACAAAAAAAACATGATCTAACAAAATAATATCTCTATAGAACAGTCGAAGGCGTATTGCTTTGGTCTCCTAATGTTGGTTTGAGTTGGGACAGGCGTGAGAGGAAAGATGAGAATGAAAACAACACAAAGCAAAGGGTAGCATGGGCATTTAAGGAGACCTAGGTAGGGGATACATATATAGATGGAAAAGGGGGATGTTAAAACCAAAAGAAAGGAATATTCGCAACCAATGTGAACATCAAAAAAGGACAAACCAGCTAGGTTTTCTCGCTTAGATCACCAACACTAATCCTCTTCTCATCTTCGTCTTCATCCTGATACGGCGCCTCGCCCTCCGAATCAGATAATCTAAACTCCTCAGCCTCATCATTGCTCAAAAGCTCCTCATCGCTTTCCCCAGCAAAAGCATCATACAGCTCCCCACCTTTCTTCTTCCGCTGCTTCCGTCCCAAGCCACGAGTGCCGGCACCCATATGCTCTACATCATCACCGCCACTGAGCAGATCCGCCTCATCACTACCATCAATCATCTCAAACTCGTAGTCATCGCGCGGGTTATTTCGGATGCGCTTCCGACGCTGGACGAGGAAGTAAACACCCAACGCGCAGCAGAAAATTAGGATAAGTGCGAGCGACCCATAGATCCAGACCTGGCTGCGTTTGGAGACACCGAAGGTAGGGAAGAAGGACGGGAGGAAGCTGTCGTTGTCGGTATCGGATGGGGAGCCGGTTGGTTTTGAGTTGACCGGGCGGTCGACGTGGTCGGTTGGCACGGAGGAAGGAGTGGGGCGGCTGGTTCCGCTCGTGGGCGTTATGACGGCAGTGGTTACGACAGCGGGTTCGTCGTCCTGGTCGTGGTCGTGGTCGTGTTCGGTTGGCAAGGGGTGGAGTTTCTGGATGTTTGAGTCGATTGCTTCCCCCCACAAATCCAGTTGCCAGTCGATGAAAGTGCCTTCGTGAGCATTAACGACTGTGTCTTTGACGATCACAGTCCATTTACCGACGCCGGATTCGCCCCTGAAGTGGTAGAAAGATGGTGTCAGCTTTGTGCCTTGCCTTAAGATCAGACTGGGATTTGAACTCTGATATATGATTGAGGGAGAATGAGCTTTGTTCTTTTTATCGGATTTGCACTTACCAATGGGCGACTGACATAAATGTCCAGTCGGTGTATCCAACGGGGTTATTATCACGCTTCCTAGTCGTACTTAGATGGCTAACGACACCAGCCGGGCTGCGGAGTTCAACACTCAAATCACCGCGGCGGGTGTGGTTGACATTCATCGTGACAGTGACATGTTCTAGGCGCTGAATATTGTTCTGTTTCAACATCTTTTTGGTGACTTCGAAGGAACTGGCAAGTCCCACCTCTCCCTGGGGGATTTCACTATGAACCCGTAGCCAGGGAGAATGCAGCCAAGCTTGTGGTTTGACCAGTTTCCAGTCTTTAGCTAGATGGACAGCAGAGTACGCATCTACCTTCCCATAGCCGAATTCATGGCTAAATTTTTTGCCGATACTGGTATCCTGCCAGTCAGTATCATTTAAATGGATTGGGATCGCAGTCTCTAGGAAAATGTATTGGATATCACGCCATGTGAGCTCAGGACGGACGCTTAGCGCAAGCGCCACAACGCCCGCAACCAGCGGCCCAGCGGCGGAGGTTCCCCCATGCCTCGTTGAACATGAATCCACTCCGACATCGGTGGTGTGTATAGCTCCGTTAACGCCACTGCTATACGTTACCACGAGCATCGCGGAGCACGACTCAGAATAATATGGGTGATTGTCATCGCGATCGACAGCTCCCACTGTGACGCTGTATATGCTGTTCGTGTAGCCATCAAAGTTGCAGTTGTCTTCATGCAAAGCACCGTTACCGGCGGCAAACACATATATCGAGCCCCTTCCCGCCCGCCCTTTTTGGATTCCGTTGACAAATGCCCGCTGGATGAGTGTGCCAGGGCCTTCCATGGTCATACCATCGTCAACGGGGCCCCAGGAACATGAGTATATCTGGTTGTCTTGGTATTTGTAGTTGATTGCAGCGGCCTCGTCCTCATCCGACACGGGTTTAGATAGGATACGGATCCCCGAAACCCTACTATCGTAAGCCACTCCAACGCCACAGATATCATTCCGCACTGCTGCAATCTCTCCAGCGCATCGCGTGCCATGTTTATCATCGAATAGTCGGGGCTTAGGTATGGGCGACTTGTCGTTGTAGTCGTATGACCCATCCGCAAAGTAGTTGTCCTTCAGATCTTTGCTGTGCATATCTATTCCATCATCCACAATGGCCGAAATCGATTCCTTGCCCGTTATACCTTCCAGCCAGAGGCCTGTAACATTGAGATCGTTCCCCAATTGAACAGTATTATACAGGTGCCACTGATCAAGGAACATCGGGTCCGCGATCCCCAATTGAGATGCGATATGACTCAACTTTTCCGTAGCGTTAAAACCATCCTTAACTTCCCGGTCTTGTGGCCTCGACTGACGAGCCTTAATTTTTGCTGTCGCCGGTTGCGGTAGTGTTGGGGGTGGAGGCGTCCGTTTCACCATCGGAGGTCTTAAGTTCAACTTCTGTGACCAGAGTATCCCATCCAAAGCATCTGTTACCATCGATATTTTGCCGTTCGGCGGTACTGCATCTCGTTTTCTCCGCCTCCTGAGCTTCAAGATGTCTAATGTTTTGTCTAAATTCGAACCTAGAACACCTTTTGGGGCGGAAAATGTATGGTGGTCCACCAATTCACCGATTTGCCCCTCATGTGTGGCTCCTAGCAGCTGCGCAATCTGGATGGGGGAAACGGAAGGGTCAAGATGGAGAGCGAAGTAATCGTACGTATCATGATTTCGGGGTAATATGGATGCGCATGCGCTGTTCACGAATAATAAGGTAAGGGCACCGGCAGCACAAAGGAGCCTCATGCTGTGTATCTCAACTGTCTGTTGTCGCCGATGTTGAGGGAACACTATTCGGGGCAAAACCGGCCGGCCACCTTGTCCTCAGGGAAAATGTGAAAAAAGCGATGTGAAGTGCTGATTGCCATGAACCACTACACTGCAGGTCTAGCTCCAAGCAATCCTCGTCAGGAAGTCGGGAGGGCGTGCGCGGAAGCGTGGATGGAGGGATGGACGTGTGGAAATGAAAGCAGAAATAGAACTATGCCGGTGCCGGTGGCCCCAAGCATTCCTGAGCTAGTTAAGGGGACCCTACAATGGTCTTTTCCAAGGAAGTTAGCCGACTTACATCCCAACAAGAGGCCGGTGTAGACGAGTTCTTCGAATTGGGGAAGCACCCTCAAAAAACAGACGCAACGGCAAAACTGTGAAAAAATGAAGGGCAGTGAACAAGGAAAAGAGAGGAGTCACCAAACAGAGGAGGAAGTGAACAGGAAATATATGTTTGCCGGAAAAGTGGAAGTAGTTGAAGGGAAGATGCCAGAGTGTAAAGAAAAGATTGTCTGGGGCCGACCCATCCCACTTACAACTCAACTAAACAAATATACACAACATTTTCTTCAAAGCTCTGTGTATGCCAGTCATGACTATGATTTCTCCAGCATTCTTCGCCGCTGATGATACAGATAACTTGTATGAAAACAGGATTCTGACTTGTCCTTTATTCCAAAATAAAGAACAAATCGGCCCCGAGTCCATGGACCGAGGCGGAAGGAGGCCCACGTCACGTGATAAATTGACTTGACCATCTTTTCCATGGTTTTCCACCAGCTCAACAATTAAATTGTGATTCAATCATCATAGAAGTACCAGACCATATTGACAGGACTGGGCAATTCTCAAACATAGCTCTCCAGCCGGTGTGAGCACAGCCGACGCTTGAATGATACGATGTGAACGAGGCTGAGGCGTTGCCATCTTCTCGATGCATGGGGATGTCAACAGCAGAGGGACATGCAACTGCACCTGTTAACGCGTGCTGAGTACCACGTTGGCCACGCCTTTATATCTGAGCCATGCGTGGTGCAGCATTGCGAGGGGTTCATCGGAGGACTCAAGGCACAAACAGCTGCCAGTCAGTCTAGAATTCAGGGACTGAGGCCAGTGTTGAGGTCATCTGTATTCCGTAGTTACGCCTTACAATAAATATTGCCTGGTTGATCGATTCTAGAACTTCCGTCTCGAAATCCACAAGTATTTCTTATGCCAGGAAATTTAACATCTCTTCAATGGTTCATCCAATTCATTTCTCATCACCCATCAACCCTACCCCAACCATCTTTGTTCGTTGCAGAAAAGCTGAATGCCATTGTAATTCTCGTGTTGCCATGCCTGCTGGCGATTGGTGTCCTCACTCCAGCCACATCTTTCTTGCGCGAACGAAACAAAGATGGCTGGGGGTGGATCATTTTATTTCCCTGGACCTGGCTGCCATTCTTTCTCATTCCTGCTCCTGTGTCTGGGTTGCATATCTCTTTACCAAACGTGGTTCTGCCATTTTCTTGTGCTTCTTGGTTTATCGCGTTGCTTCCAGTGCAGTGAATCAATCATCGTTGTCAACAACCCCTCGCCAATTGTTTGCGACCAACACCCATCAACTAGAACTATTCAGAAGCCGCCAACAAACACCGCCATAGGGCTTAGCCAACTGGTATTCTCTTCGTGCTCTCTCTGGTTTTCTCCTTACCTGTTCCCGCCGCCCTCGTAGCCCCCTTTACGGCCTCTTTGCGATTTTGACTGGTTTTGACGTATGATGAATCGTCCGTTGTTTATTATCCTCGTTTGAGCGTGTTCTTTTATGCCTGGCCTTTGATTTTGTTGGCCTAGGTACCCCGAGCGGATGGCCTTGGGACCTTTCACCGTCGATCCTGTCAGACGCGAAACAAGCTTGGAGCCAGCTCGAAAAATGTGCGTTTACGGTTTGTTTTCATAAGATACGGTTCGCGGCGAGAGAGTTATTACTGAATACGCTTTTTTCCTGGCTTAGTGTATAAAAAGAAAGTAGCCCCGATTGGGTGCGCTCAGGCTGCTCTGGAATTGAGGCAAACTTTGGCCGGTGGTTTGGGAATTATTGCCTGAAAAATGGCGACCATTTCGTCATCTCGTAGGCAGTCAGTGCCTGCGCCTAGTCGACGACAAGTTTCTTATGTCAACCAGAAACCTATAAACGGTATGGAAAACAATGCTCCGTTTGCGAACAATCGATACCCTGTCAAACGGGCTACCTCGGACAGCTATGCCAATCATTCTCCCATCCTCCCTGCTGCCCCAGAGGTTCAGCGTCCCGCTCTTCCTTCATTCAGAAACTCCTTCAATTCGGGACCGTCGCGCAGGTTTGGAGAAGGGCCAAAACCATTCGCTGTGCGGGCTAAAGAATTACAAATTGAGGGGGCTTTGGATGGGCTAGATCGCCTTTCTCCAACAAACAGTGCTTCCTGGGTGGAATCCCAACGACAGCTAAATGAAGAAGCAGGGCCCCCAGAAGGCAGGTTGTCTCCGCATGTCGACCTGCAAAACGTGACTATCCGCAAGCCGAGGAATAATAGTAAACGGGCAAATCCTCCTGATGATCCCGTCCCGCCGCCTAAATCCAATTCGTCACTCTCACCTCATAGCGCAAGAAGCAATTCGCTGAATCAGAAAAGAGACGGGCATCTGCGGCGCGATTGGGCTCCTGAGAAGTCTCCATTACAGAAACTGGAATTCACGCTGAAAGATTTTAGCAAAGAAGAGAAACGTGCCAGGTTGGAGGAAGCTGAAATGCTGCTAAGGGACGCAAAGGCCGGTCGTCGAAGTCGCCAAACCAGCCGTGACATGACCCCACCTTCACAGTCAAGCATAGCGCTCAGACCGAAAAGCACCACGGATCCTTCAAATCTGGAGGAAACGGGCTTAGTCCGGAGTTTGAGTGCCAAGCAGCGTGATAGATTGCATCACAGCGCTGTCATAGATTCGACAAAGCCTGATGCCAATCGTTTCTCAAGGGACGGCCGGGGTGGCTTTGACTATGAAGAGAACCCGCTGTACGAGAACCGACAAAAGCCTCCAATCCAAGAGCAGGTCCTCGATGAACAGTATGATATTCCAAGAAATACGGGGCGACTGAAGGATTGGGAGCTTAGTGATACAACAACAACACAGGTTGCAGATCAAAGAATGAACGATGCGGCAACGTTACAAAAATCCCAGGTTCCATACAATCGCATCCCTGAAGACCATGAAGATGCAGACCTCTTCCACCAGGAAACAGACCTACCTCAGCCCTCAACCTCTGGAACTGTACAACGCAGCAATAGCCGCAAGTTACAGAAGCCTTTACCACGGAATCTCAATCCTCAATTGCAAGCGGACCCTGTCCAGAAAAGGAGAACGTTCCCGTCAGCTGCAGCATCATCATCAATTTCAGCTGCCCCAGCTATTCGGCCGGCTACCAGTCGCAGCACTTCATCAAATCTCAAGATAGAATCGGATAGGCTAGACTCTGGCAACAATAATATCAAAACTACTTCCAATATAGGGCTTGGACTGAGCAATGCGACACCTCCGCAAGCCTCTGTATCTGAAAATCAGAATCGGCCCGCTAGGAATGGCAGGGGTAAACACCAACACACAGTCTCTTTTGCTGTACCCCCCGCAACACCACCGCCGGTATCAGAGTGGAAGAATGCGGGCGTTGGGAGATTGCGTTTAGAAGATTTTGACCTTCGAGATGTCGACCTCAAAAAGCCTTGGTGGGAAGGTGGTGGGTCGGGGAAGAAAGTACAACAGGCGCTGCCATCGATGTCGAAAATCAAAAGTAAGCCAAATAGTTACTTCCTTGGATACTGTGCTATGCTATGTTGCTTTCTGTGAATACTAATCATGCCGCGTTCATTTTATAGGCAACACACAATTCAACCCACCCTTGTACCTAGAGTGCGGACCACTCCTCAGGTACACTGGGATGAAATGGGAGCCAACAGAAGGAATTAATGGATCTATCGAACAAGAGGTGTGGAAAGGTAGTATTATGATAGTCACCAAGGATTCTGCATCGGACTACAGCAAACCTCCATCGCTTCGAATTTTCTCTCAACCGATGAGCCTGCTTCCACCTCCACCAACGGAAATTAGCGGCGAGACTGGCGAACTTGCTCCAGAGTATGTGGATCCAATTGCTGGTCTCACCAAGCTTGGACGAAATGGCAAGTTACTATATGTGAAGCCCGTAGACCATCTTGAGGAGGGTAAGGACCTCTCTTTTATTGAGGACGACGACGGGCTCTTTGAAGCATCGCCTAGCCCAATCGACTACAACGAGAGCAATCAAGTTTGCCAACCCCCGAGTGCGCGAATCAAGGAGAAAGACGGGGAGTCAATAGGGAAATTCAGAGAAATCAAGGGTGCACGTCTCTACGCCGATCCCGCGAGGGACGTGACTTTCTGGCGATTCAACCTTGAGATTGAGCTGGGCGACAAGCAACAGAGGATTGGGTATCGGATCAACCAAGGCTCTGCGATTGGATTCTGGGTCCCTGCCAAGGGCCAATCCATGAACATCATGTTCCACAGCGGCAACGGGTTCAGCCCATCGGTCGATCGTGACAAATTCAGCGGCCCAGACCCGCTTTGGCGAGATGTTTTGAACACCCACCAAATACTTCCGTTCCATGTCATGATAGGTGGAGGCGATCAGATATACAACGATGCTGCACTATTTGACACAGAGCACTTCCGATGCTGGATGGCCCTACGCGTCCCATATGAAGAGCGATATCATCCGTTCAACCTTGACATAAAATCTGAGATGGAGAACTTTTACCTTCAACAGTATCTGAAATGGTTCTCGCATGGGCTGTTTAGCATGGCCAATTCCCAAATTCCCATGGTGAATATGTGGAATGACCATGATATTATCCCTGGTTATGGCTCTTATCCGGATAGACTGATGAGATCGCCGGTCATGTCTGGGGTGGGCGAGCTGGCGTTCAAATATTATCTGCTTTTCCAACACCAGAGCGTACCCGAAGAGACGGATTTAGATGAACCGAGCTGGCTGTTCGGTGCTACACCTGGTCCTTATATATGCCAGCGGAGCAGGAGTGTATTTATGAATATGGGCAGGCGAGTGGCATTTTTGGGGATTGACTGTCAAACTGAGCGAACGGTAATATTGCCTCCTGGACGTATTGAGTTATTTTTTTTTCTTAACTGACATCGGTTTATCTCAGAGAGACGGCGTGCTTATCGATGATTCCGCTGACCTCATACTCAATCGCTGCGATGACCAAATAGTGAAAGGAGAAACAAAACATTTGATCGTGGTTCTCAGCGTTCCTATTGCGTATCCACGCCTGGTATTGTTGCACTCCTTTCTTAACAAAATTATCATACTTCACTTAGATAGATCAATGCTAACGACAAGCATTGCTAGGCGTGGCTTGAGAATGTTTTCTCGAGTCGAGCGAGTTATCCTGTAAAAGCACTTGGGCGGGCGGGAATATTTGGAAACATCAGAGAGAGGTTTGATGTGGATACAGAAACGATTGATAGCCAATGGACCTCCAAAGCACATAAACTCGAGCGTAGCTGGCTGATCGAGGATCTCCAAAAACTCGCTGCAGATAAATCTGTGCGAATTACTATCCTAGGGTACGCCTGAGTTTTTCCAACATAAAACCTGGTCCGTGTCCAAAGACTAACACTCAGGCACAGAGGTGACGCTCAAGTCGCAGCGATCGGACAGTTCTACTCCAACCCCAAGCTACAAATCCCCAAAGATCAGGACTACAGATACATACCTAATGTGATATCTTCGTCGATTGTTAATGCACCCGCATCGGAAATGATGGTGGATGCTCTCAATAAACGAAACAAGATTCACTTTCTGGATACGAAAACGGTGGAGGACATGCGAGAAATATTTGCGTTTGATATTGATGGAAAGTCGCGAAACAACAAACGCCTCCTTCCCAGAAGGAACTGGTGTTCTATTCGAGAATATACTCCTGGTGAGTCTTCTAATGGAACTTGATGTAATTACTGTGAGTGAAATTCAATTCGTCTAATATAGCTTGTTTTCAGGGTCTACTCCACCACAGACACCTACGGAATCGGAACCTCCCAGCCTACTGGAGAACCGCCCTGGAAAGTTGATGAGGTCCCTATCCCTGTCTAGGGGCGATGGAAAATCTTCATCTCTGCTTCGGAAACTATCTCAGCGAGACGGACCGCCACCATCTCGCACCCTCTCGTTACGCGGATTCGAGAAACGCCGTATGAGCTATGACGGCTCCCCTTCTACCGCTACTCACGCAAGAGATAGTTACTTCCCACCGCAACCCCAAAGACCCATGACGGCGGGAAACCAACAGACCGACGACACAACACAACCACCACGACACCCAAATAATTTTCTCCGTCGTCGTACGGACCTATCGGCCAAGGAAATAAAAGAGGAAGCAAAGGGCGGAGCCTTCCGTTTGAAAAACTTCATAAATGTGGAAGGGGGCCTTGATATTACGTTGAACTGTGAGACGAACCCACGAGACCCGGCGGGAATCACGCATCCGTATCGAGTGCTCGTACCTGCGCTGCGGTTCGAGGGCGATTTTGAACCGAGTGAGCCGCGGGTGAAGAAGCATTGGTGGAAGATTAGTCGGGGGAGGAAGAAGGCTGAGCAGCAAAGTGATGTGGAACAAGTTGGGAGTGAAGCCCTCATCCAGCCAGTTGAAGATATGGGCCAAGGACAAAGTCATGGGCATGGTCAGAGCCATTCTGGCCAGAAGTACGAACAGGAGGGCCCCAACCACGTGGCACGACATCCTCTAAAGAATCACGATAATGATTATGATGATGGTTACGATGATAATGATGATTATGATGAAGAATACGATGATGAGGTCGGATTACCGCCATTACCGCAGCTGCCACCAGCGGGTGTCCAGTCAGTTTCTGCGCCATCTGGTGGCATGGCTACGCCTCAACCCAGAAAGAAATGGCTTGGAATCATTTAGTGTGTTTTTTTAAACGCTTTATTTTCTCTAAATCTATGTTTGCTATTGCTTGTTTTCTGTTGGCCTTTTTGCGATTTTTCTTCCAGTTTCTGCTTTCCTGCTAATGACGCAATATGCGTGGTTTTTAACCATGGTTCATATTGAACACGATTTGACAGGAGGATGGCGGTGATGCTCGGCCACTCGTCATATGTGAGGAATCAAGATGTTAAAAATTTATCGGAATCAAGTTGCCAAATCCCACTTAAGTTTCAACACGAGAATTATAAAGGGGTATGAGTTCATCACTTTTTGAACGTTCCGGTAGCCATCTAAAAATATTTGACAAGATAGAGCTTGGCGACCCTGTCACATTCTCTGAAACAAGCTGCGAAACGCTTCTCCACTGCGTTCACCTTATATGTATATGTATGTACATATGCAGTACGGAGTAATATATTCCTTTCCAGCTTAGTTTGGTCAAGAAACTCGTGAAACGCTGCATGTTCATCCGAATCTCTGTCTAGTTCATATGAAGCACAGATGGGAGTCTCTGACCGACGCTGGCCCTGATCATGATACCAAGTTAAATACTTGACGAACACCAGCTTTTGTATAAATATAATTCTTTTAAAGTTCTTAATTTGATATTTTAGTGATTTGAAAACCGTTTAAAAGGTATTACGACGCAGGTGATGGATGGGACTAGGAGTGATGTTTCGTTGGGTGAAACTCTTTTGCAAAGTAAATTCATCTGATAAGCCCATCAGATAGCTCAAGGGGACTGTCTTTTGTGGAAAGTACCCCGAATGATGTAGGTGTATTTTAGATGGGTTGCACGGAACTCAGCCTGGACCACGGCGGCAAGTGGGTCGGGCCATGCTAAACCTTATTATAATACGCTCTATCGCTCTTGGCTTGAAGGCGGAGTCAACAAACGGTTAAACGTGCCTCACAACCTGGGGAAAGAGTCTAGGCCCAATGCTCAAAAATATCTAACTAGGTAGGTTTGTTTACACATAATTCGGCTGATTGGTGTTCCATAGAACTGCACGTTCCTCCTGAATAGTATTGGACCTGGCGGGTGGCGAGTGGGGCGTGTGGTACCTCTCTATTTATATGAACACCTAACAAGTACCTCCCCATACGAAATTAGCATGGGTGGTACAAACTAGCTATAGTGTGGGCAGGTTCGTGAGCTAATGATATTTTTGCAAGCTTGTACTAGATAGTATAGTAACATCTTCATACAAAACATCTGTTGTGCGGGGAATCTATGGAGAGGATGCATTGAGTTTGAGGCCGTGCCCAATTTGGCCTTCCAAAAGTCCCTCGCCTCTTCGAAAAGGGAGGTATGGTTGCGGGTAAAAGTCAAGTAAAGGCCCTTGAATAAGTCCGGGTCGTTCCCATACTCTCGAATGGCGTGACGCCTGGTAACATGAAAAGCGTGCCCATGGAGGGTTCCCCGATGACGCACATGGATTGCCTTGCCTATTTTTTGCTCCCGTACTTCCCATAAATAACCCTTCATTCCCGAATTTCGAGAGGATATTGGATGAAATATACATATATATACATATATATATATATATATAAAGGATAGCTCTGTACTTGACTTAGCGATCACGGTAGAAAAGGGACGCACAAATCTAGACTGGATGTATGGAATTAATGAACCTGCCGTTCCATTCTTTTGATCAATTAATTGACTTGAACCGCCCCTATCCCCCTTGGTAAATGACCCACACTCGTTAAACCCTCACATACCTGAGGCTTCTGTTTTTAGCATCCTGATGCGAGAGAAGATGTAAACGGGTTAATCTCCAACATTCAAGATGAGGAATCATATGGCATCTGGGTGGTTCTACTCGCCCGCTCAGATAAAACGGTATTGCGCGTCGAGGATTTCGAGTCTCAAGCCGCCAGAGGTAAACCTTTCATCACGAATTTCTTTTATAGCCTCTCCACATATCGGTATGAGCACAGAATGCCATGCTAAGGCTAACATCTCCCCGCTTCCGTAGACCAAGTTGAGAAACCCATATCATATCATTCGCGAGCTAAACCGGCAACAATGGCTGTTTTTCTCAGCTGGGTTTTTCTCATGGACTTGGGCTGGTGTCGACTTTTTCGTGGTTTCCTTATGTGTCACGGAGATTGCGCAGGCATTTCAGGTCAATGACTCTGATGTTTCGTGGGTTAGTAAGGAAGCCCTGTGTGATAAAATAAAAACGAAAAGAAAACCCGAAAACCCACACACCTTCGTGTTTTGGCAATTTTCATCATTATTCTCACATTTTTTTCGGGCGATAGGCGATCACGGTAACGCTGATGCTTCGCCCTGCGGGGGCGTTCATCTCTGGAGTCTGCGCAGACCGCTATGGAAGGAAATGGCCGACAATCGTCAACCTGGTTCTGTTCGTGGTTCTGGAGTTGGCTGGCGGGTTCGCTATTAATATGCGGCAGTTCCTGGCCATCCGGGCCTTATACGGCATTGCCATGGGAGGTAAATATATAAGAGAAACCTCCCTGCAGGTTTGGCGAATATTTCGAAACCATCGCGTTTAACCACTAACTTTTCACATTTCTCACTGCTAGGCATATTCGGATCAGCTGCCGCGACAGCTCTTGAGGACCTCCCGTATGAAGCGAGAGGTATAATGTCCGGATTATTCCAACAGGGATACGCGTTGGGATATTTGATTTCCGCAACTTTGTACAGTGCATTTGTGCCTACTACACCCCACGGCTGGAGAAGCTTGTTCTGGGCCTCCGCAGGGCCGCCCGTCGTCCTCATCATCTTTCGCTGGTATCTGGCAGAAACCAACCATTTCATAGCCATGAAAGCTGAGCAAGAGGCGATGGCGAGCGCCGAATCTTCATCGGAGGGAGTCAACAAGGGCAGCCATTCAGGTCTGCGCACGTTCTTCGGTGACGGGACACGCGCATTTCAGGAAAACTGGGTGCTCTTCCTGTACATGGTCCTGATCACGTCAGCGTTCAATTTCTGCTCCCACGGTAGCCAGGACCTCTACCCGACCTTCCTTAAGGAACAGGTAGGTACGTCACCGGCGGCCACCACAACGATCACCGTGGTGGGTCAAATCGGCTCTATTATTGGGGGCGCCACCATGGGCTATTTGAGCACCCCTTATGGCCGGCGCCTTGTCATGATCATAAGCTGTATCTGTGGTGGTGTGTTGGTTCCCGCATACGTATATACGCGCTCTAATGCACTCATTATCTCTGCGTTTTTGGAGCAATTCTTCGTTGGCGGTGTCTGGGGTCCTATTCCCATTCACCTTTCAGAGCTAACACCACCAGCTCTCCGTGGCTTGATGGTCGGTTTTACTTATCAGTTGGGCAACATGGTGTCGTCCGCGTCCGCCACTATCCAGTCGGTCCTTGGAGAGAAATTCCCACTACCAGACAGCGAAACTGGAGAGAAGAGGTTCGATTACGGGAAGGTTTTTGTCATATTCATGGCCGTTACTTGGGCGTATATGTGCCTTGGGATGCTTTTAGGTCCTGAGATAAGCCGGGAAGAACGCGATGAGGAGGCGCAGGCCGCAATGCAGCTGTACCAACTACAACGCCAGGGGCTGAATCCAGAGGAGGTTGGGCAGGTGAGGGCCAGGCTTCGGAAAGCGGAGGAGGGACACAGTCAGGAGGTGAAGAGCGGAGAGATAGGCAAGACGGCATACACCACAACGAAGCAAGTGGCTGGATCCATTGCAGAGAGAGTATAGAACGGGTATGGGGTTTGTTATATTATAGACCGGTGGTTTACTCAGACATTCGATTTCCGTGCATGATGCAAAACAGCATATGGGTTTGGGAATATAAATTTCTTTTTTGCTGGTTGATCGGGGATTTGTTGATTTGTTAGAGAGAGTTGGCGGATAAAAGTGCTTTTTGACTTAAAAGGCTAGAATTAGTCAATAAACTATTTAGATACTTTGCCGAACCAAGAGTATTGAGCAGCACACAGGTAGTCCCTGCGGGGCCAATCGCTATAACAAAATGTAGACCAGCGATTGGAGTGTGATATCTTTGTGTTTGGAATTTGATTTCTTCGTTTCGTTTCACTTTACTCTTTCTTCGTCGTCGCTATATCGATCCTGCTCAGCACCCCACATTTCTAGGACTTGGAAATTCCTCTTTGGATAGTTACAATTGCCCCGGGATGATGTCATGCATAAGGTGGTCAGGATCTATTAGAAGTAGGCCACGATAACAGTCAACATTTCCCCAGTTCACTAAACCCCAACTCTCAAACTTGCTCTCCCTTAGCGTTATTTGCAACCGTTTTTGTAACGCTTCCTTACCTCACAAACCTCAGAACGCTCGATGGGTGAGCAGAATCTTTGCCATCTTCCTCTAGACGAGCCTCTGGTTGCCGCTGTCTCTCAACTCCTCGACTCAGTTGGCGTGGCCAATGTTCTCTGGGGGAACTACCTGCTTACAGTCTACGGAATACCCTCCTTGACCAATGTATGTCCAAAAATGCTACCACTCCCGGCTGTTGGTGAACAAAAGCTAACATGCTTTCAAGGACGCTTCGTTCGCAGTCCCTGATGATATGCTTCTGCGGGCCCAGAAAACCCTTCAGAACGCAGGTCTACATCTTTGCTCAGATCTAGATTGTACCGTCGTGAAACTTCGATCTCGACCTCCTCCTACCAACCACTTTCATCTTGAAACCGAGGCCGTCCATGTATATCTATACCCGCAGTCCCAGGTTTTGCCAAATATATCTGATCTACAGAATGCCGAAGAGCAAGGCCAAATCATCTCAGCGTCAGATGCCAGTCTCCCCAGATGGCAAATGGGATACGGAAAGGGTGCATTTGCCGCGGAATTTAGCTGCGTTCGCGTCCCCTCCGCCACTTGCTTCGTTGAGGCCTCTCTTCTTAATTTCGTGCGACAAGCTCGTAAGAAGGATTATGGGTCCGCCCTAGACATGCATTACCTAGGCTGCGCAACGTATATGATAGAGTACGCCTATCCCGGCGGTTATCTTGACCTGGATAGCCTCCAGCCAGTTTTCCGAGCGTTCCTGGTGGATGGGTTTCTCAATCATAATAGTAGTGCTTTGTTTGCCACTGCCAGAGAGCGGTTAATGGCATCTGAAATTAAATAGGTCGGGGATATATATAAATGCATACCCTTTACACATCTCCTTTTGTAAATGTTTGAAGCAGAGGACAAAAGCAGCTAGATGTAAAGTTAGAAACCGAAGATAGAGATAGCCAAAACACTAGTTGTGCGCTTTGTAGATTTTAAATATTAACCACGATATCGGATCATTTCTCTCTCGTTCCTCTGTTAGCAGCGATGATGGTCCAGCATTGCCTCTTTCAGAACTATATCCAAAAATTATCACTCGCTTTGAATCACCTATTGGGAGTAGTAACCATATTTCCAAAGCCACCTTGACACTCTTGACGAGAAATGTCACGAAGAGGCAGCACTTGTTCGGGACCATCTCAAGAGTATCTTGTCGGTGGTGGAGGATTCTGGACAATGCCGGCAAGCCGATCTACAGTTTCAGAGATGGAAGATTCTTTCAGAGTATGCCATCTGATCTGATTGACTAACATTCGTGTAGATCACTTGTGGAAACAAGGGCACGAGATGAGGCGTTATGCCAGGCCCTGTCTGTTGTAGTTAATCAACAGAATAGTTACCCATGCTGTACGGAAACACAAAAGGCAGCCCGACAGCCACCCAAAGTACAGAAAGTAAAAATCCACATGTTGAATAATCACGTCGCTGAAAAAACATAGATAACTAATCGAACTCATTCTCCCATTATTTATTCCGCGATAAGGTCTCTTCTTTTTCTGACAATCTCTCTTCTCTCTTTGTTGCTAACACAGATCCCTCTCTTAGAATCATCGCCGAACTGACTGACCTCGTTTCTCATAATCTGTTGAGTTTCCACCTCCAAACCCCACCCCCAGAAAACAACAAGAAAGGAACAAGCTACTGTGCGAATACTACCATAAAGCCTCAACAGTAACCCCTCTCAGCCAGTTTACACAATCAAATCAAGCTGTTTTCCTCAATTTTCCGCCGCGCTCCCCCTTTTCCCCTCCGATCCTCTGTCGGAGTCTCTGTTGCTGTTGCGGCCTCGTTCCAGAACAGACCATCCCCCTCTGGCACTGCTCTCTCTTTTACCCCGACGACGCCATTGAGCGCCAGAAACGCGTCCCACATCTCGTCTAGGATGGCGCACTCGAAAGTCGTCAGTGAGTACTTAAATTCTTTCAAGTCCCTGGATACCAAGTGCCAGAACTCCCTCTCCCTCCTCGAGTTTACATCTAACCATGAAGCGGGCAAATTAAAAAGTCATCGGCTCCGGCCCCGCTGCCCACACGGCAGCCATCTATCTCTCACGCGCTGAATTAAAACCGATTCTGTACGAAGGAATGATGGCCAACAACACGGCTCCCGGCGGACAACTCACCACTACCACGGACGTCGAGAACTTCCCTGGCTTTCCCAATGGAATCAGCGGCTCCGAGCTCATGGACAGCATGCGTGCCCAATCCATCCGTTTTGGCACGGATATCATCACTGAAACTGTTTCGCGCATTGACCTGTCCTCGCGCCCCTTCAAGCTATGGAAAGAATATGCTGATGGGCCTAACGATGCGCCCGCACACACCACTGATGCGATTATCATTGCCACGGGCGCTAATGCTCGCCGTCTCGATTTGCCCGGTGAGGAGCGGTATTGGCAAAATGGTATCAGTGCGTGCGCAGTGTGTGACGGAGCTGTGCCTATTTTCCGCAACAAGCCATTGTTCGTGATTGGCGGCGGGGATTCGGCTGCGGAGGAAGCCATGTTTCTTACGAAGTATGGGAGTAAGGTGACCGTGTTGGTGCGAAAGGATAAATTGCGCGCCAGCAAGACTATGGCGAAGAGGTTGTTGGCAAACCCCAAGGTTGAGGTGAAGTTTAACACCGTTGCGCTCGAAGTCCTGGGCGACCCTGCGCCACGCGGACTCATGACACATTTGAAGATTAAGGACGTGGTCTCCGGAGCCGAGGAGGTAGTGCCCGCCAATGGACTCTTTTACGCCGTAGGACACGACCCTGCGACGGCACTGGTTAAGGGACAGATAGAGACGGATTCGGAGGGCTATATTGTTACAAAGCCCGGAACGAGTTATACGAGTGTCCCTGGCGTATTTGCTGCGGGCGATGTGCAAGATAAGAGATATAGGCAGGCGATTACAAGTGCGGGTATGTATTGTCCTTGTTATATGTACTCATTTTTTTTGTATTTTTTTTTTTAAAAAAAAATGCCCCTTGTATTCTTGCTTTACCATGGGCAGCTGGGCTAATGATCTATTTACGATTGATATAGGATCTGGCTGTATCGCTGCGCTTGAAGCTGAAAAGTTCTTAGCGGAGTCCGAAGGGGGTGACGAACCTCCTCTCGTTACCTCGACTCTCGAACAATCGACAATTCAAGGAAGGCAAGGTGCTCCATCATTGGAGTATTCGTCGAATCCTCTGCTTTGAGAAGATAGATGTGTAACATGGGGACTTTCATAGGGTTTGGTTTCTAGGTTGGACGTGAGAAATCCCTGGAGGGAGGGATTTTATTGTTGCGTTGGAACAAGTGACCAGAAATAAAAGCGTTTTTTTTTTTTTTTTTTTTTTTTTTTTGTGTGTTGGATTATATATCCCATCTTATATATGTATTGAATGGATGTTTTGGGTTAGACAGCAAATCATAGACATATAGCTGTTCAAATGACACACTACAATTCATGGATTTATTGAGTGAGAAGATGATGTGAACAAATTCACATGATAAAATTCAGTCATGGATGCTCATGGCCATTAACTTGCTTCATGCTAATAACTGTGTATGAGCATTTCATTGGTTGTTTCCACAACCGCTGCCTACTGAGAGACGGAAGGAGGGAAAGCAGAGAAAACCAATGTACATACAGTACATACGAGTAAAATGCATACAATACAAATGAATAAAAAATCAGAAGTGAAACTATAGGGAAAATTAACATAAGAAGCGATGCGCCATGAAATGACTTTGCCTCCCATATAAACATCCATGAAGGAGGAATTCTCTTAAAAGACGGTAGCATAGCCACTGAACCATGCTCCCACCCCACGAGGGACACCTAACTCTTTATATTCGAATACAACCAGTATTGCGACTGGAAACTTGAGAGAAAGGTAGAGGACGAATGGAGGAATGGTACCTGTAACCTGCAACGTTTGAAGATAAAAGGAGGGAATCAAACCTCCCAATAGACTCACTTAATTCACGCAACCTTCCTCCCCAGTTCGAGTCCACAGCTTCTTCTAATCCTAGCCCTCAATACTTTCTAAATACTTCTTCGTAGCTTCAATTTTAAACGCATCAAACGGATTTGCCGCACACCACCGATCTTTCACTTCATACGTCTTCCGCTCCCATTCAATGATCCTCTCCTTCCATTTTTCCAATGACTCGTCATTTTCAAAACGGTGTACCGCGATTTGGTCAAGGTATGGTTGCCGGATATTTTCAGGAGCATCGCGCCACATCTGGCCCAGGGCCTGGCGGATCTCGTCCCGGGGCGCTTTGGCATTGATATTACCTGTGCTGGCGCGACGGGCATCATCGCATTTCGTCTTACAGATGTGCCAGTAATCCTTTTGGTATAGTAGGAATGGATTGAGTGGTTTCTTTGCTGGTCGCGGTTCAGCGGGGCCGAGTTCGCCAATAATTGCTTCCCACATTGCTTTATCGTAGGCTTCGCGAAGGGAGGATGCGGAGGGAAAGGAGTTGTTTGATCGGGGTGTAGCAGCAGTTTTCCCGGGGGATTTTTGAGTTTCGGTCGTCAGTGGTGCCTTTCGTTTCCGTCTGTTGGCCGGAGTACGATTGTGAATGGTGCCATTCACGGTTGCGATAGACATCGTGTTGGCTGCCTTGCTCCTGGTGGGAACAAGAGGTTTGTGGAAAGTGATTGGGCCAATAATGGACTCGAGTATTTCGGATGCGGCACGAATCCCAGAGAGGTATGCTCCATGCACTGTAGCTGGATGCGTGCCACAGGTAGCTTCACCAGCGAAATACAGATTCCCAATTGGTTTGGCCATAAGGTCATAATCTCCAGGCAGTGCCTCTGTACCAACGTAGGAATAACTGCCATTGGCAAACTTGTCCTGACCCCAGCGTGTGATAATGGTTTCTAGAGGATCAGGTACGGCAATATGTTTGAAAATGTTGCGAAGCTGGGATGTAACTTCGCTGAGGATTTCAGAGTCGGTCATTCTCTCGGCTTGGTGTGCAGCATCACCGGCCATAAGGGCAATCAATACTGGGAGCCCAGCAGTTTTGATACAGTTCCAGAATAAATAAAATCTGCCACGGTTTTGGCTGTAGTCCGATTGAGATAAACTGTTTTTTGTTGTAGGTTCCCTAAGCAGACCAAACATATCCCTTTCACAATCCCAAAACGGTTTCTCGAAAACGAGAATAACCTTATTCATAGTTCCAAAACCAAGTCTGTTAACAGGGCCTGTCTTCCATTCTGGGAGAGGGGGCTCGAATTTGATAGATCCCTTTTTGAGTACACCTAGAGGAGCGGTGATAACGATTTTATCTGCCTGGATAATTTCGCCATTTTCACAATGGACGGAAGTTTTATTACTGGACGACCCTCGTGGGTCATAGGATATCTTTGTCACAGTCTTGTTGGTTCGAACATCCAGTTTATCTGGAAAGGACCAAAGTCCCCGCGGTACTTGTTGGTACCCTCCCACCACCTGAGCATGCTCCCCTTCAAACTCATTGCCCATGTCCTGATCCCAACCAGATAAACTGAGCTTCCCCACGTTCGCAGCATTCGCATATTCTAGATTCGCAAAATGCCAGTTTAACAATCTCATATCCTTGGGTCCCAACGGTAACAGTTTTTGATATTGCCTTATTCCATCGTCCATAACTGTGCCCAGTGATTGGGTCTTAGATTTACTCGCAATCCGATCTAAGGATATGGAGTCGCGGCTAGTAACTCCATTTCTTAACTTCCACCCCATTGCTTGGCATGCAATGGCTGCTGAATGATTATTGGTTGCCCCGAGATCAGAGAGCGGAAAACCTGCAGACGTTCTGACATTTGCAGTTTTGTGGCTGACACCCCTTCGAACACGCTTAGAGGGCAATAGCATTCCTATAGTCCCTGAGGCCGCAGCTTCTTCATATTGTCTAATTGTGAGCCCGTCGTCGGCAGACGAGTCACGGCCGGAATCGATCAGCTCCCTGTCACCTTCCGCAACAGGAGTAACAACTGGCTTATGACGGTAAGCTCCAGAGCGGTCAAGAATATCGTTGTAAAGTTTCTCTACCATCGCGTCTCTAAGCTCATCGACGGGCGTACCGTCAATATCGTAAATCGTTGAGATATCTCTTAGTAGATGGTATCGGAGAGCCAGTTGAGCGCGAATGATTGGATCAAGCGGGTTTCCATGATCGAAGCCTACAATGATCTGTGCTCCCATTTCAGCCGTAGGTCGTAAACCTGGTGATAATTGACTTGATTGTAGGGATTCTAGTGGATGAGAGTATACGCGACCACCTATCCTCTTTCGACCTTCCAGCAATATCACTTTTGGCGGAGTGGTTGTGTCCGGGTATTGGTCAAAAAGTCCCTGTAATTGTCTGGCACAACCTAGGCCAGCCATGCCTGCCCCTATTATAACTACCGTTGGCCCATCTTTCCTCCGGCCTTTTTTCGGGGCTATTGGTGCTCTCGGAATATGGACACACCCAAAGTTGATATACGCATTACGAACGAGCCAGTCGTACGCAAAAGACGCTAGATTCATCCACCGAAAGTCCTTTGCACAGCCAAGTGCTTCTTCTCGAGTAACGCTGACCATTGGGTTTCTTGTCCACAGCCGAAGGATTCCATTCCGGATATTAAGATACACTGTAACATGGAGGTGACAAAGGTCATCCTGCAGCAGGGCCTGTTCACCTTTGTGCAGCGCGTAGGGATTGAGTCGCGAGGCATGAGCTGCAGCAACACATTGCTGGGCATACGTGGATGCCGAAAGTCGCGAGGGGATCGATGACCTGGGTCTAGAGTTACAATAGTCTGGGCCCCCATCTGCAGATTGACTTTTTGTTGTAACTTCGGGGCCCAAGTTGTCGTTCATTTGTGTGCCGGGGGAGGTAGATCTAGGAGGAGGTAACGGAAAGCTGAGAGACGCTGAGGTCATCGACCCATTCGGCGTCTCACGATGACTGTCGGTGAAAGTATCTCGCTCCCGTGACAAGCGATCCAAACCTTGGGAATCATCCTCTAGAGAATCCGTAGATGAGGAAAGTTGTGAGTCTTTCGAAAACAAACCAATTCCCGTATCATATTGGGTTTTCTGTAGAGGTAATTTGTTATCGGGGTTTGGTATCTGTAGTTCCGCTGTGTGCAGCGTTTCAAGGGTGACCTCTGCGATGTCATCGTTTACAATGGATGTATGGGCATGAGGTCCAATATCATGTTGGATATCTATCATCTTCTTCAATGAATCTTCTTCACAAATGGTGATCTTGGTGGTTAGTTCTGCTAGGTCATGAGGTTGAGTGAGCAAGTTACCAGCAATTCCGAACATGGCGAAATTAGAGTATGAGGTCAAAGATAAGTCGATTCATCCCCTCGGTAGCAACAAAGGCAAACACGGCCCGAACAAACTCCAATATTGAAGTCTACCGAATGGCGTTGGCTATGTTCCTCATTATACTGACGGATATCATATGTCAACAACTTTTGCCATCCTCACTATGATATAGGGTGGACGGTCGCCTATCAGGGATCGACTTTAGATGTGGGTGTCGGAACCGATGGATCATCCAATATCTTCCAGGCCCTAGAATGTACAGTCAGATAATGTTCTTGCTAATTTATATCATGGGGTTGATACATAGACATGCGAGATAGGAATAAAGAAGGGGGAGTGATATGACACGGGGAGAATATAATTCAGATAATAGATTTACTTGCCCTTGAGTTGAGAGTCCAGACACATAGAAGTGTGAAAGGGGAGACTGTAGCCTCCGTCAATGGATATAATGGGCCATGTTAGACATCTATGTGGTGTTTGTTTGTCAATATCTTCTATAAGAGTCGGACATAGTATATATATATATATATGTATCGAGAGTTCCAGTTGAGGTTGCACTCCCTCGGATGTATCCAAGTCATGTGTCTCGCTTCTTGCTCTGTTTCCACGACCGATTTGCTGCGTACTTCTGAGACCAAGCCACAGCAATCTATATTTCCACACACTTCGGTGTCTATCTCTAAATTTTCAGGGATTTTCATATTTTTGTTCGACAGATCAATGCTGAGGGGCAAACCACGAAGAATTGAAGGCATTTGTTATGACTTTTTTATGCCCTGACATTGCAATCTGGTCTCAAACTTTTATAAATATCCCCTATATCAGTTATGGCATATTCCCCTTGTCGCAAGCTCTTAAAACCTGAAAAATATTCGATATTTAACTGACCAACCCTAGCTTAGATGCAAGTCGGAGCGTATAGCCTTCATCAAGAGATATGTCGCATCTCACCGAGCCTAGCATTAATTTACAACTAACCGCACAACTCGCTGGAGGTATGGAGCAAATACTGGACGCGAAATCCCAATCCCACGGTGAAAATTATCATCTGCGCCTCTGTTGAGTAAAGGTCTGCAATCTTCCCATGTTCATGGGTTGCAGCTCTGTGAAAGATGGCGAACAACCACATCTAAACAATGGCTTGTGCTCCATTAATCGTTACATGTCCCTCTATTGTCCTATTTCATGGTATCCCCGAAGTCTAGAATAGAGGAAAGTGATGCAAATGCACGAATGGGCCCAACCACTCAACCACCATATATTCAAATTTGAATCATTGGCGAAGCCAAATATCGGCCCTCGGATGAAAATATTGCGAATACCACAATGTATTGTACAAGTCTCAACCAGGTCAGACATCCTCAGCCAACTTTAGAGGGCGCCAGAGAATTGGAAGGCTCTAGCAGGCTTCGATCGCAGCCTTGACATCTGTCGCTATCCTGTTGAATTTCCTAGTCGGGAAAAGTCGTCATGCTACATGAGCCCAGCAAGTATGAGGCAAACAGATTCTCTGCAGCCCATGGCTACCTTCGTTTAGCGTCTCCTGTCCGCCCAGTTTTCTGCAAGAGGACCCGACTTCGGACTAGCGAACTCTCACAGAGGACCCAAAATGTCTCTTATTCCATAGCTCTGTCTGTTGTTGCATTTCTTCATGCTTATGACTTCCACTGTCGATTTCACTAGCAGAGCTGTTTTCATGAGCCAGTGATTTTCTGAGTGAGGACTTCTTGCAAAATCCAGAGTACCCTACATGCTTTGAAGCATGTATCTGGTTTCTTCTGTTGAGCAGAAGCTCACCCGGCTTTTTAAGGTTCGCAACCTGAGGGATATCGAGTCATCAACACTGTCTGCAAATAAATAATAAATAAAAAGGTTAGCGATTGTTGATTGTTATTAGACAACAGAATGAGCTGTCATTGCTGTCCTGTTCCTACTCCTAAGAAAAAGTGATATCAAGGGAAAGACCGAGAAAAGCCAATCAGTGAGAGGAACAGAAGTATGAGATTGGAAAGGAAAAGCCAAGTGTATAGCGTGACATTGCGTAAAAGAAAACCCTATGAAGTCTGAGCATTCTCACATTTCTTTCAAGCTGATTACCTGACAATCATTCACAAAACACCAACTCACTCATAGTACAAGTTTCCTTTTGAACAGAGACTTTATATTGAGCAACGTTCTTGCATTTCATTGAAGATTGAAGCTGCAAGGAAAATAACTTGAACACTGTCAAGGGTGTGGAGGTACTTGAGTCATATCTCAATGGACTCTCTGTCAGCCTGAACCTCAATTCCCGAGACATCTAGCCCATATGATGAAACGGAAGGTATTTTTTGATCTTCTATTCTTTCACTAAGAAAAGTGTGTATATCTAAAAATACAACATGTAAATGAGCTAATTCATGATCATACAAAACATGTCTTAACAAGATATGATATGATATATACCAAAGGCCAAGCCTTGCGACCAAAAACCATAAAACGCAGAGCAGAGCAGCACAATGAACCTTTTAAAGGAAAACGGGCAATGATAAAGGATAATTTAAAAGCAAAAGCCAAATTTGATCCACAAAAAGAAAAAGAAAACGAAAAGAAAAAAGAAGAAAAAAGGTAACAGAGGCAGTCCGCAACACGAACCTGATTGAAAACAGAATCTATTTGGACTCTATATGTCGATGCAAACTAAACGTCTCAGTAGCATCAGCCGTCCCATCCCCATCCCCATCATCAAAAACATCAGAATCATTATCCGTAAAATCATCATGATATCCGATCGGATCAATGGCAACGTGGTCATCATCAATGTCCGCGTCCAGATCATAACCGTGCGCAACACCATCGCGTCGGAAGCCAATGCGAGATTCCTCGTCAAGCGCCTGGGCAGCCGCGGTTTCTTCCGAATCATCTGAGAAGATACCTGGCGATTGGGGCTGGTGCGCATCATTGGCCACGAGTCGTCGGGTATTATTGTTAGCGCGCTCTTCGGCTTCGAGCTCCTTGGAGCGCGCGAGGGTACTATTTGGAAGTTCGTTTAATATGCGTGTTGTTTAATTTACCGTGGAGATGGATATGATGTGAATTTTTTCGGTGTAAAAATTGGAACGTCACAAATTAAAAGCAATTAAAAAAATAAAAATAAAAATGGAGGCAGAATTAGGGCGGTGTTATTAACTAGGGATATGAAGCCGAGTGTGTGGATTTTACATACTTTCTATATATATACCACCCAGTAAAGATACCTACAACCATGCTGACCAAGATGCTGATAATGTTGATGGCTTTCGAGCCAGCGCTCATCGTCTCGCCGTTTTGCGCTAGAATGCGCAGTCTGCTGCCGATGAAGGTCGGGACCAACAGTTTTGGAGATATGATAGTAGTAGCAAGGCCGTACATGAGGGGATGCACTGTGGGGAAAGTCGATATGGCCCCATTACATATTGAATATGGCAATGGGCAAAGTCTGATCATACAAAGTAATTTTAAGCCATCGTATTTTAGAGTCAGTGCGAGGGCAGCAAAGCGTTTATCATGTTCCATTAATCGATGGACGAAGGACGAGAGGAGCGTTCGAGAGACAATGAAGGAACAAGTCGAGCCAAGGACAGTTCCAATACCGTATATGAGCCATCTAAGGGCAAAGTATCAGTGTCAACACCAATTTTATACGTAAACAGAGGGGTGATATTTTTCCACACGTTAAGACTATCACCACTCTGTAGGAAGCAAGACATACCCTTTCCAAACACCAAATATAAACCCGGCTATAGTTCCGATGGTCGACCATCCAAGAAGGGGAGGAAAAGAAACGGTAAACGTGCATAACATCAGGACGAAATATGCAAGCTTGGAGTTCTCCCAATCCTCGGCAACAGGCTCCAGCCATTTAAATATATGACCTGTCAGAATCATAAATCCCAGCCCCAATGCAATGACCACAACAGCTGCCAACACGGAGCCGACTTTCTGCAGAAGAGTCATCCTCTGGAAAGTGGAAGAGACACGCTGGTAGGAATGATTTATGTTGTTTATAGCTCTATCGCGCAGGGAGTTTGGTGGGGCCGCGAAGAGTGAGGAGCTCCTTCTGCTGGAAGAGCGGAAGAGACTTGAGCGAGGTCGGCTCCATGGCGGGTGGATTGATTCAAAGGTGGGAGAGAGGGATTCATCCGGGTGTGTTAGCAGGGGAGGTGAGAGATCGTTTGTAGTTGGAGAGAGGTCTGTATGCATCTCTCATAGACCCGGCGAGAGGCGGGTTCCGAAGAAAATGGATGTGGTGAGGCGAAGTTTACTCATCCGCGGATAACTGAGAGATGAATTTGTTCGCGTGGCATATAGCCCTTTGGAGATGCGTTGCACCGTTCGTGGGAAAGTCGCCTGAATATATCACCGGAAAGCAGAGCGCGACAACGATGACGGTTCACGATGGGCTGAGCAGGCTACCAAATATTTTAGCCGGCGTCAGAACACGCGGCGCTGGCGGCTAAATGAGCAACGATGAAACACGCAGACAGACCAGACAGACAGACGAGAATTCAACAAAACTTGCAAAACGACAAAGCCACTGGCAATAGTGATAGATTATTTCAGGTTCGGGCATTACGTATTGGGGGATTTAACAGAAGTAGAAGGAGAAGAAGAAGAAGCAGAACCCTTGTCCGCCGGGTTTTGTTTCGAGATCCTGGGACGCTTGATTACAGAGTAACTACTGTTTGAACAGCCAGGTTCCCCATAGCTAGCTAGCAGTTACTGGAAAAGTGCACCCAGGCTCCACGTATATATGCACCCCTTCCAAGGTCTCGATTATGGATGGCATCAGAAGGAAGCATTCTTAGACACCTGTGGTGCTGTAGATCCGCATCCGTCAATGAGCTTATTTATCGATGTCACGTTCGCGAAGTCAATGTCAGTGTCAGCCTCATTGGCCCTTTCGAACTTCTTAAGGCCACGCTCCAACTTCCCAACTCCAACCACCAAAACATACAACATACGCTACCACCACTTCTCTTCTCCATCTCTCCCGGCTGGCCTGTAATGCTGCTCTATACAGGCTTGTAGATATATACTGCATGCTGCTTGCTTCTGCTTCTTCTACTCTCTTTGATGTCCAGCTCCTTCTGCCATCTTTCTGGGCGCCATGACTGCCATGTAATCACGCCTCTTCAGTGCACTCATCCTCCACCAGCTACCACCACCACCCCGAGTTTCTGCGTCACCACCATCTGGGGCCCTTCGCACTGAAATCATGCCCCATCTTCGATCTTGCTGACAGATCTTGTCACTTTCTTAATCGTTGTGGCATCCTTCACCCCTGTCCTTCGCACCTGCGCTACCTCTCCAGAAGTGAGCCCCTCCTCGCTCCAGACTATCAACCTTGCGGCCGCGCAACGATGGTCCCTGAAGAAATCTACGAAATATGTCTGCCGATTCTCGAGGATGGCTCCACCGGAGAGGAAGAAAAGGCCGAAAAGCTTGAACTCCTCCTTCGGGAGAAGGTCTCCTTGTTAGGCAGCTCATTGGAGAATGCGATATTGGATGTGCTGTGGCGTCATCGTAGCTCCACCAAGCCTGACTCCTCACCCCCCCTCCGCCATACGGTTATTCGCCGCGCTTCACCCGCCCCTTGGCAGATCCCACGTGCCTCCACTCCTCTCTCCCCTCCATCCAACTCGGGAACGAGCCCCGCTGCTCCGCCCGGGTTCCCTGTCCCGCGAGGAGGCTTTCCTCGCGCACCCCGGTCCCTAACCGCATCTCCTTTTACATCACCTCGCCCATCCCCACGCCTTGCCCTGGCACATCCTATCCCCCACAGCCCAAGCCTTAGCGCCTACGAATTTTCCGATCAAACTTCCGCTCCTGAAATATACGGCGACCTCGGTAGCGATAATGTGGACTGGCTAGTAAATGACGATGCAAGGAGTGTGACTCCCTCGATAGGCCTAAGCGGGGCTGCTCCAGAGTGGGCTGCGCCACCTGATATGAGCCCCTACGACATTCTGAGATCCGTTCTCGGGAATCGCAGAACAAATGAAGACATTGAACAAGCTCTAGAGGCAAATGGATATGATCTGGGAGCTACAATTGCTGTCCTCGCGAATCAAGAGGAGGAAAATGCGGTTGCTCCCACCAACGAGGCTCGAATTTTAGTGGGGAAATCCATGGCAATGGACCAAATGCGCCCCGTCACGCCGTCTACCCAAACACGAAGTCCCGTGGTCTGCAAGTACTGGTTGTCGACTGGACAGTGCCTCAGGGCTGACTGCCGGTTCAGTCATGATTTGACTGGCCACATTTGCAAGTAAGTTTTCGCCCAGCACTGAATAACGTGAGATTTGCTAATACGATGATAGGTACTGGTTGCAGGGCAGCTGTCTTGCTGGTGATGGTTGCCCCTTTTCTCATGACCCTTCAACCCTGGTTGGAGCACTGACGATAAGCAGCCACAATGGAGCTAACATGGGTGGTTTTGTTGACGGTTTTGTTGACAACACTCAGCCAGCATACCAATTTCAGGATAATTACGATTCCTTTCCTGCTCTACAACCTTCGAATATGGAAACTTGGCCCAATGCTGGTCCGTACCAGCGCCACAAACATACAGGCCAATACCATGGTACATCTTCCCCAAATTTTAGGAACAAAAACAGTTCCTTAAGTCAAGCAAGCCGCCCACACTCGCGGCCAACAAGTCGACATCAAAATCGTGAATTAAACCCTGCAGCTTTATCAGTCGACGACCCCGAAGCATTTCCCACTCTATCTGCGGTAAAGGGGGCAGGGAAGAAACATCATGGGAAACGGGGGAATGGACACCACCGCGATCATTCTGGACACAAGGAAAATAATCCTTCCTCGCTGGCTGATGTTGTCCGCATGTCTCCGTCTCCAGCGCCAGGTCATCGGAAAGGTACTCCTAAATCTAATCGCACGTACACTACAAATCGCGAAAATAGCGCTGCGGCGCAGGCAATTCCTACACCTAAACACATTCCATGGCTTGAAACGGGAAATCGCGTCAATCAGCAGTATCTCAAATATCGCCATGATGCCATTACTCATGGTAACGTGCGAAATAAGTTTTTGCAAAGGTGTGTCTTGTCTTAACTACTTTTAGACTCCTCACGGAGCTAACAAGAAGAAAAAAATAAATTAAATATCACAGTGCCGCACAAGCTTGGAATAGGAACGATGCTCGTGCAGCCAAAGCTCTGTCGCTCCGTGGGCAAGCTGAGAACGAGGCTATGCGTCGCGCGCATCGTGAGGCGGCTCGGCATCTTTATGAAGAACGAAACAAGCATCTGAGTAATAGCAGCGACGACGAACTGTATGTTGACCTTCACGGCCTGCACCCCAGCGAGGCAATTGAATATCTGGAGAATATCCTACTTGAGCACGCGAAACTTGGCCGCCGGGTGCTCTACGCTATCACCGGCACAGGACATCACAGTAAAAATGGCAAAGACAAAGTCGGCAAGGCGGTCAAAGCCTGGCTGAATGAATGGCGATACGTTTTTCGTGAGTTTAGTGTCCCCGGTGAGCGTGGCGGCTACATTGGCGGGGTCTTGGGGATCGATCCAACGAGCTATGACCGGAACGCTGTCTCTGCGAAATCCAATGGGAAAGGGGGTTCGTCTACCGATGGTGATAGGAACAACCAAGGCACTAGCGATGAGAATTCGACAACTGCTAATTCCAGCGCAGTTCTCACCATGGGCAAGATTCAGCTGTTAAAGAGAGAAGATTCTGGTACAAATGAAAAATGATCGGTTTTGTTTTTTATTTATTTTCTTTTTAAATGCCAGTTTTCCAATTGAAAAAAAGGCATTTTTAGGGAATTATCCCGTCGTAGCTCTCCGTCACGGGATCATTCGGTCTTTCATACTTTCGCCCTACAAGCGACTCCTTTCTTCAATCTCCAACCACAGACACGTCACTTACTATTGCAGTATTTCTATTTGGATCATTCCGTACCGGTGGATGCACCCTCACCAAACTCCGTTGATACTGGCACTGGGATATTGCTCAATTCCACTGCATGTTGAACAAACTGAAGGTAAAAACAGCGATGGAAAGGAGCGGGCTATCTAACTCTGGAATGTTGATTATTTATGAGGCTTCCGCCTGCAATATGTTCTCGAAACATGCATTAGGCCACGTCTGGAGCTTCGTTTCGGGGTTTGCATAGATCTTGCCTATACATAGGTAATGACCCATAGGTTAGGATAGTATATCGATTAAACAACAGACGCAAAGTCAGGTTATATATTAGAAAGGAGTTTTTTTTTTCTTTCTTTCTTTCTTTCTTTTTTAACGAAGCTATAATAAGTTTCTTTGGCCAGATGGTGTAATCTGCTTATAGTAGGAGAGGAGATTCTTTTCCACTCCCCCAAACATACCTCCGCCTTTCAGCCAAGCTCGCCCACAATGGCCCACTCATTTCAGTGCATTTCTGAGCGCTCACTCGTGTTCAAGTAGTATAATTTTCTCACCAAGCCTTGAGATCAATGAGGGTTGTCTATCTCAGGGTCGACACTGTATTGCAAGAAAAAAGAAAAAGAAATCATAAATCATAAGTGAGAAATCAGAAATCAAAGCCAAGGCTGCGATGTTGAACATGATTTTGCTGCCCCTTACCGCCCGCGGCTAATACGCGCGCTTGAGACATACATTGCTTCATTCCATCGCAAACTCCAGACTGTGGACTGTCATTAACATTAAACAACCACATCAGCAATTATTCGATGTAAACCAGTCACAACGTGAGCAGTGGTTCATCGATTGCTATGGACCAACATTCCTCTGGGGAGCTCAACTGGCGCCTCAGTGCGCATCCCGTTACCCTGTTGGTCTTTCTAGGCTTCCGCATAGGTTCGTATAATTTACTCCGGGAATAAATAAGTAGCCTTAGAATTTTCGGAGCCGGACAGCTGCTTACAAGGGCCCCTCACTCCTTAAACAGGAAGCTTGTTGATGTATCTATTTGGCCTTCTATTCATCAATAACTTGTTCGTCCTCGTTCATGTCCCACTCTCCCCAAAACAATGCTTGCCCCAAGACTGATAGCCGCAATCAGTGTCCTCGTCTTTATCCTAAACCTTCTACTCCTCTCCGCTGACTTCTACTACCTAAAAAATATCGCCGGCCGCCGGCTTGTCGGACTCCGCTGGTGGAACGAAGTGAACACCACAAACGGTGATTCTCACTGGGTATTCGAAAGTTCAGACCCTAACACCCGGACCATCAACGCTACAGATAAACGATTCTTTTGGCTCAGTCTATACGCTACTCCGGCGCTGTGGATTGGTCTTGCTATTCTTGCCATTATAAGATTACAGGGTGTCATTTGGCTAAGCTTGGTTGGTATGTTTTGTGAAATTGATGCCCCCCCCCCCCCGCGATTTTTGGATTATTTTTTATATCCATTCGTTTACAGATGGGAAAAGAAAGCTAAACTTCAGTTTTTGGTATTTCAATATAGCAATTGCGCTCATCCTTACTCTCACGAATACAGTGGCATTTTCGCGATGTGACCGGTTCAGCCAGGCATCGACCTTCGCGAGCAGTGCCCTATCCGGTGGCATTGCAACTAATTTTGCTTCAGGGATGATAGGAAGGCTTTTCAGATGAGACAACAAGCGGGCGACGAAGTTTCATGCGTTAGAATGCTGATTAGATTCATATCTACTGGGCTTTCCACATATTTTCAGGAGGCTGTTCCCCCCTTTTTATTAAGCTTTACTTCGCCGGACAATTTTCCATTTTCCTATCCAAAGTTCTTTTAGCTGGCCCGATTCCTCTGGCCGTTTGTCTTTCCAGTCCACGCGGTAACAGGTCCATAATGTCTTTTCTCTTTTTGGCGGTTGGTATTTTTGAACGGGGCTTTGCATGTCTTCTCATGTGCTACTACCATACTTCTACCCTATCGAATATTCTGTGTATAATATCCTATTTTTTATTCATGGATATTCCGTCTATCATCCCTAAGTTGCTTAGAACATGTCTAAATTCCTATCACCATTTACAACTCCAAAATCCCCCGCTAACCCCGCTACTTCTCCGATCAAATTTTTGCTCCTTCCTTCGCCGCTGCACGCTGCGTATCATGCAAATTCTTTATCTCCTCCCTAACCGCCAAATCGCTCAGGATCTCCTCGCTCCCACCCCCAACCACATAAACCCTTACGTCACGACTGATCTGTTCAATTCGCGCGCCCCTCCCGCTCTTGTTATACCCCGCGCCACCCATAACCTGCTGCGCTTCACGGCAGACCTTCTCTAGGCAGCGCGTGGACATCACCTTGAGCAGCGCAGTCATACCGCCGACGTTAGCCTCCTGGCCAGTCTTGGCTGCTACTTGGACGGTATAGGCTAGTTGCTCCAGGAATGCCTGGCAGGGTTCGATCAGGCGGCCGAGCTTGCTGAATTTTGCGCGGATGATTTGGTTCGCGATTAGTGGCTGGCCGAATGTTTCGCGGGTTATGGCGTAATTGTAGGCGTCCTCGACGCAGACGCGGGAAAGGCGGACGCAGGAGCTGGCCAGGCCGAGACGTTCGGGGTTGAAGTCTGATTTTGATCGATCAAGTTGGTTTCCGGGATGGAATGTTTGTTTTGTCATGGTAACTGTGGGAAAAATGAAAGGGACTGTCTATTGGCATGGGCGACTTACTCGACATGATGTATCTGAACCCATCGTTCTCAATGCCGATGAGGTTTTCCGCTGGAACTTCTACGTCGTCGAACTCAATGAATGTCGAACCACTGGCGTTCACGCCGGAGTTCTCCATTCTCCTCCTGGTTACGCCCTTAGCTGCCAATGGGATGATCAGCAAAGAAATTCCCCCACGTCCCTTCCCACCTGTCCTGACCGCAGCCGTGCAATAATGGGCCCATATCCCATTGGTGATCCATTTCTTGGCTCCGTTGACGATATACTTGTTCCCGCTGCGTTTCGCGGTGGTTCTAATGTTCGCGACGTCGGATCCGGCTAAAATGCTTTTATGTCAGAGTTCTCCCAAATATGTCGAAAGGCGTCCGCATACCGTCGGGCTCAGTAATGCCCAGACAGAACCGTATCTCTCCCCGAGAAACCTTGGGCGAATACTTGAGTTTCTGCGCCTCGTTACCGAAGTTCAGAATGGGAGGACAGCCAATAGTATTTCCACCAAACAGACCCCACAGCACTCCAGTATAGCCAACTCTGGTTACCCATAAGTCTTTCGTCAGTGAATTGTTTCGACGCAAAGGGTTTCGAAAGCAGCGATATAAAGGAAAACTCAAAATTAGTGAAACTACTAGCCTATTCAACTCATCTGTCGTCACAAGATTATGAAAGACATCCCAGTCCTCAGGGTCAATGCCAGCGGGTAGAGACAGTCCGCCCATATACTCCCTCTTGGTAGGCTTGGTGATCGCGAACCCCTTTTCCACATAGAGCTTTAGCGCCTAGTTACAGATGTGGTGTCAATAGCACCGTCGGAGATTAGTGAACCGCAGTGCGAAATAAAATGGCAGAAAGGAAAACGGAATTGCCTTTATATATTTCGTTTATGTGTATGAAAAAAAAATCTAACCTCTGGCGGAATAAAGCCTTGCTTTTCATACTCTTCGGCATGCGGCTTTAAATGGTTTTCGACGTAGTCACGGACGAACAGGCGGAGTTTCTTGTGAGATTCGTTGTAGTATGGGGAGGAGTCGCAGGAGTGCCAGAGCGGTTCTGCGTAGGGCGCGACAGCGGATGCATGGAAGACGGGTGTCATTGTCTGTATTTAGTGGAGCTCGATGGTGGGGGGTAAACGATGATAAACCATGTACAGGGAGAGAAATGGTTTGCTGAAAGAATGAGCATGCTCAACGCCTTCAGGACTCCCTCAATGCATGATCCTGCCTTTGATAAGCTCCAACGAACTACCCGGATTAATTAACGGATACCTAGGTGTTGAAAGCCCCCGTCTTTGGCGGAGGTGAGGGGGAGGGTTTACTGTGATTGCGGTCCAAGGTCGAATTGTGGAGACATTCGACTGCCGATGATGCTGGCTTTCTTTGGCCGAGATCCGATGCGGGCAACGAGACGGAGAGTTCCGATATTTACATCACATCAAATAATGAGCAGAACTGAATATGCCCGGAAGTCACCCTCAAGCCGGAAGAAAGTTCACACATTTAAAATACTGGACATGATGTTGCAATAAATTAAAAGAATGGTAGTATATACACGGAGGCTGATGTAGTTTAGCCACAAAAGATATTCTAGCTATAGCTTCGATGGCACCCATTTTGGGGGTCTCTTCTCTTTAAATGCAAGCATACCTTCCCGCGCATTCTCTCCGGACATCAGCTTCGCCGCGTAGGTCTCTCCCGTCAAAAATGTTGCGTGTTCTATGCTGCTCGTTTCCCACGCCTGCCGTATACCGGCTCGGGTGACAATTACACTATCGGGGCTCATGCTAGCAATGAGTTTCGCAACATCCACCGCCTCCTTAATGAGGTCGTCAATGGGTACAATCTTCTGGACAAGGCCCCATTGCAGAGCTTCCTGCGCGGTCAAGGTATGCGCGGTCAACCCGAGCCACATGGCTCTTTGCAGTCCAAATGTCCTACATAGTCGTGGAAAGGCGCCAGCCATAGCTGCTGTTCCCCGTAAAACATCCGGAAGTCGGAAATCCGCATTTTCCGACGCGATCACGATGTCGCTGTTGAGAACGATTTCAAAACCGCCGCCATGCGCATGCCCGTTGCAAGCTGCTATTATTGGCTTTCTGCCATTTCGCCGAGTGAGCCCGGCAAACCCGGTGGAGGGATATGCGTTTAGCCGTGCGGCAGAATCAAAATCAGACTTTGACAATGATTGACGCTCTGTCACCCTTGCGGGCATACCGATAAGCCTGGACACTCTTTCGCTAGGGTGGATAGGACGCAACGTAAGGTATGAGGCGAATTAGAAACAGATTTTCAAATACCTTTCAGATCCATCCCGGCAGAGAAAGCCTTTTTACCAGCCCCGGTGACAATTCCCACGCGCCTATTACGGAGGAGAAGTTTAATATGGCATACCAAGCAGAAAGCCGCAACCCATACTTAGTATGCAGAGCATTGGTATCTTGTGTGTTGCTCCAGGGAAAACTACCAACTCACAGCTCAGGCTCGTCGTCGAACCATTTCCATACTCGATGCATTTCCCATACCGCGTCGACCGGCAGAGAGTTCATCTGCTTTTCGAAATTGATTGTAACAAGCAGGACATGGGGGGCAGGAAATTGCAGGAGGACAAACTTCACTGCAGGGGGGGCTGTTGTAGTTGCTGCATGCCCAGACATAGTGTTGTTTTACTTTGAGGGAAGACTTAAATTTGACACGTCGTTTTACTGTCTCGAGGTGATCATGCCTAAGATTCCAGGTCTCGATAGAACCTTCAATTCGAGGGGTATTATTCGCAGCTGTCCGGGTAGCATATTGACTGCGGTCACCAGCACGTTCGGCTTCGGCTTCGGGATGCTGAAGCTGGTTGTCCTCGTTCTGCCAACGTCGTTCGTTGGTTCGCGTAGTTCGGCTAATTCGCCAACCTCGGTTGGAACTTGAAGCACATATATAGATATGCCTCGACAGGTCCTTCCTACTTCCTCCCCTCCCCCTCCCATCCAAAAAAGAAAAGAAATGAAAAGAAAAGAAACAAAAGAAAACAGAAAAAAAGGACCACACCAAGAATCAACCAGAGCGAAGGAGGAAGAGGAAGGATTGACCATCCCACAGCAACTTGAGGCAATTTTGATATGAGGCTACGCACCTCTTTTTCTCTTGCTGCAGCCTGAGTCCTGGAACCTATGCTGTGTACTCCAGAGAGTGTGTGCGCCGATCAATCTAGTGCATCAGCTAGATCTTCTGATTTTTTCAATACTTCTTTCTCCCCCAGAGGACCTTGACTTGTTACCCTGACAAGACGATGATTCGAAAGCCACCACCAAGTCAGGCGAACCAGAATCGCCGTCTCTACTTTCCGGCGTTGGGTGGCGGCTGCAAGGTCTATCTCCTTTTCAGCCTCCTCGAGGTCACATTCGAGAACCTGGAATCCTGGATGATTCGATCCCTGGGTCCCCCTGCGACACAGGCAGGGTCAGGCACATAACCCAATGCGCACGCCTTGGCTCCTATCGCGCTTGCCAGCGGGGACCAGGGCGCTCTTGTCTCGCACGAAAGGGCACTAAAAAGTTGGAAGAGCAGCCTGTGACTTCTGCCAGCCAATTCCTCTGCTCTTTTCTCGTCTGTTTAGCGGGAGATTGTCCTCTCTTGCTCACTGACAGCGGGCTGACCACTGTTGTTTATTTCTCTTCTTTTCTTTTCTTTTCTTTTTTTTTCTTTTCTTTTTTTGGTTCGAATTAGTAGAACCTGTCTATTCGCGAGCCATTTCCTTCACTCGGCTGCTGGATTGGGAAATTGTTGCTCATGGCTTCATTCAATACTATTTATTGAATCAACAAGTTTTGATGAAAGTCCATATAGCGTAGCCTGGCTCTAGCTAGCTACCAAATACAATTGATTTTTCTTCCTTTTCTACTCTCTGCTATCTTTCCGCTACAGATTAGCTGTTTCCCCCCCTCTTCTCCAATCAGCTAAGTTACTTCTGCTCTTGTTTGATCCATTTCACTTCACACCTCCCATGCCGTCTTTGCATGGAGTCCTGAAACTGAAACTACATAACCCCGCAAATCTATCGAAATTACGTGAAATGGAAACCCCGTCTGAGCCTTCTGATCATCCTGTTCCGGGGGGACGTCTAGGAGATTCTTGGACTGCAGAACAGGACCAAAACTTGCTGAGGCTCCAAGTAGAGAATCACTTTATGACTATACATGAAATCCAAAAGGTTGGTCATCGCCGCTGGCATAGATGGGCTGCTTCTGACACCGGCCAAAACCTTTCCAAATCATTAGGCGTTCTTCCCGAACCGCTCCTTTTGGGCTGTAACCAAACGGTTGTCGGTGCTGAAGCAAGGAGAGAAACAGGTGATTGAAGCGCTTGATATTCATTTCTGGGGAACAATATGCATGCAACGTGCTAACGACATTCGTAGAGAATATCTCGCGGCAGCCCACCGTTGACAAATGAATCAAGCAACCGCCACCGTCGAAACACTAGCCCTCAGTACGTCTATTCTGAGGATGGATCCGAAGATATGTCTCTCGACAGTCAATCAGACGTTGAGGATATTGCCGAAGGGCATGCATCAGACGAAAGCACATCTTCGAAGGTAAGAAAGAAAATTCTTGGATATTTATCTAATTTCCACAAAGTATGCTGACGTCCTTTTCCTCTCTATTTCAAGAGGAGTGCCATCCATCATCGAGGTTTGAGTGATACATTCAAGAGGAAAATTTCGGTCGAGAAAGATGTACCAAGTCCAAGCCCTTCAAAGCTCTCCAAACTTTCAACAGCATCCGCCCCAATGTCGGTGGATCCATGCAGCGCAATGCTTCCAAACGGGAAGACGCCAACAACCACAGGCTATGCTAATACAGCCGTGGATGTCGCGAATGACTCTGACAATCTTGATAATAAAATGAGCATCAAACTATCTAGACCTAGTTCCATTCCCACTTGGATGGATCAAGCTAGAGAAGAGGACATAGTTCAGATGTTCCGCCAAGCCAAGAGGTGTGCAGCTGAGTCGAAACTTGCAACAGAGCTAGCATGCCGGCTATCAGATGCAAACAGCACCATAGACCGTTACCGTGATGAGAACAGTCAACTTAAGGACCTGAAGAAGAAATATGATGGGTTCAAGGAATCACTCGAAGATATTCTCAAGAAAAGAAATGAAAAACAAAAGCAGCTGAAAGAAGAGAATGAAGGCCAGAAACTAAAGCAGCTAGAGCAAATCTCTCAGCTGAAAGCAGAGTTTGACAAGATTAGAGGTGGTGCTTCAAAAGTCATCCATCCCGACATGTGGAAGTCTGGTGGAATGGATGCAGCAGCTGTGCAAGCAGCCAAAATTATGGAGCAGATGGAAGATACGCTGAAGGCTGAAGTACCTTCAGGAAAGGATACTCTCCTCACAAGCTATTTGATGAAATCATCTGTGTCCACTGCATCGAAATCAGCAGGGTAAATACCCATTGAGTGAAATATCATGTAAACTTGTGGATTGAGCGTGAGACAGTTTTGTTGGGAGATTCTTGATGGTGAATTCTCTTGTTTATTTACCTATTTTCACTATTTCCTTAGCCATTCTCCTCCATTGTTTCCCCTTGATTTTTTCTTTGAAGCTTTTGGTTTTGAAAAAAGTAAAACCTCAATCCCCTCCCTTTTCAACATAGATTTAATGTGTCAAGACTGGAGTAGAGCGAGAGAAAATAATACATAAATGAGAAAACAAGTAGTCGTCGTCTTCTCTCGAACCTAATATCTAGGCAAGGTGGGAAATATGAATGATATGGGAAAGGCTATTGAAGAATACTCATGTTAATGATGACTTCTGTCTGCATACTTTTCCTTTCCCCTGTAAATGACAGGATGGACTTAACTGAAATATCCATATGTACGATACATATATCCCTTTTTATCACCTCTGTTCAAATGCCATGGGTCCCTCATTTTTCCAGAGCATTCCAATACTTCTGGACCAGGGGGAGCCTGCAGCGGTAAAAGACAGCTTACAAAAGAGGTTGAATCCTCTCAATAATATGAACATACAGAAATAATACAAGACAAGCAAGCTACACACTCAGTTATAAATCCAGGTGTGGATGGATATTAGGAATCCCGTAAAGGGAGAATCCCAGGAGACGAAGAAACTGGCCCCTACATTTAAAAGCAGACAAATCTGCTGCTCTTGAATTTAGTGAAGGAATGAATGATTGCCTACCAGTCTGGGAACTAGTTGCTATGAGAGCAACAAAGCCAATGTTGCTTTGCCAATGCCTCCTTGTTTACTCCCCAACACAGTATAAAAAAAAAAAACTGCTGAACACCTTCGCCTCTTCTCTTCTCTTCTCCTTCCAACTTTTTCCTCTGTCTACCCATCCACCCGCATAAGTCAGCTCACAAAAGGACGTTTCGAAGATCCAAAAACTCTTACTCTCTAGCGAGAAGGTAAATTAACAGGTGAGTAGCTCATATTCTCTCACTTCTAGTCTTATATATTGGGATGGTGGAGATCTGCTGTTTGTCTGACCACCTACCCCCTTGCTGCGCGGTGACCGTCCACTACAACTCCAAACACACGTACCGAAGTACATATGGGAGTTTTTCTCATCATTGTATTGTCTGCTGTTTAGCCAAATAGTGATCTGTAACGAAGGTTCTCTCAAGTCGCACGGGCCAAAAATCATGAGTTGGAACGCTGGAGGCCTCGATGGTGAGTAGAATAGGAAACCCCAGTTGCCTCTGCAAAACCATGCCTCATACATACCGTTATGATCTACAACCCATCTGGATTCTCTGGCCCGCTGTTTTGTAGAAGAAACGTGGAGACTGAATGTTCAACGTCATCGACAGATGCCCATTGGAACGACGGTGGTGGCAATGACATGACATGGAATCCTCCAGGGGACAAAATCGAGTTCGATACTGGAGATTTCGGTGGAGGAAAAGAATTTGGAGGCGGAGACGATGCTTGTCGCAAGTAAGCTGAACTTGAAAATCTACAGCTAGAAGCGCTCTTGTTAATTTAATTTGTCCACCAGTTGTGGTCAGTCTGGTCATTTTGCTCGTGATTGCACCGAGCCTCGCAAGGCCATTGGAGCTTGTTTCAACTGTGGTGAAGAAGGGTAGGTCATGATTTCCTGTCACCAGGGTTTAAGGATCAAATATGTTGACATTCTCCTTAGCCACAACAAAATAGAATGCACCAAACCTCGCGTTTTCAAGGGAGCGTGTCGAATCTGCGATAAGGAAGGTCATCCTGCCTCTGAGTGCCCCGATAAACCGGCGGATGTCTGCAAGAACTGCAAGCAGGAAGGTAATATTCATGCAATTCGAACTCACCGTGTGCAAGAATGAACAGTATTTAATTTCGTCTGTAATCCAAAATAGGCCATAAAACCATGGACTGCACCCAGAATCGCAAGTTCGATCAGCACCACATCCCAGATAAGCTTCCAGAGGAAGCATGGGCGATTCTTAAGAAGGCCAGCGACGAAAAGGATCTTGAGGACTTCCGTGATGTAGGACCCCTTTGCACCTATCTCAGCTTCATCATTACTGACATTTTGGGGCCATAGGGCATAAAAATATACTCCAAGGCAGTTCCGATGGCAACGTTCGACGAAATTGAGAGAAAGATGCGCGAAGAGAACTTCAAAGTGTATCTCATTGGCCTCGTAAGATTGCCAAAAAATCGGGCAGGCTATTTAACGCATTGAAAAGTTAATGATTGTGTCATATATAGGACAAGGAAATCGCCGATTGCCACACTCTGATTAACCTTCAGGGAAAGCTGAACTGCAAGTTCGTTGTCGGCTATTACTTCGGTGATAAACCACAGCGTCCTAACCTCAAAGAGCGCTGGCCACAATCCTCTGAAGAAAATTTGAAGCGCCTTGCTGATGCTGGCATCCCGCTGGATCGCCAAATTCCGAAATGCGTCAACTGTGGCCGTAAGTTCTTTTGTTTTACTAATGTCAGTTTATCAAGACACAAAGCTGACTACACGGTTTGCAAGAAATGGGACATGGATCGCGTGCATGTCCGGACGAGCGTTCGGTTGTTGAGAAGGTGGAGGTCAAATGTGTGAATTGTAACGGAATGGGACATCGTGCTCGCGATTGCACAGAGAAGCGGATTGACAAATTTAGCTGTCGTAACTGCGGGTAAGGTACAGCCGGCTTTGACGTTTCAAAGGAAGCCCGGTAACCAATATTCTTCTAGGCAACCTGGCCATCGTTCGTCCGATTGTACGGAACCGCGTTCAGCTGAGGGGGTGGAATGTAAAAAGTGCCACGAAGGCAAGCATGGTGCCCACCAAATCACTTAAGGAAACGTCTGACAGTCTTCGATAGTTGGCCATTTTGCTAAGGATTGCCCTCAGGGTGGTGGATCCAGGGCTTGTCGCAATTGCGGGTTTGTCTTTACATCCCAAAATGCCTTCCCCTGAAATGGGGACAAGACTATTTACTAACATGCATTTCCGCAGCGAGGAGGGCCACATTTCCAAGGAATGTGACAAACCGCGCAATTTGGACACCGTCACCTGTCGCAACTGTGAAGAAGGTGAGGGAAATCGTCTCAACGAATAGAGCGTATATGTTCAATCTAACAATCATTTTTCGCGGTAGTCGGCCATTACTCTCGCGACTGCACCAAAAAGAAGGATTGGACCAAAGTTCAATGCAACAATTGCAAAGAGAGTAAGTCAGGAAGAGAGCACTAGGACATTTTACCCGTTCCATTTTGGCGCTATATTCCACTGATGTTGTTGGATCTGGATTAACTATGACTATGACAGTGGGCCATACCGTCCGGCGCTGCCCCAAGCCAGTGGAAGGAGAAAATGCAGGTGATGGTTTTGGCGACTACGGCTTCGGCAATAACCCAGGATATGATGATATGGGCGGATCCCGGAAAGATGATGGGGCGTTCCCAGAGAGCACTCCGAGCTGGATGAATGCTGGCGATGGCGGCACCACAGTCCCCACCTGGTAGATCAGCTCAAGGCCGTCGGCACGCGGGCGCGGGAGAGTTTACCCTTTGCTGCTGCGGTTTGTTTTGCTAGGGCTAATTGAGTTAAAAATAATTGTCGCCACAAAAATGGGTTAGGTTTCAGAAAACAAATGTTGCTACAACGAAAGGAAAGGGAAGGAAAGGGGATCTAGACAACGGGGATGCACATGGTTAAAGCACGGGCGGAGTAGATAGCTTTCTTTCTATCTCTCGACAGAGCAATTGAAAAATGTCTGGTTGGATGACACCACCAAATTCGGAGCTTCATGCATGTAATTTCGGACGAAATGAAGGACGAAATTCCAGGCCCTGTTCCATGTCGAAACACAAGGGACATGTTCGTTCCCGTTCCCTGCAGGCAGCAGGCTTTTATGTTGCAGCCGTGGCGCTTCGCAGTCGTTCCACAGTTGAGCCATACCAGCCGAGTCCTGAAGTTCGGAGCCGGGAGCTGTTAAAGTTTTCATCCTCATTTTTTCATTTTTTTTTTTTTTTTCGCAGAAGCCTGGGGACAATTAGTTTGGGGCAACCAACCTCGACTCAGCTAGTGACTCTGGCCAAATACCTTTTTCTCAATCCCAAGTGCAGCTTCTCGTCAGGGTATTTGATTTAATGGAGCTGCAGAGCTGCAGACTGTCAGACTGTCATGTCAGACTGTCAGACTGCCGGTTCGTCAGGATGCTCTCAAATGAATCAATCAGGTTTTTCACGCCGTTTGACATGGGCTAGACGCGCTGTCTCCACCCAAAGTTTAATCCTGCAGACATTTGCATGGACATCTCTGGCCAACCTAGTCCCGCTAGTGCGATGGATTTTATTTGCACTGCGGGCACAATGGCTGAACTCTCGGCGACATCCCGCCTGGGAGTCAGGATAATTTTGCCTGAAATGGTCGGCTGCAGGCCAGAGTTCATCAAATGCTGACAATCTCCTCAACTTTGCTTGAATAGAGTCCGGGATGCTGCTGAGAAAGAGAGGAGAATTCAACGTTATTATAATTCGTCGTTGATCCCACCACGATTCTTTTGATTTTGAGGATTTTTAAAGAGTTGTTTCCCTTCAACGTCTCTCGGCTTCCTGTCGCGGTGAAACCAGCAAGCTCAAAGCACGCTCTCGTTCCAGCGCCCCACCACGGTGGTCCCTGAATTATCCTGTTGAATTAGTTCGACAATCAATTAATTGGGTACGGAGCACGCATCCAGTCTATGCAAAGTGAGTAGCGGGTATATATCGTGGCAGAAGAAATGCTCGTGTCCAGAAATGCATTATTTATTTGCCGCAAACAATGCGTGTAGCAAAAATATGGGCAGAATCAGAGAACTCTTGAAGATTTATTTCCCACAATGTTGCTAAATCGATGCACAGGCTTCACCAGTCGATCATATTCGGCCGAAGCGCAAAGGATACCCAAATCACTGTATCTCCCCTTACGCCTTCACAGAGAAAACTTCGCTTCGCGATATTTTTTGGATTCACCAGCTTAATCGACTCCTCCCCTCGCCCCGGTTGTCCCCCATCCAATATACTCCTTCTGTCAATTGGCTAGATCTATCGACCGTTCCGTGATAGACAATACAAACTTCCAAAATCCCGCCAATTGGACAAGTTTTTACGCCCACGAGAAATCCAAAACTCGTCCATCGGTATTTGTACACCTCGATTTTCGGACGCGGTGAAGTAATAAGTAACTGAGCTTTCGAGGCATGATATATATGGTCAGACCAGTTGGAATCTACTTCTACTGAAATACAATGGGCAAAACCGCGGTTGAAAGGGAGATCCGCGAAGACCAAGGAGAAGGAGCTAGTAAAGACGATAATTCGACCATTCTACATGATGTCGAACAGGGTGATGAAGTCGATATGGAGACAATCGATCGTGTTTATAGGTATGTGTTGGATGGTTGATGGATGCACCAGCAACGGCGGCAGGGGAGAGGGCCTGTTAACATTTCCTCTACCTAGGAAAATCGATTGGCGAATCATCCCGCCATTTTGGACTCTGTACTTTCTTTGCGCAGCGATCCGTTCAAATATCGGGCTGGCCCAGACCATGAACATTGACCAACACCACGACCTTGGCAGCGTACTGAACATAACCCCGCAACAAGTGTCCACTAGCTTGGCCCTGTTCTATGTCTGCTACGTGCTCTTTGATCTGCCGTCCAATCTTATTATGACGAGGTTAAGTCCTCGTGTCTGGATGAGTCGCATTGTTATCAGTGTTGGTGTCATTGGATGTTGTTTTGCTGCCGTCAAAGCAGCGTGGAGTTTATAGTATATATCGCCCCTCCATTTCGTATTGCATACAGTACGCAACCGACCAAGGCTAATTCGATTTCCTTAGCTTACTTCGGCTCCTGCTTGGAATTGTCATCGCCGGCATGTGGCCAGGAATGGCCTATTATCTCACCCTCTTTTACCCTCCCTCCCGCACCGGCAAACGGATAGGCCAGTACTTCACCGCAGCGCAGGTATCTGCTGCCGTCGTCGGGCTCGTTTCTGCAGGTTTCCAGAAAATGGACGGGATGCAAGGTCTTGTCGGATTTCAGTGGATGTTTCTTCTCTACGGCGTCGCAGGTACTCTCACGGGAATTAGTCTTCTCTGGTGGCTTCCGGAGCGCCCACTGCCCCCTGGAGAAAAACCACCACCCAGATGGCGACTTTTAAGATGGATCCCTCGACCGCGCCCGGTGCTGAAGGGACGGGATGCGGAAATTCATTACCGTGATTTGAAACGTGTTTACCACAACCCGCGATGGACCATGCGAGATCTTGCTGGCGTGTTGATGGACTGGCGCCTGTGGCCGCTGACGATAATGTACTTTGGGGTTGTTGGTGTGGGAATCGGCATCCAGAATTACGGAACTGTTATTATCCGAGGCTCCAATCCGTCATTAACGGGTGTCCAGCTAAGTTTACTCTTCGCCCCAATCTGGATTGTATGTATACATTACCCCTTTTTTCTTCTACTTTCGTCCGTTAAAGACCACACACAACCAGCTACTTTGTCGAACAAAATGCTAACTCCACCAACAGATGGACCTCATCGCCATCCTCCTCGTCACTCCCTTCTCCGACCGCTTCCACCACCACCGCGGCATCTTCTTCATCGTCCCCGTCCTCTTCCAAATCCTCGGCCTGCTCCTGACAACCTATGCCGGCTCAGTCACGAACTCCTGGCCACGCTACGGCGGCCTGCTGATTGTCGGCTTCGGCCTTGGTCCCACCGTGCCCATAACCATGACATGGACAAACGAGCTCTTCCAACCACGCCATGGCGAGGTGGGCGTCGCAGCCGCATCCGCACTGGTCTCCGGCCTGGGCAACTTGGGGAGCATCCTCACCACATATGCACTGTATACTGGCTGGGCCAGCGACCGCCAGGCGATGGGGATGAAGAAGTATCGAAAGAGTAATTTGGTTATGATAGGGATACTCTGTGGTAGCATTGTGGCCGCCGTTACCTTGGAAGTGTTGTTGAGGCTTTTTGGGGGGAAGAACACGGCTGCTAGAGGGAATGAGGATGGGAATGGGACTAATGGCGATGGGGCATCTAAGAGAGAGGCGGAGCAGAGAGGGTTGAAGGGATTATGGCTGCTGAAGTTATTCGAGAAGTAGGTAACCTCTATTTTTTTTTTTTTTAATTTATTTATGTTCTTGTGGTTTTGAGGCGAAAAAAAAAGTATTTAAAAATGGGTTTCGATCGATCAAAAATGGGACTTCACTATATTATCATTATTCAATATGCTCCGTAGCTTACTACATTTCGACTCATATTCGATAAATATATATGAAACCACGACGCAGCTTAATACTCCTTTGCCGCGCGCTTACACGAGTTAACCGCGTTCGACTTACCCCTTCCTCCTAAAATCAAGGTCTTAATTCCACGTTTTCTGCACCTTTTATGTCGTTTCGACAACATCAACCAGTATAGTATGATGCCATCGCGCCGATAACTATAACTAACAATGAGAGCTGATGTAAGCTACGCCAAATTACTAACTATCTACCAAGAAGCAAATTCATAATTCAACTCGTATCAACATCGAACTAAAAAGGAGAAGGAAACAACATCTCAAACCAAAACCGAAACCGGGCATGGATTTTTGCTTGTTTACACTAAGGAAACGGAAATTTGTACAATCTGGGTATCTATTTTCCAACCTGCCCACCTATGTCCAAACAACAACCGAAAATATGAAAACAAAAAGGACCCCCTACTTGCTCACTATCTCGACATGTTCAGAACTCTCATTCTCCCTCCTCTCGTTGCTAACGACATTGACAGTTACAGGTGCAGTATCAGCTTTACGGCCATTCCTCTCGGCTGACCATTTCAAGAAATCCCTGGTGGGAACCCTATGTTCAAAGAGCAGATCCAATTCAGCAGGCGACCGCCGTCCCATCTCTGGCACAAAGAACCAAATGATATAGCAACTCAACATAGACAGAGCGAAAAACACAAACCCTATCTTGGCTCCAAGATTGCCTTTGTCGGTGTTGTAAATGTACGGCAAGATAACCGCAAACGAACATGCGTAGATGCCGTGCACAGCCCAGCCGATTGCCTGAGTCCTACCGCGAAGTCGAAGGGAGGAAGTCTCTGCCGTAGCAAGGACAGAGGCGGGCCAGACTCCGTTCCCGCAAACAAAAATGATAATTACCATACTTGCGGCGGCCCACCTAAGAAAGGAAAGTTCGCCGTTAGTGATCGATCACCTTTGCCATGTCTTCGACTTTCAGGGAACCGTTGAAGGGAGACGGCCACCTTGATGCGTGCATGCAATACACGCGATTGCCAAAATCGTGATAACAAAAACAAGAACATACCATTTCGTCACGGGGCTATCAAAGCACCCAGAAATTCCCATTGTGCCCCAAACCAACCCAGTGAGGCCAAGCGTCCAGAGCATGAGCGGCCTCCGCCTTGCAAAGGAGAGTGTCCATACAGCGATGATATTTGCGATCAGGCCTACAGCAATACCCACCTCCAACAACACAACACTCACAACAGGCGCAATGCCAAGGGTCTGGGCGAAGTAACTGGCATTGGCGAGCAAACCCAGCCCGAAATTCTGCGGCATAATGTGGCAAACTAGCACAATAATCGTTCTCCGCAGATCAGTCCCTCTGAAGCAATCGATGAACCGCACCTGCGAGCCGTCCTTCTTCACCGTCTCCCGCTCCTGCTCCAGAATCTCAACAAGCTTATCAACCATCTTAACCGTATCAACATCCTTGCGGTGAAGACGTCGCTGCGACTCGCGCGCCTGGTCTATTTTACCCACACGGATAAGATGTGGGGGGCTCTCCGGGATAACAATGGCAATACCAACCAGCAGAAAAGAAAGCACCCACTGCGACGCCACGGCGATCAGATAACCCTCCGACCCCTTTCGGGACAAACAAGCAAACACAACCAAGGCCCCGATAAGCTGCCCCGCCATCACCATCGCGGGCAGCAGTGCCTGGCTGGGGCCCCTCAGCGCACGCGTCACAATTTCAGAGGTATATATTTGCACGGCACAGATCACCACTCCCCCCGCGAAGCCCTCAATAATCTTGCCCACCAGGAATGTGCCTCGGCGGGTGTCGATATCGGCTGCGAAGGCAGATGAAAAGCAAATGCCAATGCCAATGATGGATAGCAGCGCGCCAAACATGAGCGAGGAGCGGCGGCCGAAGCGATCAGCAACCCAGCCAGCAATGGCTGCTCCAGCTACGTTGCCGATGGATGCAGCACCAGTCCATACACCTAGCCATGCAGAAGGGATAATGGCTTTTCCTCGGCGAACCTCACCAAAGTCACGTCTGTTATGTTGGAGAATTGGTTAAATTTTTTATTTTTATTTTTATTTTTTTTTGTTTTTTAATAAGCTATGGAGTGGATTGTTTTGAGGGAAGGGTTTGTTGAATGCTAGGAGGGAAGAAAATAAAAGAATGGGAGACGAATATTCAACTCACTGGAACTCAGGCATTGCAGTCAGGGTGCTGACGATGACCATGTCGAATCCATAGAGCAATATACCGGGGCATGCAGCCAGGATATAACCGACGACTCTGGGGAATCGCTTCAGGGAGTTGAGAAATGTCAGGTTCGCGGGATCAGCGTGGTCAACCTCGAAAATGCCACCCTTTTCGTCATCACTGATTTCATTATTGACGTTGTTATTGCTCGCAATACCGCTATCAATGCCGCTATTACTACCTTCCACTGTTACCAGCAACGTCGTCGTTTTCATGGAAGAGTTTTCCTCGTCGTTAGCCATGCCTCGATTGATATATTTACCACCAAAAGGAGTCTCAGTTTGTTCTTTGCTGTCAGGACACGGACAGGGTTCAGAGCCGGGAGTCGGCCGGGGGGTTGCGCTTTCTCAAATCAGTTTACCAAGCAAGTGGTTCCGGTTCAAGGCGATATCTGTGCTATCACAGCAACCCAGCAACCAAGAAGATAACGGCAAAGAGAGTACTGTCGATAGAATTGGAGAAGCCCCGGTTATAACAAGGGAACAGTCGATCGATGGATTCGAATTCAATTCAACTTCCACAGATCGGTCGGTTCTTGTAAAATCGCGGCCGCAGCTTGTCCACGACCCTCACCCTTTCAATGTTCATAAACACGACGCAAGTTAATACTCTTGTCCTCCTACGTATAGTCCGTAGAAATCCTACGCAAAAATACCAAGGGCCCCCACAAGCATCAAGCAGAAATGTAATAATAAAAAGAAGGGAAAAAAAATTAATATATATATATATCAAAACCCTCTGTCTTCCTCCGCAGCAATAACTCGGCCCCATCCACTTCTATTTATGTACAGAGTGTACAAGAGGGAAATAATCGGCAGTCAAGGGGCGTCCTTGCTTGGCCACTATCCCCCAACCAAGGTTAGGCCGAACTTAACGATCCTTCGACGGCAAAATAACTTTTGCCAGGACATTGAAACATAGGGATGAACCCTGAGGCTTACTAGTGAGTCGAGATTTCTCGGCATCAATTTGTGCGTAGCTATGTAGACCGTGATAGGAGAAAAAGGAAAATTGTTGATGGGATATGGTGTAACTTTTTTTTTTTCCTTCTCATTTTTGTCTTTTCGTTCAGGATAATTCAACTGGAAAATCCATTCCATTCCGTCCCGACGAAGCTCAAACAAAATCTCTAACGCCTCCTAACTTGGGGGCCCTTGTCCCCGAAAGCCAGTTCAGGAATTGACATTGTGGTTTTGTGGTTATTCTTATTCCTTTACTTTCCCTTTTCCATTCCTTCTTTTTCTGGCGCCTTCTAGTTCGGCGGTGGAGGTGGCTAGAACTGCTTCCAATCCTGTTATGGAGAAGAAGAAGCAGAATCCGGGGACGAGGCGGGCATCGAATAATAAGAAGCTCACTGCGAGCTGGTCCTAGCTGGCCCTCGAGCGCGGCGTTGTTCTCGACTGAAGCCATCACCAAAGGCCGGTTGGCCGGGACAGCTTCCAGGGATATATTTAGCCACAGCCAGGGATGTTTAAGCTTATTCTCGCTGTCGACCCGCCTTGGGGCTGGGCTGGCCTCGAAACAACGTCTACTGGTGTTTTTATCGTTTCCCACCGCGTTGTATAAAGTTAAAAAAAGATGTAAATGGAGAGAAACAAATAGAAATCGATTCATAATCTCTTGGGGGGTCTTTTTTACACGACATAACGCGTCTCCCCGGCAATTGAATCTATACAAATACGGAGAAAGTTAGTTAGTGCCGTAGCTTAACGTAAAGGACAGACAGAACACTACCAAGATTAGCTTGTTACCTCGCCTGCGCACTAATGTGATCCTTCCAAACGCTGATATTCAGGTGGGCGATGGAAGTTCGTTTTGCGTCGAGCGGCGCACGCCACGCCTGCCTTCGCAGTTTGATTGATTCTTTCTCTTTTTCTTTTGCTTTTCTTTTGCTTTTCTTTTGCTTTTCTCTCGCTTCTTCTTCTTCTAAATTTTTTTTTAAGAATCTGGCCATCTTCTTCTCTCTGTGCCGTATTGTGGATACTTGCAACTTGGCATGACATGAATGAACCCTGCATTCCTATCTTATTTCCGACTGGATCCCATCATATTGGCATTCCTCCTAACTTTTTTACCCTCACTCATCGCTAACAGAGGATACGATGTAAACCATCGTCCTTTTGTTCACACAGGCACACTTTCTCTCTCTTTTCTCTTCAATTTTGCCCCCATTTGGCTGTACCGTCGAAATGTCGAGTGGATCATTCCGTCTCTTTTCCTTGTGCTTGTGCCCAGGTGTATATACATACATACATATATATATATATACGTCAGTGGAGCAGTGGAGCAGTGGAGCAGTGGAGCAGTGGAGATCGCGCGGGCCAGGGAGAAAGAACCAGGGAGATGGCGGCGTTGCCGTGCCGTCCTTGCACACCAGCCCGTGGTTCAAAAAATCCCTTCCAAACCGCAAGACAGTAAGTACGCTGTAGAGAGCAGAGGAGGCGGCAGGAAAGATAAAAAAGAGAGGGGCCGGGCCTTATGAAGACTCTTCACCTGATGTTGGCTGTGCACAAAAACATCCCATGCCTTGCCCCCCCCCTCCCTGACCACACTGATATAATATATAAATCAGAATCATAATTCAGTGTAGAGATCGCTGCTGCTGCCCTTACGGCTTAGTCGACTCCTCTGGTGATATATCTCTCTCTAGTTTTATCATGCAATGATACATGCATATCGGAATGGATGTCTGTTACACTGAATAATAAGACCAGTAGAAGAAATCTTTAGAAAAAAAAAAAAAACACCTGGTGGTCTGTATTTATCAACCTTAACTAGTGAACTATAGGAAAAAAATACCAATTCTGAGCAGGAAAGAGTGGGAGAAAAAGGAAGAAATGTGAAATTTTTATTTTTCAAACTATTCTTTCTGTTTGATATCATAAATAGATATGTATGCCTGCATAGTTAACTAACCATATAGTTATAGTAACAACACAAACTTACCTGATTTATGTAATGATAAACAAAACTCTTGCTTTTGTTTATCCCGAATGCTCTTCCTACTCCAATTCTATAGAAAGAAGGATGGGAAATTCCAAAAAAAAAAAAAAAAAAAAAAAAAAAAAAAAAAAGATGGGGAAGCCCGAGCCTCATCCATTCATTACCTCGTTCTATAGATGTGTATATAAACGAAAAAGAAGCAAGAAACGACAACACTATTTGACAAACGGCGAAGCTAGCCACGAATAAGCCCCAGAAGAAAACCCCTTCCAAAAAAAGAGATGGAATAAAAAAGCAGTTTGGAAATTTAAATTGGAACCCCCACGACCCACGACATTTATTAGCATTAGAATGATTTCGGTGGGGGGAGGGGGAGAGGAATGGGGAAGCGGCGGTAAGAGGAAAAAATAACGACCGACTTGACTCCTGGAACCACTGAATTCTATGTATATTGGTCAAGGAAAAAAAAACCAGGGCAGACAAAAGAGAACCCCGAAAACGAAGCCAACAAAGATCAAAGACCCAAAACACAACAGAAAACGAGACCTGTGCCCATTTTACATATCAATGAAAATGGCAAAGGTGGAATGGTAGACGATGATGGTTTAAAAAAAAGGACAGTGACGGCTCTCTCTTGTTCTGTCATATACAAACTAGCTTCACCCAGAGATAGAAAACTGACTTGGCAAAACGCGAAATGATCCAGGTTTACTTTGTTTAGTTTTTAGGGGCATAGCTGAACGGGAAGAAGGGGAAGGAGAAGATCTCAATCCTAACGTTCCCTATCTTGAAAATCATCCAAGGCGTCACTGGTGATTTTTTAAATTTTTTTTTAAATATTTTTTTTTCAATCGACACCACCCACCCAGCACTTCAACGCCTGAGGGGTATTAAAAAGAAAGGTGGTGGAAAAAAAGGTGATCCAAACATAAACGCATCGATTTCACCTTTGGCAACTTCTTTGAAAGTCTTAAGAAGCGCCGCAAAGCTGTGTAGAGAGAGAAGATAAATGGTTAGTTTCCGATATTCCTCAAGAAAAAGAATCAAAAAGGTGGAGGTAAAAATAAAGGCTACAAGAGATAAATGGAAACCCGAAGACTTACAGTTTCAACAATAATACCCGTAATCTGATACGGGTCCGCATTGGACGCCGGTCTTCGGTCTTCGAAGTAGCCTTTGCCGTCCTTGGCGACCTGGCGGGGGATGCGAACGCTTCCACCACGGTCAGCAACTCCATAGGTGAAGGTGTCGATGCTACCGGTCTCGAGGCGGCCGGTAAGACGGTCTTCGTTGCCCTCGCCGTATACGGCAATGTGTTCTGAGTGGCGGGCTTCGAGTTTCTTCATAGCCGCCTCGATGACTTTCAAGCCACCCTCAGCACGCATGGCCTCTGTAGAGACGTTGGAGTGTAGGCCGGCACCGTTCCATTCGCCAGGGATAGGCTTGGGCGCGAAAGAGATTACGACGCCGAATTCTTCGGCGACACGGCAGAGGAGAAATCGGGCCATCCAGAGCTGGTCACCGACTGTTTTCACAAGGATTTGTTAGTTTTTTTTTTCTTTTTCCCCAAAGTTGTATCCTACACATGTGTGCTGAGGGTGCGATAGGATAACTCACGGTTAATACCCTCGCAGGGCCCAACCTGGAACTCCCACTGAGCAGGCATGACCTCCGCGTTGACACCGGAGATGTTGATACCAGCATATAAACAAGCCTTGTAGTGAGCCTCGACGATATCACGGCAGTGGACCTTGCCAGTTCCTACACCGCAGTAGTATGGGCCCTGAGCACCTGGGAACCCACCCTTGGGCCAGCCATATGGCCACCCATCGGGCCCAAGCAGGGTGTATTCCTGTTCTAGACCGAACCAAAAGTGTTCGTTTGCGTGGGTGCGCATGAGTTTCGCGGCCTCGTGGCGGTAGTTGAACTTGTTGGGTGATCCGTCCGAGTCCCAGGTTTCGCAGAGGACGAGGATGTTGTCGCCACGGCGGAAGGGATCCGCGTACATGGCGACGGGGCGAAGGTAGACGTCTGAGTTTTCGCCAGGAGCTTGGCCTGTTGACGAGCCATCGAAGTTCCATTCAGGAAGCTCCTCGACTGACTTCACGGATCCCTTAAGTGTCTATTGTCATGCACGAGAAAATGTTGTTAGCACGTGTTGCTGTTGGGTTTGTTCCATTGTATAGCTATAGCAGGGTGCATATAAAAAGGACACAAGGATCTTCACACGTCCAGTCATTCGTTCATTCGTGTATTGCAGCGGGCTGGGGAAGTTCCAAGTCTATGCATACCTTTGTTTTCGAGCGGACACCACCAGATCCATCAATCCAGACATACTCGGCCAGGACATGGCCTCGTTGGTCAAGGCTCATATACTTCATGAGCTGTACAGTCGCAAACACCAGGAGAAAAGCTACCAGTCAGCTTACACGTGCTTTGCCTTAAAGCGCCGTCTACAGAGCTCCCAAAAAGAGGCCCCGGAATGAAAAACAGCCAAGCAACACAAAAAGGGTCACAGCAACAACAAGTCAGAAGAACGTACATTCTCCGTGTTGGAGAGATGTGTCGAGGGAGCAGGATACGCCTATCGTCCAAGCAGCAGGAGCCGCCCCGTTAGCCCTCGCCCACAAACCCAGAAGGAACGAGCAACCACGCAACTTACCATGTTGTTTGTAGATATGGGGGAGGTGTCTGAGCTGTGGGCAGAGAAGTGGCGAAAACAAGAACGTGGGATGCACAGAGCAAAGGAGTCCGATGAAGCTCGATCAAGCTCGATGAAGCTCGATGGGAAGTTCTATAGACGACGGACAAGAAGAACGGATATATAGAGGGCGCTGGAGAGGAGACAAAGAAAGCAAAATGGCGGAGGAGAACGATGAGGATGAGGAGGAGCGAGGTGAATCAGAGGCAAGAAGAGGAACGAGGGAACGAGGAACGAGAAGGGAGTAATAAGACAAGATTCTGCCCGCCCATGGGTGGGGGGGGACTTTTTTCGCTTGTGTGATTGTACAGCCACCCGCGGTAAGATGGTACACGCCGGTACACACTGGTACGGGTATGATAAAGTCTGGTAGGATCGAGGTTGCGTATTTCGGAAAACCAGGAAAACCAGCCCCGTACCGCTTGAGGCTCCGATCAACGATGCAGATAATCAGATTTATCGTGGTAAACTCGATCAAACACGCATCTTCTACTCTCGTTGAAAATCAACAACCGTGGTCCTAAATTTTCTTGATGATTCTTTCCCTGCTACAAGTGATAAATTACCATTTTATAACGATCGCATTTGTGTTCCCTAGCGTGGTGTGGCTGGCGCTCTGTCTAACAAGGACGCGATAAGGTGCGACCTGTATTGATACGGTGGCGGTCTGTAAGATAATAAAGTAAGATAACAGCCGCACAGTAAAATAAATTACTTCTTTAAGAATCTTTGATAAAAATAAAAATCAAAATCAAAATGCGGCGTAACTCCCTCAGCCGACGCGCCTCGTCTCATCATGTCTCCGGCCAGCGCGCGGGAATGTTTTGTTTTTCCCTTTGCCAGGACGTGATCTTCCGTACGAACAATGCAATTGAAGCTCTGATATCGTCTCCTTTTTTTTTTTGGATCCAAGGGTTTTCTCGTTTTTCCGTTTTTTTTTTCCCCCGCTGAAATCGCCGAGGAAAGAAAATTTCGTCCCCCTGATAGGAACAGGATCTGCCGTATCGTAAACTAACGAAGCCAATGCAAGGGGAGGGGGAATCTTGTTTGAAGAGTTTTGCTTTCTTTTTTTCTTGTTTTTTGATTTTTTGATTTTTTTTGGTTTCCTCCTCTCCCCTCCCCTGCCATCCTTTTCGGATTTGCAATGCACTTTGTTCCTGGACGATAATGGAAAAATAATAATAATAAAAAGAGATAATAAATAATTTTTCCTCCTCCCGGTATCGCTATTACTATGACTCTTTTATCACTCCACGTATCTGCAATACATAGCCATACATACGTCCCATGGCTTGTTCCCATCCAAGTCCCGTAGGAAAGAATCACAGACCATATGCCAAGCCATGTCATCCGGGTAAATTCCCAGCAAGCGCCACCCCTCCATGCGGGTGCAGTCGGGACGAGTTATCGCGATAAAAGACTGGCGTGGCCTTCTTTGCGGAGCCTGGCCGAGAATGGGCGGCTGGGCAGCGGCAGTGGCAATAATCGAGCCGCCATTCCACAAATAACGACGGTGATGTCATCTCGATCATCAACGGTCTTGGGGCAAGTTAGATCTTGTAAATTCTATTATCTTTGCGTTTGTCAGGTTCTATATATATATATTTACAAAAGGAAGGATGTCGTTACACCGGGTTTGATGTTATTGTTTCTTCCCTTTTGTGTTGTTTATCGTTCAACTAACTACAGGTAGTTATAGGTGGGTTGGGTTACGGTGTGTTCGAACCTGACCCTCACAATAACCAGGTTATATGCGGAGGTGCAGTCACTCAGCCATCAACATCACTGCATATAACCTGATTATTGCTGGTGTGTGTTCAATTTCATGTTCATACATACAGAATACTTGTATTTAGTAAGAGAAATACTATTAAATTCAGATACATGTGACTTTGCATACAGAAAGTTATATAACCACTAGCTAAATGATCTGCTTGACTTCATTTCTACTAAAGAGCTACTGATTCCAGACACTGTGTAGAAGTGCAAGTCAACTGCCTGAGTATTGTACACAGCTCATACAACTAGACCTAACTCTATAATAATAATATATATACATCTATAATAATAATGGAGAAATGGAGATTAGACTGGCCGTGTGACCATGCATGGGACTGGGACCAAATTTTTCCTCAGTCCCATTATTAGATATCTTAGTTCTGGTCCCATATAGTGTTTAGTAAATTAGTCACTTTACACTGTTTATATTATAAATCTAGTCCCAGATCATGTTTTACTAATAAATTAGTGGTCCCAGTCCCATTTGGTCCCATTTTACAAAATGGGATATTTTCCGACCATGATTTACCC